TTATTTTGCCAAGTTCTTATAACTGTGCTCAATCAAGAAACATATAAACTCTTATCTATTGCAACTTCAATAGTTTTTCATTAGACCTCCTTTGCCAGTACCAAAATATAATAATAGGGTTTTCCCCCTTTTTTCTGGCAACAAAACTGAAACCTTTTTACAAGGATTCGTGTCTGCATTAACCACAATACTTGCAGTCAAAATGCAAACAAAAAACACACTCTGATAATATATGCATTGTCCTTGAAACTGACAATGTATATATTATAATAGTGTGTTTTTTGTCACTTTAGTACTTATGTGGCCCTGATACAGCTGCTAAAGCAGGAGAGGTACGCGTCCGTTTTCACTGCCCCCCCTCCCCTTACTCATCCAACAGGTCCTGTGGGCTCATATTCTGCTCCAACTGCTGCAGTAGCTGGGTCGGAAAGAATCGCAACTGCCGGCCATGCTACGTGACGAATAGCAACCTATCCTCACCAACATCCAATGCGGATGGGCAGGCAAGAGTTGGTGATGGGCCACGGACCCCCAAATCAAGCTCACAGACATCAGGTAGTGGGTTGTTGTTTTTTGTGATGGGTGCACTTTGAACTATTTGATGGTACAATATATAATGTTGATGAGCTTTGAATGTTCGTCAATTGTATAGAACTTTGACAATGCACATAGTAACTACTTTTCTTGCACCTCACTGTGTGTGAGAGCTTGCCCTCATTTTAAAGCAACTCAGATACTCTTGGCAAATAAGTGCAAGTCTGCAGTGCAATAAAAATACAGTTGTAGAGCATTGCAGGGTACTTAGCATTTTTTTTTTTACAAAAATTAACGTTCACTTTGAGCACATTTTTGCATCTTTTAAGCAATTTGTTTCGTGTTGTTTTTACACTCTAGGTATTTCCCAGTGTGAAGACACCTTTGAAGTCATCAATGCAAATATCTCTTCTGATGATCTCTCTTCCTAACACTTGACTCGGTTCTGCAGAAAAATTGCTGCGAAGTATAATTATGACGGTTGGCACCGCCTTCACTACATTGTCGCAGTTTAGCAATACTAAAGAGGCTGTATGTTAAATCCATAATATAATTAATGACTTAATAGACCACTCAAGTGAAAGTGCCAGCACCTGTGCATGTGTCGTATTTCTTAGCAGGTGACCCCCCCCCTCCCCCACGGTGGAGGGGGGGGGGGTAGTTAAAACTCCCTCTCACTAAGGAGTCGATGTGTTTACAGTATTACGCACCTATTGACTGCGTTTGTGTAAAGTTGTAATATGCACATGACACTATAAAAGGAAAATTGCACACATTTTACCAAGATGGTTGGTGCATATTTTTTATACATATATTTGCGTTTTTTTATATATATATGAAAAGCACCTTAACAGGATTCCATCAAGTGATATAAACACAGCTGTCAGACAATTATGCATATGTTGTCTTTTTTATAAACAAGTAGTACAAAAACATGCATAAGTAATGTATATCATGAAGCCACGTAAGGAATACTACTTTTCAATTTGGATTTGAATTCTGGCATATTCTCAACATGTTCATGACAACCATTCATTGGACGAAAACCGCAAACAAGCAATCTATTAGACTCCTGCCTCTTTGCATTACTTTATTGTTATACTCACTAAAATTGTAATTGTTTTAAACTGTATTGTTTGTGGCTATCAGATGCAGGTAACATTACACACACACATTGAATTTGCAATGTCTGTATTGTAAAAATTGGGTATAAATTATAAGTGCAGTAATGTGCGGTGGTTTCTTCGCTGAATATAGAATGTGCTTGGTGGAATAACGATATTTAGGAATACTTTTCTATAATAATTTAAACTATGTGATGCATTAACATTGTAGTTTTTGGTCCATGGGATGTGGTTATCTGTTGTGGTGCTTTGCAAAAAAAAAACAGATGAGAAATACGCCCAGCTGCTCTTTAACGGCGTGAGAATGTCTGACCGTGCGGTGTGGGTGAGAACTGGGTTGCTCGCGTTTTAAGAACAATTTTTGATCAAGAATAAAGCAGTTTTTCAAACCAATTATTTTAATCAACTTCGTTCCAGTTACTCTGGGGATTCGTTAGTTGATGGGGGTGCGCATACACTGGGTACCAGCTGAGATCGCACAACGATTGTGGTTATTTCTTTATAGGGTCAAAATATCGGATTATTTAATTTCATTGACTATGTAAATAAATGCTATTGAAGTATTGCCACCTCGGGTGCAATATCCTGTCCAGGCCCATGGATTGAACTGCATTGGTGTTATCTTCACTTAAAGCTTTCGTGACTGCAGGAATTCATATTCTTTGGATGGTTCAAAGAAAATAATTTTTAAAAACTTTGACGTTTCGATGGCAACACAAGCGTTGGTCATCAGTAAGAAAAAAGCTCTTTTTTGTTATTTTCTTTGAGTCTTTCGGAAAGGTCACGTCGTTATTTTTTATTTTCTTTGAACCTATTTACGTGATAATAGGGTTTTCCCTTTTTTTCTGGCAACAAAACAGGTGTTAAGATGTTAAAACACCAAACTGAAACCTTTTACAAGGAATCATGTCTGCATTAACCACAATGCTTGTGGTCAGAATGCAAACAAAAAACATACTCTGATAATATATGCATTGTCCTTGAAACTGATTGGTCCACACCAGAGACAGATTTCTTTTGAGCCTTGTCTCAAACGGTGTTAGACCAGAGGACGTCAAAAGACATACAGCACAAAGACAACGCACTAGCAGAGTAATGAGAGCTCGGGGTGAGCATCTACATCATGAGACCTTTGCCAGTACCAAAATATGATCATATGTTTTTCGCCTTTTTCTGGCAACAAAACAGATGTTAAGATGTTAAAACACCAAACTGAAACCTTTTACAAGGAATCATGTCTGCATTAACCACACTGCTCGTGGTCAGAATGCAAACATCTTAACACTTGTATCACATTTTGGTACTGGCAAAGGAGATCCCATGATCTATTTCCGTGACTTTACCGAAAGACCCAAAGAATATGCGTTGGTGGTGTTTGTTGTTTGACGCGATGTCCGTTGAGCCCTTTTCACAAGGCGGAGCAGTTTGCGTGGCACAGGACCTTCACACCACGCACATTGAATAGCAAGGAGTCTCATCCACAGCGACACAGGGACTTACTATGAAGCTACACACCGTGAGGGTAATGTCAGTGTCACATTTTCACAGGGACTCTTCCTATGAAGGTTCACACCATTGAGAATACATGGCAGTCTCCTCCACAGGGAACTTACTATGGAGCTGTAACACCATAAGGGTAAATTACAGTGTCACATCCACAGGGACGCTGACGATTCCACCACAGGCATCCAAAAAAATGTCCCAGTTTCCTGCTATGATCATTTTATACACAGTGAGCTGCAGGCAAATAAAAGGCAGCTGCTGCCGCTTTTTTCCTCATCTCCGTTAATGAGGGAAGCATGTGTAAAAATAATGAAGCAATGTATCACGACTTTACAACGTATTTTCATGTTCAAAGTGTCGTGCTATTTTGCCACTTTACTTTCCACTGACTTAAAATCTAACCGGATAATTTTCAGCAGCAAAATGTCAAAGCTTTACAAGTCATCTCTGGGAATCTCAATAGCTGCTGCCACATTCCCAAGTCACGACATGGAAGGGTGACTGTCCATGTGCCCTCTACATATTCGTTTTCGGTTGACTGGGCTGTTAGGGTTATCGGTGAGTGCTTACAGCTGGAGCTGGGATACACAATTATTGAAGTAACCGATTACTCGACGGATTTATGTTTAATTGCTCGGCTAATCGATTAACACAAACCGTTGTGGAATGATAATTGTTTTTTTACCTTTTTATCTGGCAACAAAACTGACACCTTTTTTTACAAGGAGTCATGTTTGCATAGACCACAATACCTGCAGTCATAATGCAAAAAAAAACATAACTCTGATAATGTATGCACTGTCCTTGAAGTTGATTGGTTCACACCCGAGACAGCTTTCCTTAGAGCCTAGTCTCACATGGTGTTGGACCAGATGACGCCAAACGGCGCACAACTCAAAGACAATGTACCATCAGAGTATGAGAGCTCGGGGTAAAGCATTTACACCATTTTGTTGCCAGGATAAAAGGGTAAAAAAACAATTATCATATTTTTTACTGGCAAATGAGGTACCAATGGTGAGTTGTGGAATGGTCACATCGTTTCACATGTTCGCATGTTGATGGGGGTGGGGCTTGATGACGCCATCAGCTGTCAAACCTTGGGTGTGGCTTGGAGGGGGTTTCCCACCTTCAGGAGGCAGCAGGATGTGAGTGACCGACCACGAACAATGCTAGATTTGAAGCTTTCGTGACTGCAAGGATTCATACTCTTAGGTTTTTTCGGTAAAGTCACGTAGCTAAAAAATAAAATTAATAAAAGTAATTATTTTATTTTACTTTTATTACTTTTATTTTTACCTACGTCACTTTACCCAAAAAACCTAAGAGCACGAACAATTAGTTGAAAAATTACGGTCAATGAATTGACTCGAGCAACTAGGCGTCCCAGTGCTCGTTGCTACGTGTCTTGTGTGTGTAAGATCACAGTCCGCTACAGCCTCAAGATATGTACGTCATCGCAGTGATGTGTACGTCATCGCAGTGATGTGTACGTCATCGCAGTGATGTGTACGTCATCGCAGTGATGTGTACGTCGTCGCAGTGATGTGTACGTCGTCGCTGTGATTTGTACGTCATCGCAGTTATGTGTACGTCATCGCAGTGATGTGTACGTCATCGCAGTGATGTGTACGTCATCGCAGTGATTTGTACGTCATCGCAGTGATTTGTACGTCATCGCAGTGATGTGTACGTCATCGCAGTGATGTGTACGTCATCGCAGTGATGTGTACGTCATCGCAGTGATTTTCTGCAACATGACTAAGGGGCGTCGACAACGTGATTACCACAGACGGAGTAAAAATAAACGATCTGTCGTTCGTGGTCATTGCGTTCACTCACACAATCATTTATTGACATTTTCGCCCTTTGCATGTTTACACAACGAAATAAACGAGAGAGAAAACACGTGGCATACAACTGGCATTATTATTTACATTTGATCTGTATACAACATTTTACCCGTGGCACACGGCGGGAATGGGAATAGGGTCAAGGATATAATGAATAGGAAAAGAAAACGGAAAATGTAGAGACGAGAAATAAGAGTAAAGGGATGGAAAAGGACCAGAAAACGGAACCCAATGGTCAAGAAAGATGACAGAATAGGGAGGAAGAGGCTCCACGTAAGGGAGTCGCGGTAGACGATGTTGGCAGTCACTGCAGAGGATGTCTGAGCAAGGGCAACGCAGAGATGGTGAGAAGAACTCACCCGGGACAGGACGACATTGAGTTGTCCGTGGGTGAAGACCAGGATTCGTAACAACACGCGAGCAGACTGGAATAGCGGCGGGCAGAGAGGGGGAGAAAGAATGACGGGGAATGAGAGGGGAGGAGAGAATGTATGGAGCAGGCGTGTGTTTTCACAGGAGGCGGGGAGAGCGGAGAGAATCAGAGTGGGGGTGGCCATGCACAAGTGACGCGGTGTTCGGGAGACAGCTTATTTTACGCAAGCGATATATAGATAGGTTAGTGTGTTTTAAAACGTGGAGAATGACGTATTATCGTCTAGCATTTAATAGCCAAAGTATACACGTGAATGCCCTTCCGCACTGGGTTTCCAGTTCGCGTATTTAACTACTAAGTGCAATTTAAGCCAGCATAAAGTGGAGAAGATAGGACAAATAAAGTAATCTTAAATATATATACATATCTCGCATTCAAGACAAGGACATTTACTAGGTGTATAACAACGCATATTTGAGTTTACATAGAGGATTCAAGAAGACAGATTCATGACATTATTCAGACTGTTCGAAACATTCAGTGGGTTTGGTCAGGACAGGTCGCTCAGGGTCAAGAATAATAACGGAGTGGCAGCCAAGGAATGGAACGCGTCCGAGAGGGCGTCGACCAAAGAGATCGTGAGACGTGGCGGGCGGAGGGGGGCTTCGGATTGACGATGGCTGATAATGTCAAAGATGCATCGAATTCACTCCAAAATATTATTCCGCTCACAATACAGTGCATGCATTGAATTACACTGGTCAACACACTTTTTCTGGCATAAGGTATTCCAACGGTTTTAAGGTAATTTTGGGGTGCTGATTCCAAATCTGGCATCAGTTTTTGTCTATCACATCAGGTTTTTGAGATATCCAATATTGAATTTTCAATAAAAAACTGCAGAAGAAAAATTTAAAATAAATGTGGATACTACATAAAATTATATTATGAACACTATCCTAAAAATACAGCACCATATTTTAACACTAAAGCAGTCACTGACTCGCAACAACTTGAAATCATAAGTGACAGAGTTAATTTCGGGTAAAATCAATGAAAATGGGGTATGCCGATAGCATAAAAATGAGATGTGATAGAGCAAATCTGAGATCAGATTTGGAATCAGCACCCTGAAATTAGTCTAAAACAGCTGCAAAAGTCCAGGCCAGAATTTTGTGTGTCTGTGTGAAGTGGTGTTAGATGCGTGTGTGTCTATGTGAAGTGGTGTTAGGTGCGTGTGTCTGTGTGCGTGCGTGCGGTAGTGTGTCTGTGTGAAGTGGTGTTAGGTGCGTGTGTGTCTGTGTGAAGTGGTGTTAGGTGCGTGTGTGTCTGTGTGAAGTGGTGTTAGGTGTGTGTCTGTGTGCGTGCGTGCGGTAGTGTGTGGGGAGCGGTGGTGTAGCGGTTAGCGCTGCGCTATGAACCCAGCGACCAGAGTTCGATTCCTGCTCACGGTCAATACCAGCGGCGATTATCTGAACCGGTCTTGGGCCTCCCCTAGGTCGACTCAGCCTCAAACGAGTAACTGCTGTGGTGTGTGAACATCGCCACTGGGGAGAGACAAAGGCGGCCGGGCGTGGTTGATCCAAGTCCTGGGCAAAGCCGGGGGTAGTCCAGCTAGTCACCGATAAAAGAGATCGAGCTCTGGACCGTATCCTCCCTGTTTAACACGTAGCAGGCTTTCGCGACCAATACTATTCATAATCAACGTTTCTGGGGTGAGATCGCGTTATTTATAAATGCGTCGTAACCCTCCACCACCCGACACGGCCAATCAGTAAAAAAAAAGTGTCACGTTGACAAAAGACAAAATAGTTCACCGCTTAATTGGACACCCCGCGGTTGGCTCACGAAGCGGGTGAACGCGCGTGGGAGAGCTCAATTAGCGGGGATGGTGCTCGTGGAGAAGTCCGAGTCGGAGCTGATGGGATGTGGCCGCCTGCTGCTCTGCCTCTTGCCCTCTCGGTACGACGCCGCGCGCGTCCCGCACGCCCTGCAGCCCCACAGCCGCGCCAGGTTCTCCTTGAACTTCTTGCCCACGAAGGCGTAGAGCACGGGGATGAAGCAGCAGTGGGAAAAGCCGACGCCCTCCGTGACGGCCACCGCCACTCCCAGGCGTTGCTCCATCTCGCAGTCGGAGTTCACCACCGCGTCCAGCCTCATCAGCGTGTCCAGCAGAGTGACCACGTTGTAGGGCAGCCAGCAGACGAAGAACGCTGCCACGATGGCGACCACCACCTTGAGCGCTTTGCGTTTCTCGTTGTTGTGCAGCTGCGACAGCGTCCTGATCACCATGACGTAGCAGAAGACGATCACGATGCCCGGCAGCGCGAAGGCGAGCACGTGGTGCAGAGCGCGCAGCGCCGTGCGCCACAGATCGGATGCGCTCTCGGGATACACGTGCTCGCAAAGCTGGTGGCCGCTCAGTGGCGCTGTGTACACGTGGCTGAACACGAGGTCGGGCACGGCGAGCAGCAGTGAGAGGACCCACACCGCCCCACACGTCACCTACGGGGGCAGCGGGGGCACAAGAGTGATGATGATGATGATTATCGATCAGGTGTCAGAGTGGGTTTTATGGACTGCATTGCATGTGTGTGTGTGTGTGCAGGCCTCTATTAGAGACCTGGAAAAGGTTGACGTACATCAATGGACTCGCACGCGGTTTTACATTCTCAGCCTTTTGGTTTTGACCTCTGGCCATACCCTACAATATTTACAGGAGTTGAACAAGCGCACAAGAAACTCCGCTATTGGAGCCTCCATTGCGATACACACCCTTGCGTTCTTACGGATGCGTGATCGCCTGGCCGTTACACAACACGATAATAGTGTTGTATATAAACCACTGTTGTCAGTCTTGCCCCAAAAACTAAACCAACCTCTATAATGTTCTTGGTAATGTGTGGTTAGTTCATGAACATAACTGCGTCTATCGCAATAACTAGGTTGGAGTGGTGGCGCAGTGGTTAGCGCATTGCAACTGAGAACACTCCAGCACTCTCACGACCTCAGTAAGAGCAGACTAGTGGAATCCTGTTCGTAAAGCTCTTGACGGTCCGCGTGTCTGGCGAAGGGAAGACAGTATTGGCGAGATGTGGTGACATCAACGGCTTCAGCCATGATGACATCATGGGACCTCTTTTGCCAGTGTCAAAATATAAGAATAGGTTTTCCCCTTTTTTCTGGCAACAACACAGGTGTTGTAAATAAATAAATAAACAATATTGATGTGTTGCCACCTCGGGTGCAATCTCCTGTCCAGGTCCATGGATTGAACTGCATTGGTGTTATCTTGACTTAAAGCTTTCGTGACTGCAGGAATTCATATTATTTTGGGTCTTTCGGTAAAGTCACGTAGATAGTTCAAAGAAAATAACAAAAAACGTTGACGTTTCGATGGTCATCAGGAAGAAAAAAAATCTCCTTTTTGATTATTTTCTTTGCGTCTTTCGGAAAAGTCACGTCGTTATTTTTTGTTAATTTCTTTGAACCTATCTACGTGATAATAGGTTTTCCCCTTTTTTCTGGCATCAAACCAGCTGTGTTAAGATGTTAAAACACCAAACTGAAACCTTTTGCAAGGGATCATGTCTGCATTACCACAGATACATGTGGTGAAAATAGAAACAAAAACCATGCTCTGACAGTGTACGCATTGTCTTTGAATCTGATTGGTCCGCACCGTTTGAGACTTAGGCTCTAAAGAAAGCTGTCTGTGACGTGCCTTATTACGCCGAGCAAGCCTAGCAGTGCTCATTCAAAAAAGAAACATCGAGTGAGAAATGAATGCCCCCCCCGGCTTTGCCCACCTTGGTGGCGAACTTCCTGCGCACTTTGTCCGTCTTGGTGGCGCGCACGATGGCCAGGTAGCGCTCGATGCTGATGCAGGCGAGCAGGAGGATGCTGCTGGCCAGGTTCACGGTGAACGTGAAGTTGACGAGGCAGCACAGGACGTTGCCGAAGACCCACTCGGTGGCCGAGCCGACCGCCCAGAAGGGCATGGTCAACACGAAGAGCAGGTCAGCGGCGGCGAGGTGCATCAGGTAGAGGTCGGACGAGGTGCGCTTCTTGGTGAAGCACGTGAGGACGACGAGGATAAGCCCGTTGCCCGCGAAGCCCAGGAGACACACGAGGCCGTAGACGACGGGCAGAAAGACGCGGTGGAAGCTCTGGGATGGAGCGAGGCAGTCGGGGCTGTAGCAGCAGGGCGAGGAGGAGTTCTCCTCCAGCTCGGACGTGTCGTTCAACCCCATGGGCAGGAGGTCGAACTCGTCTAGCGAGATGGAGTGCATCAACTCCGCCTAACGGGGGAGGAGAGCAGACAGACAGCGCGATACAAAAGGGAGGGGAATGGTCCAAATTAGCTGGATTTGAGAAGATACTCTGATATTGCTTGCAGTTGCACGATTGGGGAAAGCCATGTAGCAGCATCGCTCCCTACCAGCGGCATGATTCCCATCTGTAGGCTGGTGCTGTGTGCAACTTTATCCACACAGGGAAAGCTTCCACTGGGTGTCTCCGTGGCTATGCACCACACTTGTGATTTTTAGGACCTGATGCACGGATGTTGAACTTCTTTCGCACCAGTACGGGCATATTCACATCTTGACGAATGTTCATGTTCGCATGCTCTTTTGCGGAAATGCACCGATCACCGGCGGTGGGGTAAATCGGCCAGGCGATGTAGACTTAGCCGTTTCGTCAAGTTTTTAATGTGGCCCATACTGTCTGGCACGTTGAACAAACGTTATATCCACTGGCATTTTTATTTATTCTCTTGCGCCACTGATGGGACTGGTAATCGTTATTTCGTTTTACAAAGGCGGTTTTGTGCTCTGGCCAATTTTTGTATTGAGATTTATCTACATAAGATATATTTTATTCATAGTTTATTTTGCAATATATCGAGTAAGTTTAGGGATAATGTTTGTTTTTCAACTATTATCCTCCTCCACCCGACAGAGCCAAAAAAATAAAGTTTTCACGTGAGCAGACATGCCAATTAATCCACTTTTTCAGCAAACCGGAGGAATGTTGAAAAGCAAGTCATATATTTGACAATGTTACAGGACGTTTCACTGAACATTAAACTCAGTATCTAAGGTGTTAACGAAGCTCAGCTCTTGCTTTAAAACAATTCTGGTTCTGCTAAAAAACAAAATTATTAGCATATTTCCCCACGTGACAACTTGATTTGATCGCCTTTGTCGGTTGGTGGAGGGTTATAATTCTTTTTAAAAAGCATTTACCTACACGATCTAACCCCAAAAACACTCATTATGAATCATATTGGTTGTAGAAACCTACGTATCTAAATCCATATATGATTTAAACTGGAACTAAAATTCTTTGAATTAAACAAATGCTTGTGTATAATCAAGCGTAACCTAAACAAGGAACATGATGGACCACAACCACAACCGAAACCGCGATGGTGTATCGTGCGTGCTGGTTATAGGTAACGCACACAATTGTACCCAATACTACACAGTATTAACACCGCTGCTTTCTTTAAACGAAAAATAAACCCCAGCAGTGTCTCTTTTGCTAAACATTGAGAACAATTGAATAATATATGCCGACCGTCAAGGCGAAAACGTGTACAAAGCACAATCTGTCCCCCCCCCCCCACCCCTTAAAATGAATTGTAGGCTATGTAGTGTAGCAGGCAGCGTCAGGCAGCGTAAAGTCCCAGTGTGGTCTGGGAGCAGGCGACCTCGCATGCACTTTCAATGACTCGAGTTCAAATTGCTGCTAGTTATGACATATCATGTCACCGCGTACTCATCATCATTATCCGTACAGGATCGGTAAAATAAGAACCGGCTTGGAATGCGGGACTATTTGCTTTAAAATCAGCAGTGGTTAACACATTTGTCCATGCCATAACATTCTTGAATTTCCTCTGTACCAACTCGGGAGCAATTATACGAAGATTACTTTGTCCAGTACCCACTAGCCCTCGATGCAGCTGATAGTTACTAATGCAATTTAAACCGTGATGCTTACCATGTCAGCAACCGTCGTAGTTGCTAGCTTCCAGAGGTGCTAATGTCTCACAGCCGCAGTCATGTAGGATGTGACGGAGGGCTCGTGACACTTTGGTGTCTTTCAGTCGCTGTCGCCTGTCTCACAATCTGTACCCCGATATTGCCTCTCAGTCCGTCCGTCCGTCCGTCCGCCTCTTAGTCCGCAAGTCTATAGTTTACCATCTGCGTTGTAATATCTCATGGATAGCATCTGTATATCTGCCTGCCTGCCTGCCAATCAGTGAGTCAGTCTGGTCTGTCTGCCTGCTTTGTCCAGCCCGAGGAGTCAAGTCAGTGCGTGTCCGCCTCTGTCCGCCTCTCTCTCGCTCTCTCGCTCTGATTTAGGAAGGGGAAGCTGCTCCATTTGTAGCCCGCACTGCCTCCCGTTTTGGGGCGCGCTCGTGTTTACGGAATCCGGGGGGTGGTGTGTGCCGGACTGATACCGCGACCGCAACTCGACCGCGTCCCAACTCCTTTTGTTTACACCATTGGAACCTCACTTGCCAGTAAAAAATATGATAATTGGTTTTTTACCCTTTTATCTGGCAACAAAACTGACACCTTTTTTTACAAGGAGTCATGTTTGCATAGACCACAATGCCTGCAGCCATAATGCAAACAAAAAACATAACTCTGATAATGTATGCACTGTCCTTGAAGTTGATTGGTCCACACCCGAGACAGCTTTTCTTAGAGCCTAGTCTCACATGGTGTTGGACCAGATGACGCCAAAAGGCGCACAACTCAAAGACAATGCACCATCAGAGTATGAGAGCTCGGGGTGAAGCATTATCATCCTTTTGTTTACTCAAGCAGCGGCCACCAATAAATAATGAACATCGAACAGGCCGTTCCCCCCGGCAGCGGCGCATAGGAGCATCTGGTGGTCGCGACTGTCACGGATCCTATCAAATCAAAATCCCCTTTAGAACGACAGGAGACGCATTTGGGCAATCCGTATTGCCCACTCGTATACCTTACGAGTGATAGTTATGGGTAACCTCTAGGCCCCGTCTAAAGCATTGTAACATTCTCCACAATGGCGCTCAATGTAAGTGTGTGTTGTGTATTTCATAGCCCTGCGTCGAACTTGCCGATGGACATCAACATCGGGCAGTTTTTGCCGGCATTGTCTTAAGTGGGTCCGAATCTGCTGACGAGACACTGGATGTCGAAACCGGTCCAGTGTTTAGGTTGCTTGTGTGAAAACACACGATGTGGAGAGACGTGTGGGAAGGAGGCGTTATTTATTTTGCTATGAAGAAGGGCCATTGCTCAAAACGTCGCCACTTACTCTCCCCCCCCCCCCCCCCTGTTAAGGCCCCGTGTCACTAACGAATGTGATAATTATTGATAATAGTTGATCATTATTCGTGCCATTGCACCGCTGCCAAAGCGATATCACAACAGACGGTGTGTTTTAATGTACGAATTAATGATTTAATGGAACCAATTGTTTTATATGTAGACCTCAGAACCCCTGTCAAGTAATCAGTACACCTGCAATGCGTTTAATTAAGTTAATTTTACATATTTTATTCAATCCACTGCCGGATGAAGGCCTTCCCGTGCCATGTCGATGGGCCCCTGTTGTGAAGGAGCCAATTGTAGCATCTTGGGATTTGTTTGTTGTTGTATTGAAATAACAAAAAAACATTTCAATAATACAGTGCGTGGCCTAAAACGAATATACCGAATAGGTGACGCTGAGGGCAATGGTCGTTTTTCATAGCGCATTAAATAAATCATGTTATATTAGGATGCTTTATGCATTTACATGGTTTTTATTGTCATTATCTTGCATGTGTGGGCTATGCAAGAGTCAACAATAAAGACACGGATTGTGCTGGTCATCTATGCTCAGTTGAAGCTTCACGGAGGTTGATGTGATTCCAGCGCTTAATTTCTCACTCGATGTTTTTTTTTATTCTGCGAGTAGACTGGCATGGAGTCGGGATAATTATCAGCAACAATCATCCTCCCACTTGAGTACAGGGTACGTCTATCCATAGTCATCCCATCTACAACGTTGTCGCCTATATTTCTATAATAACAAAGTAAGGTGATATGGATGTGGCGTGCCAACATCATTCCCTCAACGGCGTTTCGGATTGTTCTCGCTGATACTGAACACGCGCGTTTCTAAGTAAAGGGAAATATACTCCAACGGTGGAGTTGTGGCAAACCCTTTCCTGGTATTGCTGAATCGAGCCGCTATGGAATGTTCGTTGAAGTACAATATCCGTGGTCTCAGCCGTTGGCCCGAGATGGAAATTGAACAGGTGACAGTTATGAACTTTGACTGGGTTCACACTCTGCCCACGTGTTCCCCCTTCGTGACCCTGTAACGTAGAGATTAGTCAAAGAAAAAATCCCTTTCGCGGTTTGTTTGGGCCAATAGTTTTTACTTATTTACAATTCAAATGTTAAATACATTTCCCACGTGGTAAGTGGTGGAGCTGTTTGTGCAATGGTGACTTGGTTGAGGTTATCGACTAACTAAGCATGTGAAAGCAGTCTAATCACGGCTTGGATGACACTCAGGACACCGAAAGTTGTGCCAGCTCAGTGCTCTAAGCCACGGAGCCCACCCGGCCAGTTTCTTTGAACACATTTTATTTATTTGTCTTTTAGGTGTATACGTTCAAGCCATGGGTCACAGTTTCAACATTACAATTTCACACGTGGCGATGATGATAATGAGTACCTTTATTTATGCGGTTCACGTTTAGATTTTCCTCTTAAACGCGGAGCGGTTATCTACAAGCGCCGCTGTTTCCTCCCAAAATGATAACACTCTCTAAAATGGAACTGGCCAAACATTCTCATGCATGACCTTTCTAAAAGAGCCTTGAGACTTATTGAGGCTTTCCTGTATAAATTGCATTGATGTGTGTCCACCTGCACTGATAGACAATGGCAGGGTTTGAATGTACTTAGTCTCAACGAACGCATTGTGCTGTGAATCCAGTGAGTGTGACTCCCGGCCGTGACTCACATTATTAGCGGCGGGTGATATCTTAACTGGTCTTGGACAACCCCCTCTTGAGCAGCCTACACTAGCCAGCGTGATAAAGTATGGTCAAACAACCCCCATGACCAAACATTATTTGGGGAAGCGTTCATCCAGCACCGGATTGATGAAGGGCTGTACGGTACATTCATCTCAAAGGGACCTCCATCGAATAAGCTCCATTGACCCCTCCATTCAGAGACAGCACTTTCAGTGCACTAACCGCTGCGCCACCGCTCCCCACACAGCTGGCTTACAAAAATAAAATATCTCCCGTAATAGCCTGAACAGACTATTGGGGCAAGTGCTGTTAGCGAGCACCTATGAAGGCCGACACGGCACACGAGGAAGTGGATGGCCAGCACCACGCCGGGTCGTCGCTGTCTCCCTAGTGGGCATGTTTACACACCGCTCTAGGTACTCATTTGAGGCTGAGTCGACCTAGGGGAGGCCCAGGACGAGTTCAAACAATCGTCGCCGGTGTTGGCCGTGAACTGGATCGACCTCGGGTCCCAGGGTTCGTAGCGCAGCGCGCTCACCGCTACGCCACCGCTCCCCACACACACACATAAACACACACACACACAAGTAAACATAAGTACATACGCGACCACATAAACACATAACCACATAAACGCACGCACCCGTGTTTGCGTGCGCAATTGCACATGGTGTTCAACCGCAGTCCGGCGGGACACACATTTGCGTCAAACGTCGATGGCTATCTCGCTCTGGGCGTCAACTCGTTGCGCCGTTACGTAACATCGCCTCGCGTGTTTATTTCCATCAGAGCATCTGCTGATTGTCCTCACCGCGCCGTCGCGTGTCTGGCCTCCAGATTGTGGTGATGGGGGGGCGAGGTTGCGTGCGCGGTATCACGAGGAGGTTCCCAGACGCGCACGCACGCAGCAGCAGCAGCAGCAGCAGCGGGGAACGCGAACTCGGCACTCGGTGAAGCGGTGGCTGCCCGGAGAGATGGGCGACCTGACATGTGATCTGTGTTGCTGTGCGTTGGACTTCTTTCGCACGGCACGCAGCCAACCGTGCTCATCGGACTGTGGGATCAAGCGAGTGGCGAGCACTCGGCCAAGCACGTGCTCGGATCTTCAAGCGGCTCAAGTTGGCCTCTGATTCAGGAACGCAGAGCGGTGGATGAAATATCGGCTCGAATTCAAAATAATGATTCTTGATTCTAACGGACGTCTTAAGTTAAGCTACGTAAAATGGCAATTCACCTGTCATCTCTGTGACGTGTGGATCCATCTTCTCTCATTTCACCGCATCTATATTATTTCTACAATTATCGTATCTCGCTGCATTTGTATCTCTTGTTCACGTCCCTTCTGTCATCTCACTCGGATTGTATCTTTTGAAATATTTATTTTTAAAGGACAGGTCTCAAAACTAGCTGATGCTCAGGGCCCCCAATGAGCAAGCACCGAGCACGACATCGATGGCATCTGACACATTTCTGGCCGTCCTCTATGTCAACTCGGCATTAAATTAGTATCTGTAAATGCGTGGGAGTTAGCAATGTAAGCCAACAGCGATCGAGCGTGGTGTGGACCGCACTATCCCAACACCACCACCACCACCTCGTTAACCAGTCTTGCCTTCTACAATATGGGAACCTCATTTGCCAGTAAAAATATGATAATTGGTTTTTTACCCTTCTATCTGGCAACAAAAAGGTGTCAGTTTTGTTGCCAGATAGAAGGGTAAAAATCCAATTATCAGTCTTGCCTTAATAGGTGCCCCCGCTGACAACACCTGATATCAATGCGGTAATCATAAATACACACTTTTTTACACGCACATATTTCGCGAATAGGACACATTGTTCGATCGACAACTCTGGGGTCCACCTCCGCTCTCCGTGCCTTAAATGAGATGCGTCCTTGGGCTATCGCGTGAGCTACGATCACCTACGAGACGAAACGCGCCGCTGACATATTGACCCCATGACGAAGAAGAAAAGTCAAAACGACAGCGTGGAGACGTCGTGTTTTGGTTCACGTGATGTTTATTCACTCCACAGCAAAGCAGAATCAGCAAGGATCGCTCACCCATGTGCGTAGTCTACGGACGAGGCTGCGCATGAATCATCAGAGGCCATGCGTTAGGACGGAGGAATGCACGTCGTCACGTAAGCATTGCCCGGGGGGGGGAGAGAAGGAGGGGGGGGGTATTAACTTGAAGCAACCAATGACATTTGCAGCCAAACCTATGCGGGTAGAGAGAGAGAGAGCAGACAGAGAACTTGTCACGATAGCCAGGCCAAAGTTCCTCAAACAAAGTTCCTCAAACGTAAGTTACAAAACCACGAGCCGTTGCATGTTAACTTTTCCTCTCCGCTGAAACACAAATTATCGTGCGCTGCACGCGCCTGATAGTTGTTAAACGCGTCCCCCGCGACGTAGAGAGCGCTGCATTACTGTGCACCACGATCTCCGTCTCCATTTTAATCGGAGCTCTCTCCATCGCGTGGGACATGATTATAAATCACGAGGCACGTGGCAGCATGTGAAGAACTCGTCGTGAACGTCGATGACCCTTCCCAGGTCGCGTGCGCAGGACCGGAGCTTGAGAAACCCTGGGCTGGAGGTGACGAATCGAGATGGTGTCACATTCTATGTTTCATCCTTTTCTCTTGGGCGTCACTTTCCTGAAAAAAGAAGGGCAGTATACAATCCATATTATTTTCCAAAAATGTACAGGGACTTAAATTGTGAGGCGAAAAAAAAAATCAAATGTACGTCTTCTTCCCGTTTTACAAACGCCGGCGGGTGATGTTGGGTGTGTTTTGCTGTGACTGGTAGGTTGATAAAGTTCTGCTTGCCGGCGATCGCGTACGGCTGTGACCTCTGTCCATTTCACTTCCTCTGCGGCAAACGCAGCACCCTCACCACTTTCTCTTTTGTCGTTTGTGTTGCGCATCTCATAATTCTCTTCCGTTTACACGGAATAGATGAATCCCGATCCATTGGGAGTTCTCGCAGAACACTGCATCAACCCACGTTCGAGAACGGCCCTCGCGGAAGGTGATATCGGAGAAACAACATCTGAGAACTTTGTATCCGCACACTAAGAGCACTGCACACTTTCCCGCACGCGAGCTACAGAATAAAAAATCCTGCGCAGTCTTTGCCGATGAAGCTGAAGGCCATCACCTCGGGACCCTCAAGAGCTGGTTTCATCATGGATAGCCGAGCCCCGTGTTCGATCCCAGATTCTCAGCAGGGCTGGCTCCGTGCTCTAACCCCCTGAGCCACCCGGCCACGTCTCTCTGTTGTATGGTGAAGTATGCTCAAACAACCCCATCGACCGACACAGCGTGGGGAGACCTTCATCCAGCAGTAGATTAACAAAGGGCTATATATTACACATGTAGACGAGGGATGTCAAATGTAATGTCCACAGAAATACATGGAGTGGCTCACCTGTTTTCAAGGCCCCTTGAGCTCTTAGATTTTGATGTCGGTAGCGCTGCTGGCCGCGAAGCTGGCTGACTTGCTACTCGCTGTTCCAACGACACAGGTTAACATGCACGAATTTAAGTTCTGCCTTTTCATCTCAGATTGTTCAAACATCAAGCCCTGAGTCACAAAAATTCGCATGCTGCCTCTCACTCACTCACCCTGAGCCACAGGTCCTCTCTCACTCACTCGCTCACCCTGAGCCACATGCCACCCCTCTCTCTCACTCACTCACACTGAGCCACAGGTCCTTTCTCTCACTCGCTCACCCTGAGCCACAGGTCCTCTCTCTCTCACGCGCTCACCTGACATGGACATGTGGGTGGAGGAGACAGAGCGCGAGCTGCTGCTCCCTGCCGACACCACGTGCACCCCGCCGCCGCCCAGCGACAGAGAGCTCAGCTTCAGGCCGGACAGGCTGTCAGACAAGGACATTGCATCGGCTGTCAGGCAAGCGTAACACTCCTGCGATGGCGAGCGTTGTAACACCGTGCCGCGCAGTGAGTGTGATCATCGTGTCACCCCCCCCCCCCCCCCCCCCCCCCTCTGTTGTGAGAAGTGCTTCCACACAGCACCTGGCCGCCTCGCCCTCCAGCAGATTCCTGTAGGTGGAGATCTCAGCGTCCAGTTGAAGCTTGACGTCCAGCAGGCTCTGATAAGCAATCAGCTGCCTCTGCAGGTCCATTCGAGCGGTCTCGATGGCCACCTCCATGCTGGCCACAGAGGACTGGTAGCTGGCCACCTCGGAGCTGGCCCGTGCCTCGTAGGTAGCCACGGCCTGCTCCATGGAGTAGCTCTGTCAGACCGACAGTGAATTTGTTCATGTGTTAGTTCGTTCATCTATTGGTTCGTTCGTTCGTTCGAGTGAGGGCAAGAAGAGACCGCACTTGAGGGAACACCACGGTGATGTCGATGCACCATCACAACTTGGCAACGTGAGTCCCTCCCGTCAGCGCGTTAACGAGGATTGGACCGAACGGAGGTTCTGTTTCTATCGCCAGCGTCACTGCCTCCTTCAGTCTCTATCCATTCTCCTCTTGATCTATTACCGCTGTGTCTATTAAATCTCAATTGGTGTTCAACACCGCCATTGTATTTGTTCTCGTTATACTCGCCATCAATAACCAGCGCCTACATTAAATATAGACGAAGGCGAGTGGGTGGCCGATGTAAATGCTAATCAGAATCTTTATATATCCTGGAAGAATGCAGAAGGATTGGAAGGTGAATATTGGCACACATATAATCGAGTACATTTTTTTTATTTGGGCCCCCAAAAAAATAAATGCCCTAAAATTGTGGGACATGTTGAATGAAATGTTAACCTTTAACCAAGACCTATGAAAGTTTTTACCTGTTCATTTTGAAGAGCAGTGATTCGAAATAAGTCGTCAGTTTGGCGATACTGTAAATCGATTTTTTTTTCTGCTATATTAGGAAGCATGTGACACTGAGGCTGATAAGAAGTGGACAAAAGCCACCGACGTTTACCGGTACACATGTATATAAACATACAAACGGCGGTGAAAATGTTTGGTGGAAAGGATTTATGTGTTGGTAGGCACCGCTTTCCCACCGATTTTTTGCAGAAAAAAATCCACGCTGGTGGAGGACAAAAAGTACGTGTCCACGATACGCCACTCAAATTCACAAATTCACGTGGAGTTTAGGCAAAGCTGAGAACCGCGTGCGCGGTGTGCTGGCGACGAGCACCTGGGACAGGAGTGTCTGTAGCTCCGAGTAGTGCATCTGGATATCCTTGGTCACCGACACAATCTCCGTCTTGGCGAAGTTGATGGCCTCCGTGGTCTTCGAGGTCACGGCCTGGATCTCTTCTATCTGCAAATGCGCGCAGAGGAGAACGGTTAACACCGTGAGAGCCGAGGCCGACTCGGGCGCCGTGCTGGGCATCAGTGCGCGGCAGCGAGTTGACGCTGGTCTCTGAATCGGTATCGGTCACTTTGAGATTCTGCAGAAATGCGAAATTGTATTGTGTTGTGTCGAGCGTCAAATTTAATTATTCACGTAAAAAAACAAGTATACTGAAAAGCAGCATTGTGAATGATACATATATCACTCATGCATGAAAATATATTTTATTATGTTTTATTTTTATTATTTTATTTTTTCCCTTCTACGTGACTTTACCGAAAGAACCAAGAAGAAAAATATTTGTTATTTATTTTTAAGACTTTGTTCAGCCCGTTGATGTTTTCGATGAGCTGTCGGTTAGAATACGCGTCGCGTTCGTGTGTATATCGTATTTTTTCGCCCGTTATTTGCTTTCATAACTCCGTGCCGCTCTTGTGACGGTAGCTTTAATAAAACGAGTACATTACGAGTTAGGCTTAGAGATAATCCAAATGATACCGCCATCATTTTTGTTTACACCGCTAAGCCTCCCGTGCAGTGCATCTCGAGGCGCCAGAACAAAGTGGCGTTTGAGATTATAACTCGACAAGGAAGTAATCGCAGACCACATACGACGTTCAAACATTATCATGGTTGACTATGTACGGTGCGAAAGAAGTTTAACATACATACAAGATGGTAGAGACAATATGCACAGCGGAGAAAAAATATAAAATATTTCAAAGTTATCATCTGTTTAAGACTACTCTTATATAGAAGTCTTTTATATATAAATATAAACAACCTCCACAGCATTAGGAGGCATTCATCATCCAGCAGTGGATCGATGACGAGCTGTACATTTCCCCCAGACGCTTCGTGTCACCGTGGGGATGGCCTCACCCTGCTATGGTAGTAGGCCTCTGCTTCTGCGCGGTTTCTGGTGGCCACCACCTCGTACTCGGAGCGGATTTGGCTAAGGGTGGACATGAGGTCGAACGACTTGATGGTGTCGACCTCGATGATGGAGCCGCTGGAGACCTCCGTGGTGCCCAGGCGAGTCTGGAAGGTGGCGAATTCCTGCGAGGGAGAGAACAGCGGGGAACCAGGCGATCTGTTCACATCTGAGCACGTGTCCTGAAAAATGTCAAAATTAAAATCATGATCACCTGCTACTCGTTAAAACTCAATGGTTAAGCAGGGTTGACCCTGGTCAATGTGTGGATGGGTAGGCAGTACCGTCACGTTGATTTGAGACCGAAAGGATCGAACCCAACGCCTACCTCTTCATAGGTCTTCTTGAGGAAGGTCAGCTCGTCCGTCAGGGCCGTGTAGCGCGTGGTCAGGTTCACGCGCGTGTCGGTCGCGAACTCGATATCCTACATCGGGGGAGAAGAGGCCGGGCACAAGCAAACCAAGCAAAGGCTTAGGGCCCCGGATTCATGAACAAAAAAATGTGTTTTACTCAATTAGCAGCTCAGATTCAAATTAGAATACACATAGCAAGCTAATCAACATAAAGAAACAATGAAATCTCTCTCGTCTCCATCTTAGCTTCGTCTCTCTGCTTTCATCAATATCTTAATCTAAATTTCTATTACCTCACTACATCTACGTACATATCATTGTCTATTTCCATTTTCTCATCTGGCCCCCAGTGGACCAACACCACCGCTGATCAGGGGGTCCAAGATCGCCCCACGAACACCCCAGTAAACGTGGAACGTTGCTCCAACGTTTATTCAACGTTCCCAACCACACGTCAACGTTGGCACAACATTGCGTGTTTCCTGGGACCACCGGGCATCATAGCGTGAGACGAACTGTGTGTCCGTCACTCCAGTCCTCGTAACGGCCGCGTATTCTCATGCGTGTTGTTTGGTGTGCTGTTCCCCTCGGCATGAAATGTCCTCAGCGGTGAAACGAGAAGCTCTTGCCACGTGCAGCGAGCGAAACGTCGGACATCGCGCCGAGCAGCACGCGCAGGGCACAACACGCAGGGCACGACACGCAGAGCACGACACGCAGAGCACGACACGCAGGGCACAACGCGTAGGGCACAACACGCAGGGCACAAGCCGAAAACAGCCGTGAGAGCGACGCTGGCGGTGACTGGCGCCGTACCTTCTTCATCAGGCTGATGTCAGACTCCAGCTGGTAACGCACTCCGGCCTCGAACTCAAACCTGTGGCGGCAGCGGGCATCGGTCAGTGCAAAGAGTGACGGTGAAATGTCGCGATGTACCAAAATTACTGGAGTTAGGAGCTACGGTCATATTCTTAGGTTTTTTTCGGTAATGTCACGTAGGTAAAAAATTAAAATTAATAAAAGTAAAATAAAAATAAAAATCACGACGTTTCGGAGGCAACACAAGCTTCCGTCTTCAGGTGGAACCGTCACAGCACGACTGCTACATCAAGGTGCAGATATAAATCCTTGCAGTCACAAAAGCTTCAAATCTAGAAGCTATGGTCATGATTTACCTTTTTGAGAAACTACGCATCCGCACGTCCTCTGTACAAGTGCTTCACTCATCCAGAACAACCCTTTAAAGCAGTGTTCTTCACTCATTTTCAGAGATGGGGCCACTTTCGCCGATACGACATCACGCCTCGAAGCAATGTGCGCCCGGCTCTGAGCGGTGCAGGGTGAAACGGGTGGGCGGCTGCCTGTCGGGGGAGAGCTTACTTGGCTTTGAGCTCCTCGGCCGTGGCTCTGATGTTGTCCAGCTCGATCTCCATGTTCACCTTGTCGAGGATGAGCGTCTCGATGGTGGTGCGCAGCTCGGTGATCTGGACCTCGTAGTTGACCGTGAGTCCCCCGTCGGGCGAGAGCGGCGCGCCGCCCGTGATGGAGGCGAGCTGCGCCTCGAGCGCCGCGTTCTCCCGCTGCAGGAGTCGAACCTTCTCCACGTAGCCCCCGAAGCGGTCGTTCAGGAACTGCAGGGTGCTCTTCTCCGCCTCTCGCGACGCCATGGGCGGGATGGAACCCACACCCACGAGGGTGCCGGACAGACCCCCGGCCGTCAGCATTTTGCCCGCGGCGAATGCGGGGCTCCCGTAGGGGCCGACCCCGCCGCCGGGCCCGATGCCGAACCCACCGCCGATCAGGCCCGCCGCGCCTCCTCCCGGGAGCACGTAGCCACCACCTCCAAGACCCACTGCCCCATAGCCCAGACCAACTCCTCCTACTCCTCCTCCATAGCCCAGACCAAGCCCTCCACCGTAGCCCAAGGCTGCCCCTCCACCGTAGCCCAGACCTGCTCCTCCGCCGTAGCCCAGAGCTGCCCCTCCACCATAGCCCAGACCTGCCCCTCCACCATAGCCCAAGGCTGCCCCTCCACCGTAGCCCAGAGCTGCCCCTCCACCGTAGCCCAGACCTAACCCTCCACCGTAGCCCAGAGCTGCTCCTCCGCCTGACGCGTACCCGAGGCCGGCGCTAACTCCCTTGTAGGAGCTGCTGCTGCTGCTCTTCATTTGGCTGTACGAGCTGGAGCTCGCGGCCGTTGCACTCACTGCAGACGCAGACATTGTGGCTGACAGGATGGATTGCGGCTGGGGAAACTTAGCTGCGGTGGAACGAAATGCAAGAGGGACCTCGCCAACGGCCGCAGCAGGTGAGAGAGAGATGATTATTCTGCCGCTACCAGAGAACTCCTTCGCCTATTTATCAGGAGGAGGGTGAACAATAAGCCCAGTGTCACCGTACGAAGTTACGCACGCGAGCCAGACTCAGATTGTTGAAAGAATCCCTCAGAAGCGTCTGGCATATTTTGAATGGTTGGACGTGTGCTTGCTCGTCGCCAGCTCGCAATACGCTCATTACTGAGAGTCGGAGCTTCCAGCGAGAGAGGGAGAGTCGTGGCACCGTCAGCAATTTACAGGCGTGATTCGCAGCCAGATATTGAATCAAGATCAGCATCAGCAGCAATATGGAAGAGTTCGAGTGTCTTACCGTTCAAAAGAGCAATTAATTCTAGATTTGAAGTTTTCGTGACTGCAATGATTCATATTCTTAGGTTTATTCGGTAAAGTCACGTAGGTAAAAAAAATATTATTAATAAAAGTAAAATAAAATAAAAATCACGACGTTTCGGAGGCAACACAAGCTTCCGTCTTCTATTTTACCGAAACAACCTCAGAATAAGAGCAATAAAGCCACGTTACGTTGGTGGCCGTGACCCTGCGGTGCGAATTTCACATTCTCATGGCGGGGGTGAGACTCTTGATAAGGATAACAGATGTTGGTGTCTTCTTTGTATGGTACAGTACTCATTTTGTCACAGACCCCTTAAAACCTTCCAAAACAATCGTTTTGTCTAATCAAACGACAAATCTAAAAGGGCACGCCAAGACACGCATGCGGATAATGCAATAACATTATACAGAACAATAACTGTACACACGTCAGTGCTTACCAGCTCAGAAAACAATGGGCACATAACAATAATATAAACGTAGAAGTGAATACAGGGTTTGTGAACGGGGCTGTGCCATTGTTCCGGAGTCCACTTGAAGTCACCGAAGGTCACTCGTTTCGCGCATTGTTTTCCTGGCTCAGCGTCCGGCTTTGTAGAATGTATCAGAGCAAAGTGTTATCCGCGATCGCCCATCAAGGCTGCAACAGCGCACACCAAGGTGGCGGTGTGACCACTTACGCCACTGAATCTTCTCCATCCCGTGGCCGGAATACGTTGACGTGTGTTTGCGGCACGGTCCACACCTATTCACTTCATTAATCAACGTTTTTGGGTTTAGATCGCGTTATTTATGAATGTGTCGTAACCCTCCACCACCCTACACGGCCAATCAGTAAAAAAGTGTCACGTTGACAAAAGACAAATAGTTCACTGCTTTAGCCCACCGGTGTGTTGAAGCGTGAAACCACAACATTTAAAAAAAAATTTCACGCTTCAACACACCGATGGGCTAAAGCAGTGAACTATTTGTCTTTTGTCAACGTGACACTTTTTTACTGATTGGCCGTGTCGGGTGGTGGAGGGTTACGACACATTTATAAATAACGCGATCTAAACCCAAAAAGTTGATTATGAATAATATTGGTCGCGAAAGCCTGCTACGTGTTAAACTGACCTATTCAATTATTCATTGGGGCCAGGGGGTTTAGTCACCAACCGGTGATAGTGGTGGTGGCCTTGTGCCGGTGCGGTGTTGGTGATTTCATGGTCGTGGCGTTTGAGCTGGGGTTGACTGTAGACGTTGTGATGTACGATGATGGTGATGATAATGGTAAACGTCATCATCACCCATCGCTTGATCTCAAGTCGAACAAAAGCCATCACCGTCCCTGACGTGCACGTAAACGGGTCTTGTCGCTCCATCTCCACGGTGGTCGGCCTCACTGAGCTCGCTCTCGCCTTTGGTTACCGTTTTGTCGCCAGTTGACGTCCAATTTGCCATCATCCCGTCTCGCGACGCCGCCACGGTGGGGAGATGTTAACTACCTCGCCAGGTATACAAGGGCACGTGGGTTCGATCCCGACCCTGACGCCTGTTGTTGTTTATTTGGAGTTTTCACGTTCTCCTTGTCGTCGCGTAGAATTTTCTCCGGGTCTTCTGGTTCTTCCCTCAATATTTAGAATAAATTGTATTTTTTCCGTGACTTTACCGAAAGAACCAAAGCGTAATTCCTGCAGTCACGAAAGCTTCGAATTTAGAATCAACATCACGCTTTTAGTGTGTTGGCTGCTTTAAATGTCCACGTGATAAGCCACTTGGTTGAGCTATAAATTGTGGGCAGATCGCTTCTGAAAACGAGCTAAGTAGCTCAGTGAACCTGACCTGGTAAAATAAAACGTAGATTTTGTTGTTACTTTCTTTGAACCTTACTCTTTGTTTTTGTCGGTAAAGTCACGTAGGTTAAAAAAGGAAAACAAATACATTAAATCACGACGTTTCGGAGGCAACACAAGCCCCCGTCTTCAGGTGGAACAGTCACAGCAAAATTACTGTAGCAAGTGACTGTCCCACCTGAAGACGGGGGCTGGTGTTGCCTCCGAAACGTCGTGATTTAATTTGTTTGTTTTCGTTTTCCTTTTTTCACCTACGTGACTTCACCGAAAAAACCAAAGAGTATGGATCCTTGCAGTCACGAAAGCTTCAAATCTAGAATTATTTGAACCTATCTACGTGATTTTACCGAAAGACCCGAAGAATATAAATAAAACGTAGTTTTTTTTATAGTTTACTTTGATATTTTTAATTGGTGTAGGTAACGTGTCATCGGAACTGGGGTGGTTTGTCATGGCCAGGGGTCTGAAACTTGCGTCTCTGGAGCCGCGTGCGACTTCTTCAAGGACTGCTCCGTGACGGTCGTCTCGTCGTGACATGCATCGCGGCTCTCTTTGTGTGTTTGTTGCCGATCCCTGGTAATGGGAATACGCATCGTGGCGGATCGATGGCACCCGAAACTGTAGTACATTCAGTGCCGGATTAAGCTAGTGCGGGGCCTGCAGCATTTGTTATGAAAGGGCCCTAAATAAAATAAAAACACGTAAATATTAAAACACATACATTTTTACTTGCATAGTAAAGTAATTGTATTTGCTATACAGCCAGATAATAAGACAAATCGCTAACCTTAAACACCCAGTCGTTCATTAAAGTATAAGGCAGTATAGTACTATAGTAATAGAGCAAGTGCAGAATCATTGATCCGGAATTGATAGCTTGAAAGCATTTAGCGCGGGGCCCTTGAAAGTGCGGGGCCCGTAGCATATGCAGCTAGGATAATCCGGCACGGAGTACATTTCAATCTTTAATCGCGGTGTGTGTGTGTGAAGAGCTGTGTGAGCCGTGATGAAGAGGTAGGGGCGGGGTGCGGGTCTCGGTGCCCCCTCACCCCCCGTATCGCCTCTGGGCGCGCGCCGCGTGGTCTGGGCGAGTGGCGCGGGCGTTGTGGAGGCGGCCAACGCCGCTGAGTCGCCAGCTTCGCGTGCCGAGCGCGCAGACTCGGCAGATCCCAGAGACAATGGAAGTCTTCTTGCTCCCTTCTCTGCGCCCTGCACCGCGTGGGCTGAGCGGCCGCCAGGCCACGGAGGGAGAATGCGCGCCCTCTGTGTCACGCCAAATGCCGTGGCCGTGTGCGAGCGTGCACAGTGGAATGAATGTATGGCTGGCTCGCTGGCCACCCCTGTGTCCTTAAAGCAGTGGTTCTTAACCACGTGGGTGCGAGATGCCCTTTCTCAGGGGTGCGAGACATGCCAGATTTCTTTAGAAGGTAAATAATCATGGAAACACAAATTAATCACGGGAACGTGAGTACCACTACTTTGTTTCGTCAAACTTAAGTATGTATTAACATCGCTACATTGTTTTTTATCGATTGAGAACCAAAGAGGTGCAAGGCTGCAGTAAAGGATAAGAAGCACTGCCTCAAAGTAACTTCTCTCCGGTCCCCCGAATAGAATGCTTTTTCTTCTCAATTATACGAATGTGAATATCACTTGAATAGATGTTCATCTATTAGGCGGTAGACTAAAAAAAACGACATTGTAATTGTCAGTTCACTTCATATGTACGTTGAATTTCGATTTAAAGCTTTCGTGACTGCAGGGATTAATAGTCTTGGATCTTTCGGTAAAGTCACGTAGAAGGGAAATAATAAAATAATAAAAATAAAACTAAATTCTCACGACGTTTCGGCCACAACACAAGCAGCCGTCCTCAGGTGTTCATTAGGACGCTGTCTTTCCGACAGCTCTGTTCTTCACCTGAGGACAGCTGCTTGTGTTGTGGCCGAAACGTCGTGAGAATTTTATTATTTTATTATTTCCCTTCTACGTGACTTTACCGAAAGATCCAAGAATATGTACGTTGAACTTCTTTCGCACCGTACGTAGCCATCGGTGCGAATCGGAGGTGCGGGTAATCTGTGGTTGAAATTAAGTCACGAGTTAAATGTGCGTTAGATGTATTCAGTGGTTTTAAACATAGCCTCGTGATTGATTTGCGAAAAAAATAGTTTTAACTCTTTTTTACATATAAAAAATCATTTGCGTGAAGTGTCACATTGAGGGATGAATTGGGCATACAAATGAAGTCGTGTTACTTGCTCGATATAAATCCTTGCTCAAACATAATTTGAGATAAAAAAGGAAAAGCCATAGAAAAATTAATTATTTATTTGCAATCGTCTCGAGCCGATGTTGATAAGATCCAGGATGGTATTTCAGGGACTGCGTGCGCAGTTGTATAAACACTGTACGACTTCTCCTTGACAATGACGACGATAAATCTTCGTCGAAGTTGACACTTGGCTGTTTTTGCGTAACCTTTACGGTTCCCCCCATTTATCAATGGGAATGTCCAATTAACTCACAAATTTAAGGTAACAAAGGAATGCAAACTTTTCGGGACTAAAAGCTGTTTAACAACAAAACGCAGCTCATGCGTCGCCTTTTTTAAAATCCTTTATATTAAGTTCGCTTGCGTGCTTGCTTGCGTGCTTGCTTGCTTACGACCGTGCAAATCTTCCGGTCGTTTTTTAACCCACTTCCCGTGATCCAATCGAGCTGACATTTTGCACACAGACTCGTTGTGCTGAGACAATTAATGTTCGTGAAAAAAAATCCTAAATTTTACACTGTTTAGGGGAAACAAATTAAATATTTAATTACCAATTGCTTAATACTGGCAGACAATCATCTGACCCATAGGTGGCAGCCATCTCAAGCCAGAGGACGAGAGGACTCTAGCCGCCACGCATATAAAGGATTTATAGTGAAAAACTTTGTTTTTACGGGTTATACTTATTTATCAATGTGATCAAGTTTACACTTTGATAAATACACGTTAAAGACGACACGCAACCCGCACTTTACCCAACTCTTAACATTGCCGTATTCTCTCGAGTTTCAGACTTTCCAGAAACTTGACCCAGCAGACGGTTTGGGCAAATGTTATTAGCGAGCACCTATGAAGGCTGATTACGGCACACGAGGGGGGTGTCCAACAACCACGCCCGGCCGCCTTTGTATCCCCAGTGGTAATGTTTACACGCCACACCACTCATTTGAGGCTGAGTCGACCTAGGGGAGGCCCAAGACCGTTACAGATAATAGTCACTGGTGTTGGCCGTGAGCGGGAACCGAACTCGGGTCACCTCGGGTCACGGAGTTCGTCGCGCAGCGCGCTAACCACTATACCACCGCTCCCCACCAATGAAGATCCACACATCTGGCCACACACACACACCTCGTGGATGATAAGGCGTACTCCCCACCCGCTCAACATTTGTTAACTACCTGGCGGAGAATGTGCGCTCACGTAATGCGGGAAATACGGTAATCGCGAAGACATCTGTTGTTCCAGATGTCTTGTGACCCGCAAAAAATTCACCCCTGATTATTGTTTCCTTTGCATGCTCATTTCTGTCGTCACACCCATTGGTATATACAAACAAATATTCAGTTTTAGATGAATTGAGGTGACAAGACATCTGGACCACACTTTTACAGCGCGTCCAGCAAGCAGCCGCCTAATTTATAGACGTACAAGCCCACGTGGTTTGTCATTCCATCACACTTTAACCACGCTGGCCAGTGCGGGTCGCTGAAGAAGGGGAGCACAGACATACAGTACAACAACGGCTTTCTTTGTCAAGGCTGCCCATCACATGGTCGTGTAGCCGCCCGTGACACCCCCGGGCGCGCTGGGTTGTGGCCAAGCCAAGAGCTCTCCACCAGGCTCGGCCACCCCGCTTCGCCTGCCGCAACGGGCGAGATCGGACACATTCCGGCTGATTTGACGACGGGCGTGTCGATCTTATATGCAACGTTCACACAAATCACGCCCTGTTGTTTATCTCGCTGCCGCAACTATCATTATTTAAATTACAATCAATAGGATTTGAAGCGTCGTTGCCGGCCTGAGCGTGCGCGTGACAGAAAAGGGGAAGCTGGAGTCCGCGTGGTTTAAACTCGTGAGCAAGCCGAGATGACCAGATGCCCCCCCAGTTGGGCAAGAGCGTCCGTTGCGCTGATCAGCACGTGGTACAGCCGCAGCGCGGGCACGAGACACAATGTGCAATGTAACAGTGGAACTCCGTCTGTCTTCAGGGCTGGCGGGGCTCTTGCGCACTCGTAATCGACAACCGGTGGCCGATTTCTGTGCGAGAGGACCGACACAAACAGGATGGGTGTCTCTCCTTGCGGTTTAGCAGTCCGTTAGATAAGCCATTTGGTGTTCCCATTTTGAACAACAACAAAAGGCCCACTGTTGTTGTTGAAACATTCCATCATCCCGTGAATGGACCAGCAGCTAAGCTCATCTCGGTGGCGAGATGTTATCTCCCTCGCCTGGTATGCAGGAGGTCGTGGGTTTGACCCCGACCTGACGCATGTATATTTGGTGTGTATGTTCTCCCCTTGGTGGCACGGATTTCATGGAACACGATATCGACGTTTAGGAGAGATTATATATGTTTTAGTCGACTGAAACGCCAAGATCCATCTTTCCTCTTCGTGACAAACCAGTGTTGTTATTTGGTGTCTATACATTCACACTGAATAAAAACAGACTTTTTTTCCTTTGACAAAAATTTACTTTTTTTTCAAAATAGACTGGCAGTGTTGACCTTACATGTTAATGGTAATGGAGCTGTGACGCAAACTATGATCATGATGGTGAAATTGAGTCTTGAGAAATGATTGCGATTGTTTTTTCTACTTAAAATCCGACTTCTTTATTTAGACTTCAGGAATCCGATGAGCTATGAAGATCTTTTTCACAGAAGTGATCCATCACTGGTTTTCTCCTTTTATTCGAATGCTATATGATTGCATGCCAATTCATCTCCACTGAAATCAGAAAAGGACCCTGGGGGTTTTTTGCAGTTTTGCAGAAACTGCAAAAAACTAATTTTAAATTTTTTGCCAAAAACGGCCAACATTTACTTTCCTTTAAAAAAAAAGTCGATTCCACCTTCGTGTTCTTGATGTGCTATATTTGAAAATAAACGTTGACTTTTTTCAACAAAAAGCTTATCTGAATGTAGCCAACATATTTTTCAGTACGTTTATTCCCTGCATTGGGTTTAAGCCTAGTATACTATGTCAAAAGAAAGTGGGAATTTTGACGATAATTTTCACAACACACTTGAGAGCATAGGTGAGACTCGTCTCCAACTTTTTTCGTGTTATTCAATTTTTGAGTAATAAAACGCATAAAACTGGAGTCATCGCTTTCTTAATGTACACAATCGTTCATCCCAGCTCAATAAAACATGACGGTCTTGTTGCGTCTTTCCCGCCTGGCATGAGAAGGCAGCTGCAGTGTGGACACGTCCATGTAAACCTGATACACTCAAGTTAGTAAAGTACATAGTGTTTTTTTATTTCGCTGACAAGCCGAAGCGTGTGGACAGCACAGTGGTTTAGATACAATTTGGATTCATATCGGGGTCTAATTGTGACTGCATCTCAAGACACTGTACACAGTGAGCACACTGTATATAATTTAGACCAACAATAACAATGTACAGCCCTTTATCAATCCACATGGCTGGATGACCTTCCCATTTTTAATCATGGGGGTTAATTGATCATACGTCACCACACTGGGGAGCGTAGTAAAAGCGGAAGGTCTTGCAGCCTGTACTTCAACTGAGGCAGGGATTCAACAGCATGGATTTCTGGTTGTTGAGATGTCTGTCTGACATGATAAAAGCTGCTGCAACATTTGACATTAAAATATAAAACACCTTTCCTAATAGGCCAAGATGGAGCCACGAGTAAGCTCGTCTGTCTGAAAGCCACCTCCTGAAATTACGTTTCAACCACTGATACCCCTTTTCCAGCAGCAACATCCGACATGAGCCAGCACAAAGCCCGAACATAACAGGTGAAATGTCACTATCTTCTGTGCCAAGCCAGAAGCAACCCGATATACCATCCTCACATCTTAATCTGGTTTGGGGTCAAACACTGCCAGGGGTGAAGCGAATGACAAGTTCTTGGTGACATCAGTGGCATGGCTTGCCTTCTGCAGTGGAAAAATCTGGTGCCTCCTAAACTGTGCCAGGCTGGCTCGGCATGGCACAGTTGCAGCTTGGTTGTCGATTGGAAAATAGCTATAAACGACTTCGTGTTCCATGAGGTAATGCGAGTTAGGACTCTCTACACGGCTGTCCACATGTAAATGTGTTTAAATATCGCTCTGTGTGATGCAAATTTTTTCTAGGTGCATTTCTGCAAAATGGTGCCTCATTGTTTCTTTCCTTCACTGCAATTACACCCTCGACATTAATTGACGGATATTATGTCAAAAGTACTTTTTAATATACAGTATTGGTTTCATGCTAACGACAGCACACTTTAATAAGAGGAAATATTTGCAATCAAACGTGAATCAATAATTGACGCCCGCGAGCGTGGCAGTGCAAGTCTGGCTTGGGACTCTGGGACGCCAACTTGCAACGGGTGGGAGGCAGTAGCAGAGGGTCGCGCCAAAATTCGACGAGGCCACAAACTCCACCTCGTGTGTGTCCCAGTCTCAATTGTTGTTGCAAAAATGGAATTACTGATGATTGGAATACAAAGGTAATGCACGATGATGATGATGATGATGGCGATGCACAGGTGCTGGGCTCCTATCTGGCCAGTTCTCCTGGGAATGGCATGGGCCAAGTGTGGTCATCTGGTGGAGAAAGTGCTGATGGTGATGGTGATGATGAAGCCACTGCCTTCAAATTTCAGTTATTTAGCAAATAATGCATGTATCCATCGTTTCAAATGTATCCTCAATGTAATGATACATGCATCATAAACAATTATTAGCAATTTAAGGAGATTATATATTCATGTTACTTTTAGGCAATGGTGCAATGAAAATGATACAAACGAAAATTTTTACGATAGGGATTTTAAAATTAAATCGCAAAGCGAAGTCGAAACAATTCAATCTACACTTTCGTATGGCAATACGTTCAGGAGCTAAATGCCAATGTCGAAATGGACATCGTTAATTCCAACAGTTCATTGACTTGCTGGGGGGGGGTAGTGGTGGGGGGGGGGGTGGGAATCACCACATACCTACCTGTTACTCAACAAATCCATATATGCACGTGACCTGAGACGTTCAAAACTGAAGACGGAAGTTTGTCGTCTCCTCAACCTGGTGCCACAATCCGCCACTGCTCGAGCGGGGCCGGAAGGACAGTTATATCGGCGAGCAGACAAAGTGAGGGCGGGCGAACAAAAAGGTGCGGGCACACGGACGAGCGAGGCTGGGCGGGCGGAAGAGAAGGGAGGAGCGTACGAGTCTCACTCGCACAGCGAGCGCATCCTCGACTCGAGGCCCGTGAAGTTCTTCTCGATGGAACCGGCGTTGTCCTTCATCGTCTTGTTGAGCTGTGGTGGGAAAAGAAGAGCATGCCATGGAACATCCGTCGAAAACACGACGCGTGACGCCGATTAATGCGCGACGGCACAAGGAATCGTTGGGGTCAATGGGGGTCACCAAGGTGGGCTTACCTGGGTCAGCAGCGAGGAGTTGGTCTGCACGGAGCTCGAGATCATGTGCTGGGTTGACTCCAGGTGACTCAGCAGTTGCCCGAACTGCATTGCTGCATCACAGAATGACAAAAACGAAACAACACGTGTAAATTCCTATGACAACATCAGAGTTGAGTAAATTGAGATTCTGGACTGCCCTGTCCATACTGTAAGGTTTATAATAAAGATCATAAATACTCATGTAATTTAAGCAGTAAATGCTAAAAAAATGTCTCCCTTTTTAAAGGGGGTGTATTTTTGGGCAAAAAACAAGAGAAAAAGATGCCTTCAGAAAACCCACAAATACAAGGGGACCACACCTTGAACTCACTTGCTGTACTGCCATCTTGTGGCAACCTGATAGGCTGACACATTTGTGAGTCACCTATGTGTATCACAGGCATAGACTACGAAGATGCATAAATGCATGCCAGTGATGTTGATGTGATGGAAATAGAGGGTGATGTCCTGGCTGAGTGGACCTAGCCAAGGGTAAAAGATGGGGCCTGGTAATGTCTGGATGGGTGTCTTAATGGCAGGGTGGGTGTGGTCATGGGGGGGGGGGGGAGTGGAGCTCTTTGTGGAGCCAATAAGAGCACCTTGCTCATGGAGCTCTTTGAGTGCACGGAGCCGCTCCGCAACACGGGGCAGAGCGTCTGCCACAGAGTCCCACCGTTCCATCATCTCGTATAGCTTAGTCACCTGCACAAACACACAACAACAAAGATCCCCCGTATGACCTGTAGCAGAGGATGAAGGCTGGAACGGCGCACGAAGAGGAATGTTTATACACTACACCAGACACTACTTTACGGCTGAGTGTACCTCGGCGAGGCACAGGACTGGTGCAGATATTCATTACTGATGTTGGCCGTGAGCGGGAATCGAACTCAGGTCGTCGAGTACGTAGGAGAATGCGCTATCTACTAAACTACTACCACTACCCACATTCACACACATACATATACGTGCATTGGTAATTCACTATTTTTGTCCCTGGGTAGAGTTATTTTTTCATTGCTTATGCCTAAAAAGTATAGAAAATGGCTATTATTCCCCACAAACTTTGCTTTTGTGACCAGCACTTTACGTGAAGGAATGGCACAAATGCACACATTTTCTCATTGAAAATCGATACATTTCAAAATATCACCGTCCTGATCACAAAAGCAAAGTTTGTGGGGAATAATAGCCATTTTCTGTACTTTTGAGGCACAAGCAATTAGGAAATAATACTTACTACCCAGGAACATTTTTTTTTGTTACACAGTGATAATTCAATTAAAGTTGTACGATGAGGGGTAGTGAGTAAAGAAACACTGCACTCAGAGGTGAAACATTACACATGTAATAGGCACAGGCACAACCAAAAAAACACAAGTCGCAATCTTGCAAAATAAATCAGGTGTGCTGCAGTGACGTCACTGCGACATCACTTCCTGCAACTTATTCACCAATCCCCAAAGCCAAGTCAGAGAGTACAGGACACAGCAATCGGTATTTATCTACAAGACAAAAGCTGTTTGTTTTTGTGAGGTTCTGGCTTCCAATAAAACGTGTTAATGCACCTCACCTTGCTCTGGGTCTCAGCCTCCTCTGCGTAATCCTTCTGTTTGGTCACCTCGTTCAACTTTCCCAGCACGCCCTGCCAAGAGAGAGTTCACACCACGATCGGCTGTTGCATGCACTACGTCTGCGAAACACCGAACCGCACCAGTTGTGCCGGATGCACATCTCTGCCGAGACACCTCGCCAATTACGAGATGACAGCGCTGTGCTCACCAACTGCTGTCGAATGCCAGATTCACATTCACGAAACACCGCAGCAGCTCATGCATGTGGCGCCAAGGTAGTTGACCTTGAGGCCAATACCATAAATTTTTACTTTTATCTGGGAACATAGCATCTAAGCAAGGAAAACTCAGAAACTTCGCATGAAGAAGCCTGGGATAGTGCTTGGATGGATGACCACGAGGCACAAGCAGGTGATCGGCTGCAGCGCTACGTGCTGGGCAACAGACGGCAGTTCTATGCTCAATCGTTTATGCTCCCCGCCTTCACCAAAGCACACTGACCAGCATTGCCAATTATGGCCAATTCTCTCACGACCGGTATGGTGTGGGAGGCTCTCACCCAGCAGTCGATTGACAAAAGGGGTTCACAAGTAGAAGAGGAATTTAAATTGTCCTGGAGCAGCACAGGTGTCGCCGAGAGAGGGGGAGATCCGAACCTGCAGCCGAGCCTCGATTTGGTCCAGGTTGGCCGGGTCCAAGACTCCCAACCTCAGCTGCATGAGCTCCAAGGCCCCCTGTCGCACACAGCAGCAGCAGCAGCAGAGATTACGTCAACACGTTACCATCACGTCATGATCATCAGTACATTACCAACATCGCTCTGTATAACTACATAACTAATATGGCTCTACTACAACACCATATCACTAACATTATCCCATATCACCACATTACTAATACATCATTACCACATAACCAAAACATGACCAACATCATCATCAGATCAAAACTACATCAGCACCACATTGTCAATATCACTCCACATCACCACTATCTGTTGTGGCAGAGGCCTAACTTTGCAGGCGTTCTACAAAGCTGTAGATTGTGGACACACTTGTTTTTGGCGTCATGGGCCTTCGTTGCCAAAGCATGTCTAATGATGATCATCGTTACACACCTAATAATTACCCAGTCACCCTAAAGTGGCATGAAATTGTTTTAAACTTACCATGACAGTTGAACTCTGCAAGCCAACAGCGATGGGATTCTGTTAATAAAAAGATAGACACGTACACACATATACACACGTACATACACACAACGCCTTCGCACGCCCCACTCAAGTGCCATCTGCGCCGTGCATGTGCAATGAGAAACCATGAGGTGCCACCGAGGTTTACCGGCTTGTCTGGAGCCTTCCCAACCACCGCCTCTAGCTCGCTCAGCCTCTTCTCCATGTCGGCCGCCTAGGGCAGACGACATGCAGGGCAGCACCAAATCACCGTCTCTGTGTATGTAGTGGTGTTGATGTATTTCTCTGTCATTTGCCCATTTCCCACACCAGTGCCAGGCCCTCGCGTAAAGGTGGTTTTACACGAGCTACTGGATGAGCCGAACCAGAACAGAACCATGATACTCTGGCCTCACAAGACATCTTCATCTGGCTCGAGGTCAAGCAAGACCACTCGTGAGCTGAATAATTCCCACCATAAGTTGTGGCCATTTTTGTCATTTGTTGCATCTGCATACGACCGATTCATTATGAAGGACGTCGCCTGCACGGCTCGGGTTTTGAAATGGAAACACAACCTGGCACCTCTCCTGATCCGCACCGAGGTTTTCTCGGCACGGCCCTGGCACGGCTAGGTTGTACTGCGTAAAGTAGGTAATTGTGTATGATTATGCATCTCTGTGTGTTTTTGTCCTATGTGTGCATGTGTCAGTGTGAAAAGGTTTGTTTCTGTGTTTGAGGGCATGCATGCAAGTGTCTGCATGTGTGGGCATCTGTGTTAATGCAAGTACGTGTTTATATAATTTCTCTGTGTGCACGTACGTGCGCGCGTGCCTGCATCTGCCTATCAGTCAGCGAGCGTTATGGGCGGTGGTCACACACCTTGGCCACGTGCTGGAACTTGTCGTGCTCAGGCCGGTAGAGCAGCTCGTATGTGATGATGGCGCCGTCCCCGCCAGCCTTGCCAGAGCCCTTGGACTCGGCACCGTCAGGACGCCCGCTCTTCAGCGTGTCCAGCTGAGTCAGCAGCCGCCTGACATAGGCAGGCGGCAAGAGGGGGAGAGAAGAGGGAGCAAGGAGGAGAGTAGCACGGCGCATTTAGTGACACATCCAGCAATCCCGACGTGGAACCAAACCAGTCACAATCACGCTCCAAACATGGACGTTTACTTTTGTAATTATAGCCATTCCATAAATCAGCCATATATTTTTTTCATTTATATGTAAGATAAAAAATCACATACCATATATATTATTGACCCCTAGAAACTGTCCCAGAAATTATATGTATACATAACTGCAAGCATCTTAGCTGCACTAATCGGGTGCAAGAAATAATATTTTGACCTTGCATCCCTGCGTTTCAAATTTTAGCACGCTCTGTCACCTCCGTCACTTCAAGGCCCTCTTTAATATTACGTCGACACGCAAGTTAGTTTTCACATTATTCATGGAATAGCGACAAGGTGTGTTAATATGCGGCCCATCCAAGGTATTTGAATGTTATATTCACTGTTGGTAAAAAAAAGATTCCCCACTCCTGCTTTAAAGAATACGGAAATGGGGGGGGGGGGGGGCTATCGTAGTCTTGGGGTCCAGAAGTGATCCTTACTTGGCGAGCGCTCCGTGGGGGTCGGCCAGGTCAAGGGAGGCATGGGGGCCTAGCGATCGCTCTAGCTGCAGCGAGGCCAGCTGCTGCCGGAGCCCAGAGACCTGCTCCGACAGCACCACGGGGCTCAGCTTGTCCTCCTTATCCGTGTCTTGTGCCAGCGTCTGGTGTGAGAGGATAGGTGGAGTTTGTACGCACGGGTCATAAACAAGCATGCATGCGTGTACGTGCGCGTGTGAGCGCGTGTACACACTGGGATCGCACCTGTACTGACTGCACCTCCTCAGCCAGCTCTCGGATCTCGTGCTGCAGACGCTGGTACCACTGCTGTGGCGTCTCCTTGGCCTTGCTTCCATCCTCTAGCTGCCGAGACATAGCACAGACGTGCCATGATGACACATAGCCGGTATGACGATGAGCACAGCGTAGGGCATGCAAAGAACAAATAGCACATGTAACGTACAAAGCATATGCACAATACACGCCCCACGCACATAACAGCACTCTCAAGTTGCAGTAATGTGCAGCTCGTACAGCAGACAGCACACAACACACACAGAACACAGCACATGCACCAAATATATATGGCATGCACCACACACAGCATACAAAGAAAATGCCCCCTTGACAACCCTCCTTCTAACAAATTTGTGAATCAATTCAAGAACAAATTTTTTGTCTCATTCCTGCAGTGTGCTTTATAAAGTTTGTCTTTTTCCGTCTTGTTTGTACGATTCAGTGAACTCAGCCAGTTAAGCAACAATCCTCGTCATACTTCACTCAATGTGATGTTACCCCTCTCCCAGGCTCTCTCCTCCTGTTCAAGTCCAGGCTCAGGACGTTCTTCTTTTCCTCTGCCTATGACAGTCCCTGTGATGGGTCATCATTCTAACCTTTACCACATACTCATCTACTTTCCATCTATTTCCTGTAACCTATTCCCACCCGATCCCCTCTTATGAATATAATTGTTTTCAAGCTCCCAAGGATGCAGACGTCCCCATGATTTGCAATGCGGCCACATTTGCATTATTTATAAATCAAGTTAATATTGTGTTGTCCGGAGTACAGTGTCTACATTCCATGTGGTTTTCAACGCATGCCCACTCACTCACCATTTCATAATCCCCGGCCTCATATCCAGTTCTGCGTCCCTTGCTTATCCTATCGGAAAAATCTGCACAAATGGAAGAAAAGTAACAGCTATAGAGTGCATGAAACAGGTGTTTACAAAGAGTCACAAATAGGGAGTGGATGTATGTGTGGGTGTACATGACCATGCGTGATGCGAGTGTGTGATTGAATGCATGTATCTGCATGTGTGCATATGCAGACGCATGTGTGCATGTACTTGTAAATTCATGCGAAAGCTTGTGGACATTATTAGGTGTGTGCTTGAGTTTGTGTCTATGTGTTCATGCGCAAGCTTGTGTGCGCGCACCTGTAAGTGTGCATTTGCGTGTGCGTGCAAGCATACGTTTAAGTGCATGGATAAGCATATGTGAATGTTAGTGTGTGAGCTTGCAAGTGCTGCAGATGCGAGCTTGCGTTTGTGTGCCTGCGTGTGAGCGTAAAGTTGCGTGTCGTTCATGAACGTACATTTACACGCGTGTGTGTGAGCATACGTTTATGTGTGCGTACGTGCGCGAGCGAGCGAGTGGGCTGCTGCAAGGTACCCGTGTCCTTCGAGGAGACGTGCTTTTCCTTGAACTCGTCGAACGCCGCGTTGGGACTCACGACGATGCGCTCCACGCTCACGCTGTTCAGCTCCTCCTGCAGGGGAAGGGGAGTGGGGGAGCAAGGAGATGGTGCCCAGCTCAGAAAAACGTGCACCGACGATGACTAAGAACAAGGCTGCTCCCCCAAATTTACCAACGTCAACCGGCGGTGCAGGCTTACCAACGTGGATCAGACAGACTAACAACCACCTCGCCGTGTGGACAGAGGAAGGCATTCCTATGCCACATACATTTATATAAGTGAAGCTGTAGCACAGTGGTTAGTGCAATTCAAATTTGAAATCAGCAATCTGAGTTTCATTCCTGGCCACAGCTAACGTTAGTGGTAAGACATCTCCGAACCGCCCCCGCTCAAGTTGACCAACCTTCACCAGCGTGAAGCGTGGTCCAAAAACCCACATGACCACCTGAAATATCGTGGCGATGCCTACATCCACCAATGGACGAAGGGCTGTAACTTATAACTACTCTCATCATTTTAATCTAACGGGTTTTAGTTACATAAAACTTAAGCAAGCTTTACTTTAATTTCTTAAATAAATTCATGGGGAATTATCAATTAAGTAATAAATGCCTTTCTTTACAAAACTTAAATGAGGAAAACCCAAAATACAAATAGCTCTTGTAGATTAACATCTCTGCTCAGCGCCCTGTGATGCCTAACATGAGTTTGAAGTTTTGTTCGTGAATATACTTTTAAATATTGTTAGGCGTGCCATTATAGCACATTAATCACACGTGTTATAACATCTCTAGCACTACAGCAGCCGCATTCTTGACCATAAATGTTGTCTATTCTCATACACAAGAGCATTAAACTCACGTAGGACAGCCTCGTTGTACACAGCCTGGACTATATATTTATGAGGCAAGAGCTTTTTAATCCTTGATTTGCATCTTCCGAGCAAAAATATATATAATGGCAGCAGCTGAGACTGCAAGGAAGCTTGTGATTATTGGCATCTCAATGACCAGACGCACATTCAGTACGCAGAGAAGTGCAAAGATGACAGTGCCAGAACATCCTTACCAGCTCCTTTTGGAATCCACAGAGAAGACAGTGAGGGTTTTAAAACAAACCAAGCGGAGGATAAGAATAAATAAGAGGTGGTCAGTTAGAACACAGAGAGAACAATAGCAGTCCTTTGGTGGGGGCTACGAACAAATAGATTTAGTACAAAGATTATAAGAATGGCTTAGTCGTAGACACAGTACACAAATATTATTGGGTCTTTCGGTAAAGTCACGTAGATAGGTTCAAAGAAAATAACAAAACATAACAAAAAACTACGACGTTTCGATCGCAACACAATCAGTCATCTTCAGGAAGACGACCGTCTTCAGGAAGACGTCCGCTTGTGTTGCGATCAAAACGTTGTAGTTGTTAGTTTTTGTTATTTTCTTTGAACCGATCTACGTGACTTTACCGAAAGACCCAAGAATATGAATTCCTGCAGTCACGAAAGATTTAAGTCAAGAGAGTACACAAACCTTAAAGCAAAACCTTTAATATCTCTAGAATTACAATTGCTAAAAACATTATTAAGGCTATTATTATTGAATATTAACATGATCAGATGAATCTATGTTAAATTGGGGAAGGGTGATTAGCTCTACATGCAAATGCTCAATGAGGATAAATAAATAAAAACTAATTATAATAAAATAAACAAACTATTTCTACCGACAAAGATGACCGCATCATGCAGTGTTAGCCTCAAAAGCGAAAAGCGAACAAAAAGCGAAAAGGGAACTTTGAGAAGCGTTGGCGGTGGATCACGGTAGGGCTGGTGCTGAAGCCGGTTGGCTAGGGTTAGTGCTTGGTTCACCAATTTGTTAAGGCTAGGAGTAGTGCTTGGTTTGTTTGTTATGGTTACGGGTATGCCAAGTGTTTTATTGGCTAGTTGGTTATTGTTAAGGCTTATACTATGGTTTGGTTGGCTCTTTGTTAAGGTTAGGGGTAAGGATGGCTACTCAATGAGGTTTCAAGATAATTGCAAACATTTGGTTAGTTTGTTAGGGTTCACTGGTTTTTAAAGCTATGGTCTGGCTGGATGGATCATGAGGGTAGGGTTTAGGGTAAAACTAGCTACTGGTTAGCTAGTGTGCTCAGTTTTCGAACAGTTTGTCCTCCATTGTGAAGTGAGGCCCTTTCGCTTTTTGATCGTGTTTCACTGATGCTGCTCCCATAGCCTGCTTCTACAACTGGCACGGGGGCAGGGGACATCATGCAGGGAGGTATCATGCAGCTCAGAGTGTAGGATAAAGTGGAGGAAATTGACCTTACTTGAGCAAACTACAGCATCCAGGTTACAAAGGAGAAGAGAAATAGTAACACATTGGCACATACAGCACGAGAAAAATGGTTATTGGTCATAAGCAGGGCACGTCAAACCTTGAAGTGTTACTCACTCATCACGTCTTATAATAGCCTCAACAATTGAGGACATTACTGGTAAAATGATGCAACTATTAGCAGAAGCATTCATTTTTATTGGCTGTGTTGGTGCACTAATTGTATTGGATTAAGTGATACGTATATATGTTTAATCACAAACATGTAAAAAAAACTGATTTGGTTGAATTAAAAAAATGCATCTGGTTGGATCAGTGCCACAACACTCGCTTAGTGTGGGATTGGTAGTGAGGGGAAATCACTGGGGAAAAGGATACATTCCATAGGAGTGACATTTGATAAGACAGGGGTTAAAGTTGATAGTCTGACTTAAGACATCTGTTGGAAAAGAGGTGCTTGATATCTGTGTTCAAGTGCTTTGGCAATGCTGTCGGGTGCTTTGGTGATGATGTTGATTTTGCAGTAGTGGTTGTGGTGCAGGGTGATTGGTGGTGGTTTTGGAAGGAGTGCAGAACAGAATTTGACTGTGCTGTAGAGAGTGACTCACGGACTCAAACTGTGCTTGGTCGTCCTCGGGTAAATCTGTCGTCTCGAACACATCCGGCTCGTTGAGGGCCTTCTCAACGACATACGGAGAAGCAAAGACAAAAAAAAGACATTAAGTCACAACATACAGACACACAAAGGTGCACAGAGACACATGCAGACATAGACACAGAAACACAGTGACATGAACAGATACACACAAAAACACATTGAAAGATAAATAGGTGAACACAAAATTACATGGAAACACACAGACAAATAATGTACACGGAGACACAAGCAGATGCATAAGCACAACAACATCCGCTATTTGCCACTAAGTGGCGGTGGCGTCACCACGCCGCTTGTGCCAGGCTATGTGCACTTTAAGGCCACTTGAAGTGTCGAACACTCGCTGGCAGGAGGTCACGGAACAGACCCCAGGTACCATGGGTTGACTGGCTGAGATGAACGGTAGATGCACCGCCTGCGCCCCCTACTGTGCATAGGCACACTCAGATACAGACACACAGACACAATGCTATAAACAAAGAGGTAGAGATATGGACAGTCACAGAAGACACAAACACAGACACAATGTAAAAAATACAGCAGCATTCGAAAACAAATGTTTGTAGGACCCCAAAAACACAGCTAAGTCCACCAGCCTCGTGTACCTGACCTGGGATCTATGCCAATGATTTTCAACAATCGTCAGGCGCACATTACCCTGCTTAACGTTTGAGGAAGATAACGTGTATTGTAACTTAGGTCATCTTCCTTGGCAGTAACTTGCAGAATGAATGCACATATCACACATTTAAACACAGTACAGTACTTGTTAATACTGGTGAACACATTCCCAGTGCATTATTTCACACGCATGCTTGTATCATTTTCTTTTTCTGACGAGTTCGTGAAATCTCCACTGGGGATTAATATTGACAATGTCTACTGTAAGGTGTACATTCGGGACCCAGTGGCATCATGTACAGAAAGTCAAACATAGTTTATTGGCGTAAACGCCTAAACTCTTCAGTTTAACAATTATTTGCAACTGAATCATCATTATTTGTAATACATACCACACCTCCTATGCAGTACATTTCGATGCATAAAGAAATGTAACGGACTGTCCTTAGTGGCTGACTGCAATGGGGCCAGTAGTCCTGAAAAAGTGCCTTTGCATTTTACTACTTATATCCGCATTATAATTAATTTAAGATTAATTGGTCAAACATTCCAATGTAGGATTTAATTGACTGAAAATGTGTTTAAAGGCTTCCCATGAGATATAACTCACGCAATTATTATAATTCATTAAAACAGAAACGCTGAACTTCCCAATGTAGGGGCTCTCCTCGTGTTCTACTATCAAAGCAGTACCCACGATGTACGAGAAAAGCAGCCAAAGAACCGGGAGAAAACTCACCGCACATAGGGGATGGATAACGCCCAAAGCTCCGTACAGATTGATTAAAAACCCATTGCTTTACCGCCCTCTCCCGGTCCCCTGACAACCCAGGCTACAACATCTGGTATACGCAGCCAGTCTCTCATTCAAATACTGTAATAACCAGGCTCAAACCTTAACTTCCGAAGTATGACGAAATATGTATGTTGAACTTCTTTCGCACCGTACGTAGCCAACCGTGCTAATCGGAGGTGCGAAATAGGACGCGTTCCGTGTGATTTGGTAATTGACAAAGGCATTAGGACACGAACAGAGCCATCCCAGATGCTGATGATGGCTTGTCAATATATCCAATAGAAATTAACTAAACAAATGGAGTCTTGACACTCCGTGAGGTATTTCTATACAAAGACATACACAATTCAGGCTATTATTGATAACGAAAGATGGATTTACCAAGCATCCTAAAACATGAATCTCCAAAACAAACAACAGTATGACTGTCACGGCTAGAAACCCGACGCGATCCCAATTAGCATTGTTATTGTTCTTCAACGGACTCCGAGGTAAAGAGGGAAGACCGCCTCACGGCACCGCCAGCGGGCCCAGAGGCGCATTCTCACGGGCAACCCCACTAGACAACACCGAGGACTTCCACCGTCGGCTAGGCCCAAATCGGCCGTGTCAAACCGAGGGGCGTCGCGCCTGAGTGAAGGCGCACTTACGATTCCTGGGAGGTTCGCGTACTTGGGGTCGGCCATGGCTTGCGATCCGCTGCGATTGTTGATGTTTTTTTAAAACGCGAAGCTACCGCCGCTTGCTGCTGCTGTTGCTGCTGCTAATCACCGCCGAGACAGCGCCCCGTTGACACTGATGCCACGAAATCTCGCGAGAACTCACGCCAAGCCACGTTCACGCCCCCCTCCGCACGTGTAGCCCCGCCCCCTGGCAGAGTAACCCCGCCCCCTGGCAGATTAACCCCGCCCCCTGGCAGGGTAACCCCGCCCCCTGGCAGGGTAACCCCGCCCCCTGGCAGAGTAACCCCGCCCCCTGGCAGGGTAACCCCGCCCCCTGGCAGAGTAACCCCGCCCCCTGGCAGGGTAAGCCCCGCCCCCTGGCAGGGTAACCCCGCCCCCTGTCAGGGTAACCCCGCCCCCTGTCAGGGTAACCCCGCCCCCTGGCAGGGTAACCCCGCCCCCTGGCAGGGTAGCCCCGCCCCCTGGCAGGGTAACCTCGCCCCCTGGCAGGGTAACCCCGCCCCCTGGCAGGGTAACCCCGCCCCCTGGCAGGGTAACCCCGCCCCCTGGCAGAGTAGCCCCGCCCCCTGGCAGGGTAACCCCGCCCCCTGGCAGAGTAGCCCCGCCCCCTGGCAGGGTAACCCCGCCCCCTGGCAGGGTAGCCCCGCCCCCTGGCAGAGTAACCCCGCCCCCTGGCAGGGTAACCCCGCCCCCTGGCAGAGTAGCCCCGCCCCCTGGCAGGGTAACCCCGCCCCCTGGCAGAGTAACCCCGCCCCCTGGCAGGGTAACCCCGCCCCCTGGCAGAGTAGCCCCGCCCCCTGGCAGGGTAACCCCGCCCCCTGTCAGGGTAACCCCGCCCCCTGGCAGAGTAGCCCCGCCCCCTGGCAGGGTAACCCCGCCCCCTGGCAGGGTAGCCCCGCCCCCTGGCAGGGTAACCCCGCCCCCTGGCAGAGTAACCCCGCCCCTGGCAGGGTAACCCCGCCCCCTGGCAGAGTAGCCCCGCCCCCTGGCAGGGTAACCCCGCCCCCTGGCAGAGTAGCCCCGCCCCCTGGCAGGGTAACCCCGCCCCCTGGCAGGGTAACCCCGCCCCCTGGCAGGGTAACCCCGCCCCCTGGCAGGGTAACCCCGCCCCCTGTGCTTTCGAAAACGAAATGCATGCCGAGATTTCGATTTAAAGCTTTCGTGACTGCAGGGATTCATCTTCTTGGTTCTTTCGGTAAAGTCACGTAGAAGGGAAATAATAAAATGATAAAAATAAAACATAATAAAATACAATTCTCACGACGTTTCGGCCACAACGCAAGCAGCCGTCCTCAGGTGAAGAACAGGTCTGTCGGAAACGTCGTGAGAATTGTATTTTATTATGTTTTGTTTTTATTATTTTATTATTTCCCTTCTACGTGGCTTTACCGAAAGAACCAAGAACATGCCTAGATCTGACGTTTTCGTGACTGCAATGATCCATACTCTGTGGATCTTTCGGTAAAAAATAAAATGCCTACGTGACTTTACCGAAAGAACCAGAGAGTACTGCATGCCTGTTAACCCATACGGTTTATTCTTGTTGCAGGGAAATTTAGTTTTCAGGACCATACGGCGTACAGCCATTTCAATACGGGCAACAACACTTTTTTATGTTTGTTTGTTTTTCTCCCTTGTGATGGAACTTTGTAGGATGAACGCTGATATTTATCAGGACACGGGGTGACCAATAGGTTCTGAATTGTTCTGGAATACGGTAGGCACTGATAAGGGGCTGACAGGTATGTACTCGACTGTAATGAAAAACATTGTTCTACGTTTATATGTGTTACAACGGGTGGCAATTCAATGCACCATGATCATCCCATTTGCAAGAATTCCTTGTGTGAGCCAGTGGTGCACAAGCACACGTCACAAAAAGGTTTACACATTCGTCAATAACACGGTTGCTTTAAACCAGTTCGTCTTCACCGCTACTGCAGCCTGCCCCGCTTTGGTTCTCAATCGTAATTTGTAAATATATGTATGTTAAGAAATATATAGGTTTGATTAAACAAAGTAGTTATACTCGTTGGTTCTTTCAGTAAAGTCATGTAGAAGGAAAATACATTAAATAGTAATAGAATACGACGTTTCGATTGCAACACAAGCACCCATCGTCAGATACGAATGAATGAGAAAACAAGCATAGCAAACTTAGCAATATAATGCAATAGAACCCAGAGAGTCGGCTAACACAACACTCAACATCCTACCTGGTTGATTAACGTTCTTCCAAAGATTGCTAAATTGAGAGAGAGACAAACACAGACACGGAGACACAGACAGACACACAAGTAGAGAGAGAGAACACACAGATACACACAGAGAGAGACACACAGTAGTTGTACTTACGTGCGCGTGCTTAATTTGTGTTTTCGATTACAGTATTTACCTCCTAAAAGAAAATCTGCCCATGTCTCGCACCCCCAGAAAGGGCATCTTGCACCCCCAGGGGGTGCGTGCACCCCAGGTTAAGAACCACTGCCTTAACATTAAATATACAAAGTAATAGTCGACGTATTAAAATTACCCATTGCCATCTTCTCTTTTCGTATGACGAGAAAATCTTACCCAGGGATGTCTACTTTGGATTTACACTCAATGGCTTCCTGAAATGCTAAGTGGGGAAATTAAGCGATTCTCACAAAGTAATAGACAAACACAGTTGCACGAATATAGTTTATGTGTATTATACGTACCGATGTATTGATCATATTTTGGCCAATTAAGGTCTCACCGATGGCTTAATACTCTCCACGAATTAATTAAATGGCATCAATATACGATGACTTTCAAACTGTCAGGGTTTTAATGAACCCTGAAATCTAGTGGCTGCTACAGTTGTGACATCACCAACGTATTTAAAGTCAGTCACAAAAAGTGTTATAAGCCACCGGCGGGGAGCTTAATTGGGTCACAAATCGATCAATACATTGGCACGTGTAAATAACTCCTTTGTAAAGGTGTCAACTCTTGCCGGCTGGTGGAGGAGGGTTAATGACAAGAAGTTTGGCATCAAACTACGCACGTGGCCTTAACAACAACAAAAAACACGTAGATATTTGTAATGGCTACGAAAACATTACAATTTAAGTTGCATTGAGGATTTTTCGTGTTCATTGGAGCGCTGTCTTTCCGACAGCTCAGTTTCTTCACCTGAGGACGGCTGCTTGTGTTGTGGCCGAAACGTCGTGAGAATATTAATTTATTATGTTTTATTTTGTATTATTTCCCTTCTACGTGACTTTACCGAAAGCATCTTAATGATCCATTCTCTGACCGTGCCTCCTTCCTACCATAGCCACGTGTATCCGACCACCAACACCGAGCCCCGCCCCCCCCGGTCTCAAGACGAGTGACGTCACAGACCAAAACTCAAAAGGGGAACGATGCTCCGATTCGCAATACGTTGACTCGACTAAAATCGATTCCTCAAGTCGTAGCGTCTAATGTTCCATAAAGGATCGATCGTTTCCCATACGTGTAAGTTAACACGAGAAGATTACACCACTTTGAACTCGCGCAGCCGTAGTTTCTGCATGTCCCTGGTGACTTTAGATGAGGGCACACGCAGATACATCGAATCGTGAATGGGCTCGTGCCCGTGAACGGTGATCCTCGATTCGTTCATTTGGCTATTAAAGAGGACGCGCGCTTGCACTTCCCCGTTGAGACGCTTGTGCCAATGTCAATGTGAGCCGGTCTCTGGAGACGCTGTGTGTTCTACAGAGAGAGAGAGACTGTGTGTGTGTAAGAGCTACTGAGAGTGTGTAAGAGCTATTGGACGAGAGTGTGACTGTGTGTGTCAGCATGAAGTTGTGCTAGACAAGTCCGTGACAAGTGACACGGTCATCGCTGTTGACCGCGGGATTAAAACAGAAGTCAAACACAGCAGGGCACGGGAGTCTACAGGTGAGTCTCAAACAGAAACACGCACATACAGTACACACACTACAGACACAAATGTGGAAAACAGGTGTGACTGACACGCAGGTGTGTTAGTGGTGTGACTGACACACAGGTGTGTTCACCGTAGTAACTGACACACAGGTGTGTGTTATTCGTGTGGACTGACACACAGGTGTGTGTGTGACCGGAGTAACCGACACGCTGGTGTTTTGTCCGGCGTGACTTCTTGATCCACTCGTTGTGTGACGGACACTAAAGTGCGCTACCGGTGTTGACTGACCCCGCGTATGCGTTTCACCGGTGTGACTGACACACAGGTGTGTTACTGGTGTGACTGACACACACGTGTGTTAGTGGTGTGACTGACACACAGGTGTGTTACTGGTGTGACTGACACACACGTGTGTTACTGGTGTGACTGACACACACGTGTGTTACTGGTGTGACTGACACACACGTGTGTTACTGGTGTGACTGACACACAGGTGTGTTACTGGTGTGACTGACATACAGGCGTGTTACTGGTGTGACTGACACACAGGTGTGTTACTGGTGTGACTGACACACACGTGTGTTACTGGTGTGACTGACACACACGTGTGTTACCGGTGTGACTGACACACAGGTGTGTTGCTGTGCGTGACTGTCACCCACCCACCACGCGCACAGGTGTGCGTAAGAGCTGGCTGGAAAGGGCAGCGTGGAGGCGCGGGGCGGCCGCGGGGGGTCGGACCGGGCCAGCCGGAGCCCGGCTCTGGGCGGGATGTGCGAGGCTGCAGAGTGCAACATCCGAGTGGTGTGCCGAGTCCGGCCACTCAACGAGGCGGAGCAGAGCCGCGGGGACAGGGCCGGCCTGCGCTTCCAGGGACACGACACCGTTCTCCTCGGGGTACGCGACAAAAATGCCCCGTGTAGCCTTCTCGCACAGACTGGTTGGGGATAGTGCTGGTTAGCCAGTAGCGCCTACGAAGTAGGGCTGAACGATTAATCGATTTCATATCGATTAATCGTAATTTGAAACAATGCGATTAGCAGATCGCAACGGCTGCGATTTTTTTTTGCGATTCGAAAAGTCATGTTACTTTCTTATTGGAATTGTTTTATTTTTTATTATTATAACTTTACAATTGTTCTATGTTTGATTGTTCTATTTCAATTAAAACATTTTAATAAATACATGTTGGAAGCAATTAATGACTTTTATGTTCTCATCCTTGCATTAGAATATATAGAGCAGTTCATATTTTGATGGTATCATGTGGTCATGCTCCATCACATGTTTTAAATCTATTACACAGTGAATAGTGAACTGAAGCTTGATTTTTAAGAAAATGTAATCGCAAATCAAATCAAATCGCAATATCTGTCAGAAAAATCGCAATTAGATATTTTCCCCAAATCGTTCAGCCCTACTATGCAGTAACACGAGGGGTGGGTGGCTAGCATCACGGCAAGCCGCGTTTGTCTCCCCAGTGCTGATGTTTACACACCGCACCAGGGACGTATTTCAGGCTGAGTCGATCTAGGTGAGGCCCAGAACTGGTTCAGATAATCGCCACTGTTATCGTTCGCCAGCGGAAATCAAACTCGGGTCACCAGGTTCGAAACGCATTGCACTAACTACTGCACTACGGCTCCCAATACGGGACGCGCTACACCGAGTGTGAGTGAGTGCGAATGAGTGAATGTGGGTGAGTAAATGAGCGTGGGCGAGTGTGGGTGAGTGGGTGAGTGACTAAGCATGGGCGAGTGTGGGTGAGTGGGTGCGTGAATGAGTGTGGGTGAGTGAATGAGCGTGGGCGAGTGGGTGCGTGAATGAGTGTGGGTGAGTGAATGACGGTGGGCGAGTGTGGGTGAGTGGGTGCGTGAATGAGTGTGGGTGAGTGAATGACGGTGGGCGATGGTGGGTGCGTGAATGAGTGTGGGTGAGTGAATGAGCGTGGGCGAGTGTGGGTGAGTGGGTGCGTGAATGAGTGTGGGTGAGTGAATGAGCGTGGGCGAGTGTGGGTGAGTGGGTGCGTGAATGAGTGTAGGTGAGTGAATGAGCGTGGGCGAGTGTGGGTGAGTGGGTGCGTGAATGAGTGTAGGTGAGTGAATGAGCGTGGGCGAGTGTGGGTGAGTGGGTGCGTGAATGAGTGTGGGTGAGTGAATGACGGTGGGCGATGGTGGGTGCGTGAATGAGTGTGGGTGAGTGAATGAGCGTGGGCGAGTGTGGGTGAGTGGGTGCGTGAATGAGTGTGGGTGAGTGAATGAGCGTGGGCGAGTCTGGGTGAGTGGGTGCGTGAATGAGTGTAGGTGAGTGAATGAGCGTGGGCGAGTGTGGGTGAGTGGGTGCGTGAATGAGTGTAGGTGAGTGAATGAGCGTGGGCGAGTGTGGGTGAGTGGGTGCGTGAATGAGTGTGGGTGAGTGAATGACGGTGGGCGATGGTGGGTGCGTGAATGAGTGTGGGTGAGTGAATGAGCGTGGGCGAGTGTGGGTGAGTGGGTGCGTGAATGAGTGTGGGTGAGTGAATGAGCGTGGGCGAGTGTGGGTGAGTGGGTGCGTGAATGAGTGTAGGTGAGTGAATGAGCGTGGGCGAGTGTGGGTGAGTGGGTGCGTGAATGAGTGTAGGTGAGTGAATGAGCGTGGGCGAGTGTGGGTGAGTGGGTGCGTGAATGAGTGTGGGTGAGTGAATGACGGTGGGCGATGGTGGGTGCGTGAATGAGGGTGGGTGAGTGAATGAGCGTGGGCGAGTGTGGGTGAGTGGGTGCGTGAATGAGTGTGGGTGAGTGAATGAGCGTGGGCGAGTCTGGGTGAGTGGGTGCGTGAATGAGTGTGGGTAAGTGACTGAGCATGGGCGAGTGTGAGTGAGTGGGTGCGTGAATGAGTGTGGGTGAGTGAATGAGCGTGAGCGAGTGTGGGTGAGTGGGTGCGTGAATGAGTGTGGGTGGGTGACTGAGCGTGGGCGAGTGTGAGTGAGTGGGTGCGTGAATGACTGTGGGTGAGTGAATGAGTATATAGGATGGATGTGGATGAATGTGGGCGATGAATGAGTGGGGGTGGATTCACGCGAGCGGGTGCGTAAAATGAACGTGGATGTGCGAACGAGTGTGGATTCGTGTGGGCGAGTGTGAATGAGCGATTGAGCGTGGATGAGGCTTTTGTGAATGGTGAACAAGTGGTGGTAAAATATAATACTGTCGTTTAACACGTAGGCTTTCGCGACCAATATCATCCACAATATAGGTATTTTCGGTTCGATCACATAAATGTTGTGGATTTGCTCTCCAACACGCCGGTGTGCTGTACTAGTAACGAATTGGCATGTTCTGTTTACGTGACAACATTTATTAATTGGCTGTCGGGTGGTGGCGGCTTTAACGACACATTTATATTTACGCGATCTAACCCAAACAACCTATATTATGTATAATACTGTAGTGAAAAATTTGTGGACGAATGGTGAATAAGCGATGGGTAAGTTATCGATAAAGGATTCGATTATGGTGGCTGGTTCATGAGTTGTGATTGAGCCCTGAACGAATGGTAAACGAGTCGGAAGGTGACATCGAATGAATGGATAATTAATAGTGAATGAGCAGTGAATGAATTGAGTGCACTTCGCGCTCTGCTGATTGCTATAACCGAGCCCGGGTCTGGTATTAGAAACATAGAGCCCTCGAAATTCGCGCGATAAGGAATAACAAAGCATGCAGTCACAGACACGCGCACAGACATGTATGCAATTTCTGTTGATTATGAAATATTGGTCGTGAAACGGGTTAAGGCACAATGCTCATCATCATCCAATAGGAGCCACGGGGCTCTGTGACGCTTTTCTGGGTAGAGAAGCGTAATACTACTAACAATAACCCATCATCAATATCACCCATCATCATCAGTATCATCTTCAGATGCAGCACTAATCCAAAGTCATCTTCATCATCCTATTCGTTCACCATCATTATCATCAGTTATTGTAGGTATCATCATCCACCCAATCAGCGTGCGATCTCAGTGTAACAACCGTTTACGCTTTGTAAATAGTTTTTAGACTTTCAATTGTTACCAGTTGTGTCCCAGTAGTGGCTCTCCAACAGTTATTTTGTTTTATTGAACGAAATCGTTGTTACGTAACCTTTGTTTTACTCGTTTTGATGTCGAGCACCAAGTGTTATGCGGCCTACAATATTAGGTTTTTTTTTTAATCGTTGCCTGTAATTCACTCACATTGGTTGTTGTTATGATGACAACAAATTGAAGTGCTCCGTGTTTTTTCGCCACTTTTCGCCCATCAAATTTTCGGGAAGGAAAAAATCCCCGTAAAAAATGTCCAATCTCCCTGAAATTACATGAAGAAATTACCCAAAAAGTACACAGCCCCCTTCTCGTAGAGGATTAAGACAAGGAGACGCGCGGATATCTCTATGTCCATATCAAATAGATTATCCGGTGACTCTACTGCGTTAGCAGTGGTGCGTAACAAGCAAAGCAGCTTCAATATATTCGTCAAAGGAAACGTCTATTATAGGCAACGCTTCGGGCAAAATGCCCTTTCCTCACAGCGTCACATATGATGTATGTTTAACCTTTGAAAGAGCTACCGCGTTATTGACGACATTGTTGAGTTTCCTATATTCATATGCAATGTCGTATGCAACGCGTACTTGCATAAAGAATATCGGCATACCGTTAAACGTGCAGCTTTACTTTGAGCTCAAAGAGCACATTTTAGCTTTATGAGCAGCGAGAGAAAGTTCTGTTAAGCGAGCGCCGATTAATAACTGAAGGTTATTGTGAGTGGGCCAGCACCACACACGGCCAAAGCCCGATCTGTAGTCGTGTTTATGACCGCAAATCCGCGCCAGGCAACTCTCTTTAGTCTGAGTCGACTTAAGGGAGGGCCAAACTCAAATGTGGATACTGCTTGCGATTTGCAACGTGATATGAAATCAACCCCGCACACACACTACTAATATCCCCTTATTGGGGTTGTTAAACGATAACCGGTAACATCTTGATTTGAATCTTTCGTGGCCGTGCATGAATCCATACTCTTTGGTTCTTTCGGTAAAGTCACGTAGGCAGAGAAATAATAGATCACGACGTTTCGATCGCAACACAACATCAGGTGGGACAACCACCTGATGACGATTGGTAACCTCGCCTCCTCCAAATACCGCGCTTTCAAAGATCAAGAACCGGTTCCACGCCCGGCCGCCTTTGTGTCCCTAGTAGCGATCTTTACAAATCGCACCAGGTACTCATTTGAGGCCGAGTCGACCTAGGAGAGGCCCAGGACCGATTCAGATGAAACGTCACTGGGGTTGACCGTGAGCAGGGAATCAAAACTCGGGCCGCCGAGTTCTTAGCGCTACCGCTTAGACGCGGGCGTGGTGATGACGCACGCGCACACCGGGACACGAAGAGACACAAGAAGCACACGGGGAGAAACTCGTACGAACTGTTGTTCATTGCACGGGGGGTCGGGGGGGCTGTAAGTGGAACGGCTGTACACTAAATTTCGATTTTAAGCTTTCGTGACTGCAGGTATTCATCTTCTTGGTTCTTTCGGTAAAGTCACCTAGCAGGGAAATAATAAATTAATAAAAATAACAATATATAATTGTATTATGTTTTATTTTTATTATTTTATTATTTCCCTTCTACGTGACTTTACCGAAAGAACCACGAAGGCTGCACACTAGTTTAACTCCGTGGGCGAGGGTACAAGCGAGTGGTCAGCAAGCTGCCCATCAGCGCACACGCGCGCGTCTGTGCCCGTGGTGTAGTGGGGAGCGGTGGTGCAGCGGTTAGCGCGCTGCGCTACGAACCCGGCCGACCCGGGTTCGATTCCCGCTCACGGCCAACACTCGGTGACGATTATCTGAACCGGTCCTGGGCCTCCCCTGGGTCGACTCAGCCTCAAATGAGTACCTGGTGCGGTGTGTAAACATCGGCACTGGGGAGACAAAGGCGGCCGGGCGTGGTGCTGGCCACCCACCCCCTCGTGTACCGTCCCGGCCTTCATAGGTGCTCGCTAACAGCACTTGCCCCTACAGTCTGTTAAGGCTATACGGGGGATCTTTTTCTTTGTCTTGTGCGCTACGAATCCCGGCAACCCGAGTTCGATGCCGGCTCGCGGCCAGGCAGCATCAGTGACGACGAATATCTTGAACCGGTCCCGGACTTCGGCTAGATCGACTCAGCCTTAAACGAGCACCCGGTGCGATGTGTGAACATCGCCACTGGGAAGACAAAGGCGTCCGGGCGTGGTTTCTGGCCGCCCAACCCCGAGTGTACTGTGCCGCGTTTAATAGGTGCTCGCTAACAGTACTTGCCCCGACAAGTATGCGATGGCTATACGGGGCATCTTTGGCACTGTAAATGTGTGTATTTGTTTTTACTATGCGTTTTATGGTTTGCACCGTATGTGTATGTACGTCGCACGCGTGTGTTTATATGCGCGTGTTTTATTGGCGCATGTGTGTGTGCGCGTGTGTCCGCGAGTTCGATGTGTGTGTGTGGTCGTGTGTGTGGTCGCGTGTGTGTTTGTGTACACAGGGCACGAGCTACGTGCCGCCTCGCTCGCACACCTTGGCGTGCAGCGGCCAAAGTGCAATCGTCACTCCCTGCGACACGCGCTCACAGAGCCACGTTCAGCCCGGGAAGCGCCAATCAGTCGCGACTTCTCCATTCCAAGGCCGTAATTATAAATATATAAATATATATTGGGGGGGGGTGGGGACATCCCCCCCAATCTCCCCCAATATTCAAATATGCTCTAAATGTCCCACCCCTCCCCAAAATATTGCTATAAACAATATTGAAACCAAACATTTCTATGCTATGTAAATGAAAATAACAATTTGCTAAAGCTTGGCCACAATATCTGGACTTGTCTTCATATAACAATGCATAGATTTCTGTTTATATGATTGTGGTTATGGTTGTACTTTATTAATCCCTAATCTCTGCCATTACATACAATGAAACAAGAAAAGGAAAAAAGAAAAAAACAGAGAAATGTAATACAATACACTATTAGACATTATTGTAAAAAAATAATTAAAAGTCCATCTTATGTTTCGATTTAAAACTTTCGTGACTGCAGGGATTCATCTTCTTGGTTCTTTCCCTTCTACGTGACTTTACCGAAAGAACCAAGAAGATCCATCTTATGTGTTAGTGATTTTTAAAAAATTTAGGCAGGAAATGGCTGGAAATTCGTTTTCAAATTTAGATTATTTTTTTTCTGGGGGGGGGGACCCCCAGACCCCCTGGAAGATTTGGTCCCCCCCAATGTTGACTCTATGGCTATGGCCTTGCTCCATTCATCATCATTGTCATCACCCCATGATCATCATCATAATGGTCATCATCATCATGTTTTCGTGGTCATGTTTAGTTTTTTTCCCCATGGTCATTATCATGATGATAACGATCATCATTATCATCAAGGCCATCACCTGCATGGTCAAAGTCATCATTGTCATTGTGGGTTGGTGGGCCAAGCATAGATAACATCGCCCATGTTACGAGACTCATAAAACACTTCGGCTGCAAAGTTGCCAACACATGTCAGTGCAGAGAGTAGGTTCCTGACTCGTCCGTGCAGAGACATCCACAGACACTTGCATGATATCGCCCTGTGAGCGAGGGGATAACTCGCACTCCGTAAAGGAAAATGCGAATACTGTACCCGGTAATCGTGGAACGTTGGGGCAACGTTGGTTCAATGGTTCCAACCACATGTCAACATTGATACAACGTTGACATGTCTACTGGGTATAACAGTTGGGCGCTCAGTTACAACGCTCCAATGACATCATTGTGCCCCCCCCCCATACATTGTAACACGTCAATGGAAGCGACGTCAGTTGATTGCCATAACGTCGCGCCTGACCGTTGCTGTACCTTTTGCTGTCTCTTGCTCATTGGCGTATTGGGAGCGACAGCCCGCAAGGCACAGCCGAAATGCGTGGAGCAGCTCCACGGACGAGAGCTGTGTCCGTTCGTGTGCGTTTCGGTCCAATCTTCATTTGAAAATAATACGAATTGCCCATTAACCCAAATGTAGTCAATGCATGTACCGTATGATAATTGGTTTTTTACCCTTCTATCTGACAACAAAACTGACACCTTTTTACAAGGAGTCATGTTTGCATAGACCGCAATACCTGCAGTCATAATACAAACAAAAGAACATAACTCTGGCGTCATCTGGTCCAACCCATGTGAGACTAGGCTCTAAGGAAATCTGTCTCAGGTGTGGACCAATCAACTTCAAGGACAGTGCATACATTATCAGAGTTATGTTTTTTGTTTGCATTATGACTGCAGGTATTGTGGTCTATGCAAACATGACTCCTCGTAAAAAAAGGTGTCAGTTTTGTTGCCAGATAAAAGGGTAAAAAACCAATTTCATGTATCGTATGTTACACTTTTTTCGCACCGTACTAATTCGTAAAGATAAAGGCGCAACCCTGCATTCACTTTCCCCCCGCCACTGCTGCTGGAAGACAGCCCCATCTAGTAGGTATATTGGCCTACTCATCCTCGCTGGCCACGTGTCTGGGAAGAGGTGGGAGTAGCCACACTTCACCCCAGCAACAAGCCACGACCGGCAAACGCCGGTCGACCAACGATCAGCGCCGTACCCGTTCGCACTGCTGGGCGGACAGAGGCGGCTATAGCAAAACACAAACGTGTCCATTATTTCAACTGTTACGCCACGAGATTGAATCTAGCCGGCAGGCTCTCTGTTGACAGTCCATTGTGCTTATTATTACGCCGCAGCAGCATTCCCAATGCAGGGGACCTTCTTGAACAACGAGCAGTTCATTATTTCGTTATTTCGTTGGCCACGGATTTTGTTGTTGCAGAGTGACTCGGGTCCGTGGTGGAGGCGTGACAGTCAAACTTGACACGCGCGCTAAATTTAGACTCTGTAGAGTCACGTCCAGTCACTCTGACGCGGACAAACTCAGGTGCCGACTCTCTCACTACGATGTGGACGGTGGCGATTAAAGATGAAAGTGCAGCCCGGCTATGGCTCGCTCAAGACACTGCTGACGGAACGGCTTCGAATACACGGAGCTTGAGAGAGTGAACAATCATCGTTAGCAACATGAATCATCATACTAATCATCAGCAATAGAAATAGCAACCATCACCATCCTCATCATCATCAAAGACAAAGATCCCCCGTATAGGCTTAACAGACTGTTGGGGCAAATGCTGTTAGCGAGCACCTATGAAGGCCGGCACAGCACACAAGGGGGTCGGTGGCCAGCACCACGCCCGGCTGCCTTTGCCTCCCCAAGTGGCGATGATTTAACACACCGCACCAGGTACTCATTTGAGACCGAGTCGACATCGGGGGAAGCCCTTGGACCAGTTCAGATAATCGTCACTGCTCTTGACCATGAGCGGGAATCGAACTCGGCTTGCCGGACTACCGCTCATCTTCACCGTCCCTCATCATCACGGTGGTCATGTGCCCCCTGAGCACGTGTCGCGTGTGACACGCGTGTGACACACGTGTGGGCTGTGCGCAGGGCAAGGCCTTCGCGTTCGACCGCGTCTTCCCTCCCGAGGCGGGACAGGCGCAGGTGTACGCAGAGTGCGCACGGCAGATCGTGAAAGGTGAGGCGCCCTCACCTGCACCGCGGTCCTCAGCTATCCTTACTTCTCCTCAACCACCCTCGCCATTGCTTACCTGTCCTCACCTCCCCAGTCCTCACCGGTCCTCGTCTACCCACACCTGCCCTCACCTATCTTTACCTCCCCTTACCTGTCCTCACCTCCCCAGTCCTCGTCTAGCCACACCTGCCCTCACCTATCTTTACCTCCCCTCACCAGGTCCTCACCTACCCTCACCTGCCCTCGCTTGTCCTCACCTGACCTCCGCTCCCATCACCTGACCTCAACTCCCCTCACCTGTTCTCACCTGCCCTCACCTGCCCTCGCTTGTCCTCTCCTGCCCTAACCGTCGCACACCTGCCCTCACTCTCCCTTACCCAATTCTCACCTGTCCTGTGCGAAAAAATTGGCGTCCTTTAAAGTAAGAGATGCAACTCCCCACCGCCGGCTCACCACCGAGCTTGTCTGCGAATACTGTGTGGGGCATTACAAATTTAAATTATTATTATTATGTACTCTGTGTATACGTGTGTGTGTGTGTGCACTCCGTGTGTGTTACACAAAGACGTGCTGCAGGGCTACAATGGAACAATCTTCGCGTACGGACAGACATCATCGGGGAAAACCCACACAATGGAGGTAGGTGCGTGCTGGCGTCCCGACCACGGTCACCAATCTCGCGGCCTGTTGAAAGCCAAACAGGGCTTGTTTTTTTTAAAGGCTTGGCTAGTACTCGGTGATGCTGTGCAACGTTGGGCCAACGTTGGGATGTGTTTGGAACACGTTGGACGAACGTTGGCCAACGTTGATCCAGCTTTTGAGGATCCTGCTACATTCAAATGTAGCAGGTTCGTCTTCTTGGTTCTTTCGGTAAAGTCACGTAGAAGGGAAGTAATAAAATAATAAAAATAAAACATAATAAAATAATTCTCACGACGTTTCGGCCACAACGCAAGCAGCCGTCCTCAGGTGAAGACCAGGTCTGTCGGGGAGACAGTGTGACTTTACCGAAAGAACCAAGAAGATGAATCCCTGCGGTCACGAAAGCTTTAAATCGAAATGTAGCAGGCTGTATACTGGACGTGGTGTACCCGGGACGGACACACCCACTTGAAATGCGAACGTAGCAGGACCCTCCTGAAGAAGGGGACTTGAGACTCGGGCTTTCTCCATTGGTGATTCAAAAGTTTGGAATTTGGCCCAACCTGAAAATGAAGGTGGCTTCCATTAAAAAAAACTGTTCAAACATTCGCTTGAACCTGCTCTGGGCAGGAGTTGGGGTGTAACCAACGTTAACATTTTTACTGGAAGACTTCAATAGGTGTTAAGTGACTTGTGACCACACACCATAGCGAGTGGTCTGCGCGCTTGAAATTTAGCCCTGAATTTAATCCGTCCGTGGACTAATGCCGTGTCGATGTTTGGCCTCCACTCTTCTGTAAAAAACAAGGCATCGAATCGCGTGTGGGTGATTGAAATTGATGTGTTTCGATTTATCAAAAGTAATAAGAAATGTATCTATCATTGCTATGCTTAGGTTAGTGGGGGGCGATAAACCCGGGCAAAGGAGACAGACAAATGTGGGAAAGAATACAAATAGGACGGTGAAAATTAGACAAAATGCGACCATATTCTTGGATTGAATCGTCACCCTAAATCGGGACAATTATACTAATTGCCTGGGACAGTGAATCGTTACAGCCCGAATGAACATGTCACATGATTCATAACTGCGGCGTGACCCATCTCTACGTGATCCAACACCCCTACCCCTATTTTGCGCCCTTATACCGAACATCATAGCCACCACACACACCGTACACTGTACACTTACATGGCACCGGTAAGCGAGACTTTGCTAATCCATCGGCGTTTTCCCATCACACTCCACGGAAGGCGAATTACTTGGTGTAAGTGTTTACCGTGCAATTGCTGGGAATCCAAACTCGAAAGTTGTCCGTTTTGGATGTCCCCAGTGTAAGCAGGCACGCGGCTGCTGTATGTTCAAGTTCATGTATTAGGTATAGCTCTGTGAGCCATTCGGCTCTTGAATCGGGTGCAACTGCAACAAACAAAAAACAAAAACATGAACAATAAAAAATCTTAAAGTGAATATGTGACTAAGTGCAAACAGAAAATCCAAAAAAAGACAGCAAAATATTGCAGAAAAAGCACCGTACACCAACGCTGTGTGCAAAAATCCCAGTGGGATGCAAGTCAAACAATAACAACAACCACAAGACAACTTAGATTAAGGCCATCAGTCTTACTCCGTACTACAACAAACAAACATGGCCAAACCAGTAAACTTTTCGAAATCACCAAAATAAAGCGATGAAACAGTATGCGCAATTACAGAACTCTCCGGCCCTTCTTAGAGCACCGTCGTTAGACTTCACAACAGTCGCTCACGCTCGCCCCATGTGCGATTCAGTGCAATTCGGGTTCGACTCGAGTGTCATCTTCAGCGACTCGATGCAAGTTTGGTGCGATTAAGTGCGACTAAATGCGACTCGTTGCAACTCGGTCATCTGTACGCGCGCTTCAGCGCAACTCGTCGGTGCGACTCAGTGTACATCAATATGCAACTCGTCGGTGCGACTCAGTGGAGCTCAATATGTAACTCGGTGCGATCTGTGGCAACCCCTCGCCCAACAACAGGGCGCGCAGCAGCAGCAGCAACAACAACAGCAACAACAGCAACAACAGCAACAACAGCAGCAACAACAGCAGCAACAACAGGAGGAGGCGACTGAGGCCGGAATCATTCCCCGCATCGTGGACGATGTCTTCTCACACATCGACGCCATGGACCACAACCTGGAGTTCCACCTCAAGGTGAGCACACTCACCGCCACCCTCATCACCATCATCATCGTCATTAACACCGGCATCGACATCACCACCGGGATCTACACCAGCGTTAACATCGCCACCAGCTGGCAACATCAACGCCTACATCAAGTGTGCACATGTGCCGTGTGAACGTGTGTGTCCCGTGCGCGCATGTGTGTTCGTGTTGTGCTCCTCCTGTGTATTTGTGGGTGTTGTGCATAATGTGCAGACACGTGCACACACCAGATTCCCGCATTGACAATGTAATTCACTTAATCGACAAAAAATAGCAAACACATTTTTTTTATCGATGTTCCACCTCTGCGGAGGAGCCACACAACGTGAATATTTTCAATGTGCATACCCAGTCATGTCCTAGATTTATGATTGATGCTGCTGCTACTGATGCTGCTGACGATGATTTGTTTGCTTCATGTGTGCCGCGTTGTTTTATTCTCACAGGTGTCGTACTTTGAAATCTACATGGAGAAAGTCCGAGATCTTATTGACGGTCAGCTGATTCATAAATATACATTTTCAATCGCTGGTCAATTGATTTTAATTGCACGAGTGTAATTGATTTGAATGCACGAGTCTAGTGTCTCGAGATGCTGTTACGCTTGTGGACCCATTTGCAATCATGCTGCTATTTAAAATAATCTATGCCTCGAGTTTCCTGGCTGGCTGCTGGCTGGCCTCCTGTGCACCCCCAACAATAACTCTGTTGTTGGTGGCTGCGGGCTATTGGCACCAAAACTATCTGGGCAACCAGCTAAACGCGATTCCCCGTAGAACAACATTGAATTGAATTGAAACGACAAAATAAGTTCAGAAGCCATCATAGATCGTGACACCGAAGAGGTCGGAGTAACACATCCGTAAGACTGACACGATATATTTAAAAACGTACCTAGCATTTAAATTTGTGCTCCTATTAATGTCATTATTTTGCCAGAATATTCTTTTAAATCCCAGACAATATAAAAAAAAACTCTCACGATACTTTTTATCTTGGCATTCTATTATGCAAAACACCACGTTACTTTTAGTTCACTGAGCACAGGATTCGGAGAAGAGCATGGAGATGACAGCTGTTTATTATTTTCCATTTCAGAGCAACGGGCACCCTACGAGTATACGTAATAATAATATTGACAGTCGTTTTACGTGGGAAAGCCTGAGTCTCAAGACATGTTTTCAGGAGGGTCATGCATCGCAAGCCTTGCTCACCTCTCGCTTAGCCACGTAACTCGCTCACCCGTCTCCCGTCGCGTGACTCGTTGCAGTGACCAAGGGGAACCTGTCTGTGCACGAAGACAAGCATGGGGCGCCGTATGTCAAGGTGGGTGGATGGGAGTCTCACCACTCGTGTCTGGGAGCTCGTTGATCGACGTTCGGTCGCCGTTTCGATGACGTTCGTTGTGGTTTTCCGCGCAACAGGAGTGGGCCGTGGGAAGGTCGCGTTAGCCTCCACCCAAAATTCACCAGCTCGCCAATACTCAGGCAAAGCAATCGATTGGCTTCACCCCTTAGAGCTGAATCTCGCATAGTCGCTCTTCACTGACGATACAAATTCATCAGATGGGCCCTGCCTCCTGGCAATTGCTTGGCCAATTCCTCTTGGAGTTGGTGCTTTTTGAGGACTCAAAAAGCACCTCATGCGCAAATTTCATGCGTTCACAGACGGCTTATGGTGATGGCGGCATTTGTTGTGACAGTGGTGACTGCTGTTATATTTGTAGAGGATGGCAAACTTTGCTGGTGATAATGATGATGAAAATTATTATTGTTGTAGATAATTTTGACCGCGATTATTGGCATTCTCGTTGCCTGTAGATGATGATTGTTGTGGTAAATGGTGATTGTGAAAATTTATTGTTGCTATGAAAGAAAATGATTGTTGTTGCTGTTGTATAAAACGAGGATGACGGCTATATTAATGCTGATAAATGAAGTACGACGATTTTTGTTGTAAACAATGATGATGATGATGATGATAATTATAATGATGCTGATGACGACCCACACAGGGCTGCACGGAGCTGTTTGTTTCGAGCCCGGAGGAGGTTCTGGAAATCATTCACAAGGGCAAAGCTAACCGCCACGTGGCCGTGACGAGTGAGTGTCCCCCTCGGGAGCTCACGGCGGCCCGGCGCCCTCGACTGATTCCTACACGGACCCCCCCCCCCCATCACAGCGCGGGTTTCCCCGCTCCCCGCAAATCCTCCCCACGATCTTCCTCCCGGTCCGCCGCTAAACGTTTAACCGGGGCTACCTAAACAAATAAAGTCGTTAAACGATGCGCATGAAATTTCGATTTAAAGCTTTCGTGACTGCAGGGATTCATCTTCTTGTTTCTTTCGGTAAAGTATTGTTTTATTTTTATTTTTTTATTATTTCCATTCTACGTGACTTTACCGAAAGAACGAAGAAGACGATGCGCATGCCCGATAATTGGTAAACACGTTCACCATCAAGGCCTCCTTGGGCAGTTAACCTAAGGAAACGGGCGCGTGGACTGGCAGGAATTAAAGGGGTCTGGATTGGCTGTCGGAAACGTCCATGGATGTGAAAATGTCTTCGGATGGAGATGAGATTGTTCCTTGCCCATCAGCGTTCCGGTGTTAACCCCGCAAACGCGGTGCGTTTCAGACATGAATGAGCACAGCTCGCGCAGCCACAGCATCCTGCTGCTGCACGTGAAGCAGCAGCACGTGGAGACGATGCACATCCTGAGCGGGAAGCTCTACCTCGTCGACCTGGCCGGCAGCGAGAAGGTGCGACCCGGACCCCGACCCTTACGCTAACGCTTATGATTCATTTCCCTGCCGTCGGCTCAAGCGTAGAGCTGGGACTAACCAAGCCTTCTGTTATGGAGAAGGGCCATTGCCTGAAACGTTGCGGATTGTATATATATTTTTTCTTCTTTATGGCAGCCTTATTGACGAATATGTTTGAGCTTTCAATGAACTAAGTGCTCCATTATTCTACTGGTTATCGGTTTGGTTAATCAACCTCTCAGATGACGCTGCACGTACTTATGGGAAAAAATAATTCACCTCTTCCCATTCGTGTCGCTGGATGGGAGGTGATGGGCGGGGCTTGGTGACATCATCACCTGAGGCACACTGGGCGTGGCTTGTAGGGGATTTCCCGCCTTTGAGAGGCAAGATGTGGGGGCAGCCATCTTATTTAGAGAGTCCTGAGTAATCCGCCACACAGACATTACTTGATTACAATTTTTCATCCATAAATCCACTTAGTGGACAAGTTAGCCCTTTCTCTAGTCGATGGCCATGATGAGGCCGTATGAACTCGACCCATCTCTGTCTGTCCTTTGCCGGCTTCAGTTCAGTGTCGGTTCAATTACATTCTAACCCAGAGCAGCCAAAAAGCAAACGGCTCTTATCACGTAGCTACACACCTAGGTAGTGTTTAGACAAGTTGGAATTCTCATTTATATTCCAAAGTATATTTAAAAGTTACTCTCAGGAGTGTTCCAATCAAGTCATTCCAACGACGGCGAATTGAAGGCTACAACTGTGGCACCAACTGCTGCTATCGTGTGTGCATGTGTAGTGGGTTCCAGAGGCAACACTTTTATTTATAACAAGATAACACCACAACCCTTACCCCACTCTCTAGGGAGGTACAGCCTCCGGGCTAACGTGCCCTATTACTTGGGGTTACTTAGAGCCCTCTGGCTAAGGGTGACCTAGGGGAGGCTAGACTAACCCGACCCAGCCAAGGTGCGGGTCCTGACCACTGGTCCACGCTCGGTCCCGTCCTTTACAAGGACGTCGGGTCCCGGGGTCCCAGGGTCCCAGGGTCCTAGCCTCGCTGGTCTTCGTCTTCGTAGCACTGCCCCGAGCCGTCCTGAGAGCCGCCTTTTATACACATCCCGGAGACTCTCCGCCCCCGGTACCGCCCCCTTTCTGGACCCTTCCAGGGAGCCCTGGAAAGCCCCCCCCCAACCCCTCACCTGGGGTCGGGGAGGGAACTCGGCCTAGTTCTTTCGGTAAAGTCACGTAGGTAAAAAATGAAATTAAAATTAATAAAAATAAAACAATAAAATCACGACGTTTCGGAGGCAACACAAGTCTCCGTCATCAGGTGGGACCGTCACAGCCAGATTAGCTGCATCAAGTGATAATCTGGCTGTGACGGTCCCACCTGATGACGGAGACTTGTGTTGCCTCCGAAACGTCGTGATTTTATTGTTTTATTTTTTATTAATTTTAATTTCATTTTTTACCTACGTGACTTTACCGAAAGAACTAAGAGTATGAATCCTTGCAGTCACGAAAGCTTCAAATCTAGAAGGAACTCGGCCTCTCTATGCCCCGGCTCTCTCTCTCTATCCCCATGTACAGGCTGGCACCCCCTACAGACCCCTGGCCGCAACTGCAGGTAAGTGAACACAGGCGGTGTGTGCATACGTCTGTCCGACACTACACACGTGTCTGCGGTTGGGAGCGGTAGTGTAAGGGTTAGCGCACTTCACTACGAACCCGGCTAACACCAGTGACGATAGTCTGAACTGGTTCCCTTAGGTTAACTCAGCCTCAAATGAGTACCTGGTGCAGCGTGTAAATATCACCACTCGGGAGATAAAGGCGGCCGGGCGTGGTGCTGGCCACCTACCCCCTCCTCGTGTGCCCTGCTGACTTTCATAGATACTTGCTAACAGCACTTGCCCCTTCAGTCTATTAAGGCTATACGGGGGATCTTTGTCTTTGTTGTGTGTCTGCGTGTGTGTAGGTGTCTAAAACCTTGGCAGAGGGAGCGGTTTTGGATGAGGCTAAGAACATCAACCGCTCTCTGTCCGCGCTGGGCAACGTCATCTCATCACTGGCGGAGGGAAATGTAAGAGACCGTGACGACGATGATGATGATTGTTCTTGGAGATGATGGCTTACGTGTCTTGAGTGTCGATTGTGTGTCCCAAACACCCCACATGCCCCATGTATCTCCTGACCTGCCTGTGCCGTGTGTCCCCAATGGACGTTCTGTGTCTCATGCGTGTCCCGCACACGTCTCTCGTGTCTTCCGTGTCTCCCTTGTCACCCGTCTCTCTCACTCATCTCGCCAACGCGAGCAGAAGTCTCATATCCCGTACCGCGACAGCAAGATGACGCGCATACTCAAGGACTCGCTGGGAGGTAACTGTCGGACCATCATTGTCATCTGCTGCTCGCCTTCCTCATACAATGAAGCCGAGACCAAGTCCACACTCTTCTTCGGACAGAGGTGAGCGTAGCGATGGGGTTTGTACACGACAGACAGAGACTGGTCGCCAGACAGAAATGCCAGCCTCTGATGGGGGTCTCCAGACAATCGACAGGCAGACAGGTTTCTCATGGGATGTTTACACCACGGCATTCTTTGGGACGGAGCAGTAAAATAAAAGCATCGCATTCTAGATTTGAAGCTTTCGTGACTGCAAGGATTCGTACTCTTAGTTCTTTCGGTAAAGTCACGTAGGTAAAAAAATGAAATTAAAATTAATAAAAATAAAACAATAAAATCACGACGTTCCGGAGGCAACACAAGCTTCCGTCTTCGGGTGAAACTGTCACAGCAAAATATCAGCTTCACCCGAAGACAGAAGCTTGTGTTGCCTCCGAAACGTCGTGCTTTTATTGTTTTATTTTTATTAATTTTAATTTCATTTTTTTACCTACGTGACTTTGCCGAAAGAACTCAGAGTAAAAAAGCATCGCATGCTTCCTCATCCCTTGCTTCCCCGCACCTCCTGACCCACCTCTGCTCCCCCACTGCATTTGCTTCTCCTTTACCAATGCCCTCTCTCCCCCTCCTCCCACCGCGCTGCCCCGCCACCCAGGGCTAAGACAATCAAGAACACGGCGTGCGTGAACGTGGAGTTGACCGGCGAGGAGTGGCGGGAACGCTTTGAGAAGGAGCGGCGGCGGAGGAAGTCTCTGTGGGCTCACCTGCAGAGGGCCGAGGCTGAGCTGGAACGCTGGAGGGCAGGTCAGATGGAAATTCAATGTTCCTATGTCCAAGGCTGTACACATTTAATTCTGCTCAAACCACCCCTATAGTTGTTTTGGGCATGATGCACATATGGCGGTGGGGGGGGGGCTCATCCAGCAGTGGATTTGCTAAAGGTCTGTGCACATACGTGCAAAGATAATAGTAGCAGTTATCCATGAAACGCACTAATGGTTATTTACAGGTGGGCTAAGACCATCATCTCAGTGCACTTGATAATCCAGTTTGATCTCAAGTGGCTGCAACCCAAATTTGAACCCAGGATCTCAGCGGTGTGAACTCATTGTCTCTGACATTATGAATCCAAATCTCACCCCAGGCACCAAGCCACTGAGCTACTTAGTCTAGCCTATTAAGTATAGATGTTGCCACAGTGGTGTCATGGTTCGCACACTGGACTTGCAATCCAGAGGTCGCCAGTTCGATTCCATCTCCTGGGGATGCAGTTTAAATAATGGCGCAAGTTTTGCAATCAACGCCTCTGTCCACCCAGCAGTATTAAGGAACAAAATGGGTCACCCCGGTTATTTGATCTTCCCGCCATGGTGGCAGAGTAGCCCCGAGGGGGTGGGCTCACGTGGGCTCACGTGGGCTGATGTTAGCTCGCGTGAGCTCGTTCTAGCGGTCTAGCGGCGGCCCTTCTGCCGTCTGCAGCGCGAGCGATTAATTGTAACGGCTGCCCCTTGACCTTCACGCCTTCACATGTTTCGGGAGCGATGCGAGTGGCGGCGATGAGAGCGCCGGTGGGTGTGCCGTGCAGGTGAGAAGGTGGCGGAGTGCGACTGGTGTCACGTGAGGGGTGAGGCGGGGGGCCTGGGCACCTCAACCTCCGAATCCGGGGTCGTGACCCCCGGTGACAGCGGTCTAACCGAGGCCTTGAGGCAGGCGTACGAGGAGCAGATCCGCAAGCTCTACCAGAACCTCGACAATAAGGTCGCTCACCACGCATCCACCACGCGTCCACCACGCATCCACCGGGCGTCCACCGGGTCATACAGATGCCCACCTCATGTCCATAACGTCCGCCGCGTGTCTATGATTTTTACGGCATGTCCAAAAAACTTTCACCGCACATCCACTCCATGCACCACATCCACCGCAGGTCAACACATCCACCACGACACATACGGGTCTACCACACCATGCACACACACGAGCCTGATTGACGGGTGTGGCGATGCTGAAGGTGAGAACGTTGATGAGGGTGACGAGGTGGCTGGCGGGTGCGCACGTGCGTGTGTGCCACAGGAGGAGGAGTACAATCAACAGGCCCAGCTGGTGGAGCGCCTCAACAAGCAGATGCTGGATCAGGACGAGGTGAGGGCCTCATTTACTCGTTGCTAATTTCGAGATATTTAAATGTTTTTAATCCTTTCCAACCAAGGGTGAAAGTGTCAATGCGTTAACTCTCCATATGTCTGTTTGCGACGAGGGGGCATGATAGCTCTCATGAAGATTATTCAATACGAACGGAAGTTTTGCGTTGAGTTGTGTTGCTTTGAGGGACTTATCCTGCATTAAACCGAGCACATTGATCTAAGGATAACCCAAAACTTGGATCTGAAAACAAGCGCTAAAATAATTCGCTTTGGCCTTTTCACCAGAGCAGCTCAGGCTTTGTTCGCTTGCTCTTCTGTCCTGATGGCGCCTCGAGAAGTAGTTCTACGTGACATCATCTGGCGAATGTCACACAACTCTACATGGACAAACACACACGCCGCGACATAGACACGCACACACACAGACGCAGGTCATGCGCCGCGTTACGTCTTCTCGTAACGCGGCTAGAAGCGCACGTCGCTATTATCGTTATCATCGCCAGTCAGGGCCGGTGGCCGGGGGGGGCCCTCTACCACCAATTGTCCCTTTGGCCCTCCCAAGGTCACTCTGCTCATCCATACATCACCACCGTTGAGCCCCCCCAAAACTAAGATGATGATCAGCTGGATCCTCCGGGCACTGTAATTAGGACAAGCGCAAGTTGTAAAGTATTCTTGGTTCTTTCGGTAAAGTCACGTAGAAGGGAAGTAATAAAATAATAAAAATAAAACATAATAAAATAATTCTCACGACGTTTCGGCCACAACGCAAGCAGCCGTCCTCAGGTGGAGACCAGGTCTGTCGGGGAGACATTCAGACGCTGTCTCCCCGACAGACCTGGTCTTCACCTGAGGACGGCTGCTTGCGTTGTGGCCGAAACGTCGTGAGAATTATTTTATTATGTTTTATTTTTATTATTTTATTACTTCCCTTCTACGTGACTTTACCGAAAGAACCAAGAAGATGAATCCCTGCAGTCACGAAAGCTTTAAATCGAAATTTTGTTTCAGAATCCATGCATCCGCGTGATTTTTCTTCCTCGCTACCCCCCCCCCCCAGCTGCTGGCGTGCTCGCGCCGCGAAGCGGAGCGGCAGCAGGCCGAGTTGTCGCGGCTGCAGGCCGACGGGCGCGAGTCGCGGGACGAGATGGCCGAAGTGCTGCGCTCCATGGACGAGCTCGCGGCCGCGTACGACGCAAAGAGCGCCGAGCTGGATCAGCGCGGCCGCGAGAGCCAGACGCTCCACGCAGAGCTCCAGCGCAAAACCGTGAGGGGGGGCGGGGGGCAGGGGGAGGGTGGTGGTGGTGGCTACGGGGAGAGCAGGGGAAGGGGAGCAGTTGGAGTATAGTGAGCGATGTACACGGTGTGCGCATGGTGTGAGTGGGGTGTGTATGTCAGAGGTCGCAAACGGGTTTTGATTCCTTACCCGTACCCGTACCCGGCCGCACCAGGGTCGCAAACGGGTACCCGTACCCGTACCCAGCCGTACCTGTACCCTACCCGTACCCGGCCGGATACGGGTAGGGTACGGGTATTGGGTACCTGATTGCGACCTCGGGGATGAAGCTATGTTGCAGGCGCGGGTGGGATTGATTTTAGGAACTTGAATTGTGAGAAGAGACAAGACGTTGGGAAATGAGTGACAAACAGTTACTCACCAGTGACTCACGGCCTACCCGTACCCGTACCCGGCCGCACCAGGGTCGCAAACGGGTACCCGTACCCGTACCCGGCCGGGTACGGGTAGCCGGGTATCGGGTACCCGGTTGCGACCTCTGGTGTATGTGCATGCTGTGTACATGGTGTGTATGTACATGGTCTGCATGTACATGATATGTACATTGTATGGACATGGTGTGTACGTACGTGGTGTCTACATGATGTGTCCGCGCGGTGTGCCCTGCAGGACTCCCTGGCGCTGGCGGAGGGAGAGATCTTGAGCCAGCAGGAGCTCGTGTCTCAGGAGCGTCGCCGCATGGCCGACTCCACCCTGGAGCTCCTGCGTGAGCTCAGCGAGATCACGAGCTCCGCGGGGGGCAAGGAGAGCCCGGTGCGTGCGTGCGTGCGTGTGCACTCTCCCACGGCGACAAGAACAACGTATCCTCTGTATAACCTCAACAGACTATTCTGCTAGCGAGCACCTATGAAGGCCGATATGACACATGAAGGGGTAGATGACCAGCGCCACGCCCGGCTACCTTTGTCTCACTAGTGGTAATGTTTCACATTGCACTCGGTACTCATTTAAGGCCCAAGGACCGGTCGAGATAATCATCACTGGCAATGACCACGAGCCACCCAGTTCGTAGTGCTAACCACTCCACTACCGCTCCGCACATCTTCACACACACGCACCTGTACAGTATATAAATACACGTGTGTACAAGCACACACCCGTGAATGTACACTCCTCTTCCACCTATCATCAGATCTCTCCCATTCATTCTCTCTTCCATCCCCGCCCCCCACCCCGTCACGTGTCTGTGCAGTGGGTGAGTGCGGTGGGATTCGGGGGCGAGGAGGAGCTGTGTCTGGCTCACCTGGGAGCGACGCGCGTCAAGTCCGAGGTGAAGGCTCTGGCCCGGCACTGCCTGCAGCTCGGGGAGGATCAGCGCGAGCGCAAGCGGCACCAGGCGGAGACTGAGCGCGAGCTCAGCACGTGCCGCCTGCTCGTGGCGCAGGTGAACCGGGCACCCGGCACCTGTCCTCATGCTGGCGTCATCCCATCAGTCTGGCACCCGTGGTCTTCCCATCTAATCATCATCATCATCCCGGTGTCATCCCGGAGTCATCCCTTCATCCTGTCATCTTGTCACCTATCATCATCCCGTCATCCTGGCACCCGTGGTCTTCCCATCATCATCATCCCGGTGTCATCCCGGTGTCATCCTTTCATCCTGTCATCTTGTCACCGATCATCATCCCGTCATCCTGGCACCCGTGGTCTTCCCATCATCATCATCATCTCGGTGTCATCCATTTATCCTGTCATCTTGTCACCGATCATCATCCACGTCATCCTGGCACCCACCGTCATCCCAGCATCATCCTATCCTGGCGAACAGGGCGCTTAATTAGCCAGTCTTGGTGAAATAACGATTCATAACGATGACTAATATTAATGATGACCCCAGCAGCGATTGGTAATTGTTAATGATGCTGCTGTTGAAGAAGATGACGATGGTGATGATGATGATGATGATGATAAAAGCTTTTGGTATTATTAAGCAATGATGGTGGTGATGATAACAATGACTGACGACGATACTGACGCTGATGAAGCTATTGGTGGAAGTTAAGTGGCACATGTCACGATGATAATGATGACGATGACTGATTGGCGGTGTAATATGATGGTCCGATTGAGGTTGCTCATTGATTTACGACGGCGATGACAAAAATGTTCACCGATGATGACAATGATTGACGATGAACAATAACGATGTTGACGACGTTGGTGGCTGATGATGATGCTGATGATGATGATGCTGATGACGGTTGGCGTGCTCCCATCTCAGCTGGAGGCGACCGTGGGTTCGTTGACGGAGGTGGCGCGCGTCGAGGAGCAGAAGAAGCACGCACTCGAGGAGACGTGCGAGCAGCTGCAGCAGGAGCTCGTGCGGCTGCGCACGCAAGGTGGCACCAGCCCCGCACACGCGCGCACGTGCACAGCATTAGCAGGCTGTTGGGGCAAGTGTCGTTCGCGAGCACCGGCGAAGGCCGAAACCGCACCATAGGTGCCTTCGTCTCCCGAGTGCTGTTGTTTACACATCGCACCGGGTACTCGTTTAAGGCTGAGTCGACTTAGGGGAGGGCGAGGACATGTTAAAATATTCGTCACTATTGTTGGCCACGTGGGGGAATTGAATTCGGGTTGCCAGGTTCGTAGCAAAGCACGTATACACACATACGCGTAGTAAAGGTCAAGTTAATTTTGTTTCTCCATTTGAGAACTCGAGGGCCCAGGAGGAATTTCCTTATCAAGTGTGACCTGAGTAGAGGCCCTGACTCACAATAATAAATAATGATTAATCCAGGAAACTTCAACTATTAAACTAAACTATTTTTATTTTACCAGCTATATCGCTTTTTTCAGAAGCGACCTGGCCACAAATTATAGCTCAACGAAGTGGCTTATCACGCGGAAATTTATAGCAGCCAAATAAACCCACGTTGATTCTAAACGAGGAGGGAAAACCCGGAGGACCCAGAGAAGAATCTACGGGACCACGGGCAGAACAAACTCCAAATATACATGCGTCAGAGTGGCGGTCGAATCCACGACCTCCTGTATACCTGCCGAGTTAGTTAACATTTAGTCCCAATGCTTTTTTTCAAGTCGACGTTTGCCCAAAACCAATTACCATCTGTGTTTTAGCCATGGGGGGAATCCGGAGAACCACGCAGCTACTTAACCTCCCGATCACCCCACTCAGCCACCACCACTCCAGCTGCAACCAACACTGCACCAGACTGCTGCTGCTGCTCACTCTCCGCCGATGTTTTTGTATTGCAGAAAAAATGCATGAGATGTCCTTCAAGGACAAGGAGAAGAAGCACTTGAGCATGATAGAGAAGGCCATCGAGATGAAGGTGCTTACGTACACACAGAGACAAAGACCTCCCCATATAGCCTTTAACAAACAGATTGTTGGGGCAAGTGCTCTTTGCGAGCACCTATACGAGGGGTGGGTGATCACCACCACCACCACACCTGGCCGCCTCTTTTTCCCCAGTGCTGATGTTCATACACCGCACCAGCAACTCGTGCAAGGCTTAGTCGAACCGGCGGAGACCAAAAACCAGTTCAGATATTTTTCACGGATGTTGGCCACGAGCTGGAATAGAACTCGGGCACCAGGCTTCGTAGTGCAGTGCGCTCGCTGCTACACTGCCGCTCACCACATATCCCCACACATCCAAAAGAACAAATACAAAGATCCCCCTATAGGCTGTAACAGGCTGTTGGGGCAAGTGCTCACACTACACACGACCGCCACGCTGTCCCTTCCGCAGGTGTCCGTGGTGGAAGAGCTGCGAGTGCTGGCTGAGCGACACCAGGAGCAGCTGGGACGACTCCGGCAGGAGAGCGAGGAGAGGCAGCGGCTGTGTGAGCAGCTCAAGAGGTGAGTGGCAGGGCTGAGAGCTCAAGGGGTGAGAGCTCAAGGGGGCAGTGATACGGGTGAGGAACAAGGGGTGAGCATTTCGATTTAAAGCTTTCGTGACTGCAGGGATTCATCTTCTTGGTTCTTTCGGTAAAGTCATCACGTAGAAGGGAAATAATAAAATTATAAAAATAAAACATAATAAAATACAATTCTCACGACGTTTCGGTCACAGACGCTGTCTTTCCGACAGACCTGTTCTTCACCTGAGGACGGCTGCTTGCGTTGTGGCTGAAACGTCGTGAGAATTATTTTATTATGTTTTATTTTTATTATTTTATTATTTCCCTTCTACGTGACTTTACCGAAAGAACCAAGAAGAAGGAGTGAGCAGTGATGGGGACGATGGCTCACAGGTGCTACTCACTGACAGCACTTGACACAATGGACTGTTGACCCGTTCCCGTTCCGAGACATCTGCAAGTTGCAGGGTGGGTCCCGTTTGCTGCTGAATCTCGGAACGCGCAAGCGGTTACCATTAATTTTATTTAGGGAGGCATGGCGCTATTGTTTTTAAATACATTATATTGACTGACCTCGGATAACTGTAGTGACACGGACACACTATGATAGCTGGCGCCAAACTATGCCACACGCTCTCCCACATGGCCTTGTAGGAGCCTCGGTACATCTCTGACCTGAAGATGTACCGTCAAAGTTATTTTATTCTCGCTTTTCTTCCGATTCCGAATCGAATGGGAAATGGAATCAGAATGGGAAAGCGTGAAGCTTATACGGGGGATCGTTGTCTTTGTGTGTGTGACACGCGCAGTGTGAACGGGCGTCTGGAGCTGGAGCTGGAACAGATCCGAGGGGATTGCGAGCGACTTCGAGCCGCCGAGCTCGACAAAAGCAGCCAGCTTCACGAGATCAAGTACTTGGCTTGAGTGTCACATCGCAAATGCACGATCCTGTTACGTGCACGCATGCGCATATACAAAAACAACTGCCATTCGCCAATAAGTGGCGGTGACATCACCACAGCACTTGTGCCAGGATATGTGCACTTTAAGGCCACGTAAAGTGTCAAAATATACATCACATATGCACAGCAACACACGGAGAAGACATCGTAGACGCGATGATTGTCGGTTCCCAGGTGTCTGTGAAATTGAGTCAACACCGTTGCCCCCGTGCCCCCTCCTTCGTGACCCCCGTGACCCCTGTGACCCCCGTGCAGCGAGAAGCAGCAGAGGCTGGACCTGGCGAGGCACGACCTGCGGGAGCTCGAGAGGACCGTGGTGAGGATGCGGTCCACCGCCCATCATCATCGTCGATGGTGGGCGTGGAAGTGAGGATGATGATGATGATGTTGCTGCTGGTGATGATGATGGAATTGATCATTATTCACGATGACGGAAATAATATTGTCGGCGGAGATGATGGTAAAGATGATGGTGTTAATGGTGGAGGAAGTGATGACGTACACGCTGATAGTGGTGGAAGTGATGATCATGATGGTGTGGAAGTGATGATTAGTTTGATGATGAGTGAATTTTACGATGGCATTGGTAATAATATTAATTATAAATGTGCTGATGATGATTGCAGTGATGCTGTGAATGGTAGTTTAGATGATGATGATGATGATGCTATTTATAACAATACAATACTTGATTTGTTCTGGATGCATTGGCTGTGATTGTGATGATGATGTCTGTCACTCAGATCAAGGAGCTGCAGTCTCTGTACAACCTACGCCGTGCCCTCACACATGAACTCGCCATGCGCATCCGCAAGGTAGCACTGCCCTGTCGCGCGGCGCAAACTCCACGTTCCTACATCGGGGACAAGAATATCCAATTTATTTTTGTACTATTCTGGCCGGTGCTGGCCCTTTTAGGTGCTCGCTGACAACATTTGGCCGCCTCATACCGTCGTCATGTCATCCTGCCAGTCCATTATTCTCGCAGTTCCAAACACCACCAGAGGGTAGCGCTATCACCGCTGTCGCCCAGGGGTCAGCAACGAACATGACAAAGAAGAGCCATTTTTGTTCGAATTCGGTGAAACAAAACCTAACATTTGAAGAGCCGCAATGCACGTGAATACGAGACCGGCGGTCTTTGATAGATGACGTCACAAAGGAGTCCTCAAAGAGCCGCAGTTTGCCGACCCCTGCGGTATCCGGAGCGCGTGTCACAGCTCAAAATCCCAAATTCCCATTTCAGAGCTTCTCTCATTGCAACTAAGGAGGCGCGTGCGGCGGGGTGCGTTGTCTTTGGGCAGAGCACGGTGGAGTCGAGTGGAGCCTCCGGCAAGCGGGATCAGCGGGGCGTTGTGATCCGGGGTTCCACGGAGACGGAGCGACCCACCTCCCGCGATGACACCTTCCAAATAGAGAACGTGAATAGGATCCACAAGCAGGTGCTGTGGCCGCTCGCACAAGCCAAATGCACCATCACCATTGTCGCCATCGTCGTCATCATTGCAGTAATCATCGCTGCATCATCACACAGCTACCATCATCATCATCATCATTCTTCTCTCATCTCAATAATCACTACCTCTGTCATCATCACATCATCATTCCACCACCAACGCCACCATCATCATCTTTCTCGCTCATCATCATCACCGCCCTCATCGTGCCACCAGCAACCACCATCAACACGCTTGCTCATTGATGAGACCGTGGCCACCACCCTCCCCCCCCTCCTCCTGCCCCTCGTCACAGGTGCTGGAGAACAACATAGACCTGCAGAAGGAGGTGCCGCGGCTGCGTTCGCGCGCCAGCACCGTGCAGCGTCGCGTCTCCGCGCTGAAGCTGGCGCTGCAGGAGGCCCGGGAGGCGCGCCGGGCGGCCCCGGGGGCGAGCGGCCCCGGGCGCGACGAGGCGGCGGGCGCGCGCGTCGCCTCGTCCACCGCCGCCGCCATCGTGCGCCGCATCAACTTCCCGCAGATCGGTGAGGAGAGGGCCCCCCACCAGCCCCACTGTCATAAGTCACCCACCCACCCACTGCCCACCGCCTGCTTGTGACGTCTGGTTGTGACACCAGGTTGTGACGTCTGGTTGTGACACCAGGTTGTGATGCCTCGTTGTGATGTCTGCTTGTGACGTCTGGTTGTGACGCCAGGTTGTGACGCCAGGTTGTAACGCCTCGTTGTGATGCCTGCTATTGTTGCCTGTTTGTGACGTCTGCTTGTGACGTCTGGTTGTGACGTCTGGTTGTGATGCCAGGTTGTAACGCCTCGTTGTGATGCCTGCTATTGATGCCTGTTTGTGACACCTCGTTGTGACGCCTCGTTGTGATGCCTCGTTGTGATGCCTGCTATTGATGCCTGCTTGTGACGTCCGCTTGTGACGCCTCGTTGTGACGCTTGCTGCCCCCCCCAGTGAAACCGATCCGGCCCGGACAGAAGCACACGCCAACTCGACCCCTCGGCCAGCTGCGCTCCATGTCCACCCCCTTCCTCTCCACCCTGGAGTCTACCCTCAACTCCAGCCTCGAGTTGTCCTGGAGCTCCAAGGCGGACGCCTCGCTCAGCCAGCCACGGGACAGTCTCGGCAGGAAAGGGTGCGAACCATCAGCATCATCAGCATCATCAGCATCGGCATCTTTCAGCATTCGTTTGATCGTCTTCAGCGTCACCTTTTCATTTCGACCTCTTGCTCTGCTCTACCGATCTAGACACTCCGTGCACATGTCTGCTCTGTGCTGCTGCTGCTGATGATGATGATGAAAGTCACACATCAACATCGGTTACAACTTCACGGATTTGCATCGACTTTATATATTTTGTTACGCAAAATGTACAGTGGGCAGCAACAAACAGCACTATCATATAGCTGTAATAGGCAATAATTTACACATTGCTTGAATTGAGTATGGAGGGAATTATAATGTGGAGCAATGTGACGGAAGAAGCAGAAAGATCAGTGTTTGTGACCTGCTGTGTGGTGGGTGGGTGGGTGTGTTGTTGTGGGGAGTGGTGGTGTAGTGGTTAGCACGCTGCGGTATGAACCTGGCGACCCGGGTTCGATTCCCACTCACAGCCAACACCGGTGACGATTATCTGAACCGCTCCTGGGCCTCCCCTAGGTCGACTCAGCCTCAAATGAGTACCTGGTGCGATGTGTAAACATCGCCACTGGGGAGACAAAGGCGGCCGAGCATGGTGTTGGCCAACCACCCCTTCGTGTGCCGTGCCGGCCTTTATAGGTGCTCGCTAACAGCACTTGCCCCTACAGTCTGTTCAGGCTAGGCAGCACCTGTGACCTGCAGTGTGGGTGATTGGGTGCAGTATTGGATGAGTAGAAACAGTCCAGTGTGATAGAGTCCTCATCATGGGTGGAGGAATCAACGGTTACCATGACAGAGTAACCGTGATAGCGTTCGAATAGTGATAAGCAGCCTACCGATCTCTGGTGAGCGAGTTTCTGGAGTGAATAGGTAAGGGCTGGATTATCATTCAACCCGCGTCCTGACTCGCTGTGTCCTGCCCGTGACAACATAGGTGGGACAAACAGCTCACGGAGATCAGCAGCGACCGATCGGCCATCCTGCACATCCCAGAAGGTGCGACCACACTCACCTCTCCTCCTCACCACTTCTATCCCAACCGCCGTCGGTGTCACGCCAAGAGCTGCGAGTTTCCCTTTTGGAACTCTCTCCGAGTGAAGCAGTGCACGAGTGTGCCGTGTTACACGGAGACACACGCGCACGTGTACGTGCAGCCTTACACACAGACTGTTGGGGCAAGTGCCGTTAGCCAGCACCTTAGAAGGCCGGCACAGCACGCTAGGCGGTGGTTTAGCCAGCACTGAATGCCTTTGTCTCCCCAATGCTGCAGGTTGCACACCACACCGGGTACACATTTTTTTTAAGGCTGTTTTTCTTTTTCACCAATGTTGGCCGTGAACTGAACTCGGATCGCCGGATCTGTAGCGCAGCGCACGAACCACTACTCTACCGCTCCCCGCATACACACACGTGTACACATACGCACAAACACAAACGTACACACACTCACACTCACGTGTATGCACACGCTCACACTCACGTGTATGCACACGTGCACACACACAACGGCACACACGCGTCTGACTGGCCGCTCTGTGTTTGAGCAGGAAACGAATGAGGTGGAGGCGGAGGGTGAGGGAAGTACGAAAGGGAGGGGACTCTTCTGCCTCAGCGACTCAACCCATGGCCCTGACGGACCAGGGACTCGAGCCAGCGACTCTCACCGACTCAATCCAACCCCGTAGCGTGACCTTGTTTAAACTGGTGTGTATGGGGGGGGGGGGGGGTTCAACAAAATAAATGTGAAACAAACTTGAAACAAATGTTAATCACCGTTCACCCGACAAAACTTTGAAGAAATTCCGCTGCTGGTGTGAAATTTGGCACCAACATTTTGTGTCTTGGCTCTGCTTCTGACGTGTACGGCTGGAATTCTCTGTGTAAGAAAAACTAAACTTGAATGTCCGAGGGTCGTGCGCCGCTTGGCGGCTTCGGTCGGTGGTGTCGTTGATGCCCCTCGAGGCTTCCTGAGAAGCGTCGCTCTGGGCAAGATCTGACGACGCATTCTGTTGTTCGGTCACCGTCTCCGCAGTCGCACTATGGACTACCTTTCATCATTTAGAAGTGGGACCCTGAGCCTTCAGACACTACGGGGCGGGGGTGGGGTGACTCTACTCCCAATGCTCAGCCCCACAACTTTAAGGGACCAGGTACTCAATCGATGACTCTAAGGGACTCTAGTCCAGGACTATTGACCATAAATCGCACCACCACCCAAGCCTTTGCTGACTCTGCAGCGCACAATGCAAGAGTTGAGTCAAAATCTGAATCGGGGGAAGAGATTGGCTGCTCAGTTGCTCCGTTTATAGTTCATACGCCGGCATGCGTTTCACGCAGACAAATGTGCCTTTGACATATTTACCTCTCGGCCTGCTGTACTGCCATTTCCTGGCCACGTTGCTGCCCAGTGGGTTTGAGAGTCACATACTGTCCCTGCGACCCATGCGCTTGGGGACGTGGGTTGGTGGATCACGCGCAGATTTGTGAAATTCCCAAACATGCTTGGCTGCGAAGTGATCATCAGGGGATAGCAGTGCTGCCAGTGGGTTCGTGAATCGAGCTGTGTAGACATCCGTTATTCCCTCTCGTGCGTAGCGGGTTTGCTGCTGTTTTCTCCCGCTTTGCAAAACGACTACTTAAGAGGGAATTGGCTAAACATCCCAAAGCAGGACCCACTCTGAAAACATCTTGAGACTCAGCGAGGCTTTCCTGAAAAATCGAATCATATCGCTGTCTTCACTGATTGCTGTAATTTATATGTAATGCCCATGTACCGATGTGCAACAAAAAACTCAGGACAAATGTCAAATGGCATTTTTTAAATGAAGGTAGGACAGCAAGTCGGTTGCTGATGTAGATGGTGCATCAATGTTCTCGACAATTGTATGTGTGAGTCTTGTCTGACTTTCCTTGAAAAATAAATTATTGTAAATTGTCAATAATTGTGAAAACTAATTCAGAAATAAAAACTATGTTTCTCTTCATGTAACTATTTGCATGTAAGTGTAATTCAAATAGTTCTACCGATTGCAGAGGGGTGGGCACGGTGGTTTGCGCACTGCGCCGTTAGCAAGGCGTGGTGAGTCCATACACCAGTGGGTTTTCACGAGGCTTCACATTATTGTTTTACTTATTGCAGAAGCTCGCTCGGTGTCACTGTAAAATAACACTTGAACTCGTAAGACACGAGTTCAATTTCCAGTCAGGGTTCATCATCCCTCCACCATCGATAGAATTAGTACCACTTTTTTTTTATTAGTGACCACCTTAAATCAGCCGATGAATGCCCTGGTCTCCGCCATGCCAATATGGCATTGACATCGACGGCTCAGAGCCACAAATGTAAGATTGCAGCACCGTGCAACACCTCTCTAGGAGCAGGGAGACACGTGCGACTCGGTTATGAATCCAATTGTGATTTTATTGCAGAAACGTTCAACACAACGAACACAAAATTCACAGTAACTTGAAGAGCCCAGCTGATACGAGCTGCGTGGCGACGCATTGATGTATCGATGCAGGTGGTTATTAAGAGATCACCGGAGATGCAGCGGATCGTGTGAGCGAAATATCAGTCTTCGCGGGGCTTCATTTCTCATTCGATATTTTGTGGAACGCTGCTCGTATGGCATGGAATAGGGATTATCAGCGTAAGTAACTCCCACTAAAGTACAGGGTACACCTATCCATAATAATAACCCTATATTATTGCTACATTTGAGTCACCACCTTCCACAGTTGTAAAGTATATATTGCTTATTTTGATGTATTGCAATACTCCGGTGATGGTTTTGCAAAAAATATATTTTGTACAGAAGGAACATTTTTTTTGTGCCTGATAGAAAAATACAAAATGACATTCTAGTCAGGATGGTTTCAAAGGTGGCGTTTTAAAATATATAAAAATCTATACAGTATATATTAATTTATATTAACACAGGTTCTAATTAACATTATATAAATACATTACTGGACTACGCATACCAGTGCACATTCATAATATTACATAAATACCAGGTCACACCATCACACAAACACACTTGCTTTAAAATACTAAAGACCAAAACGATCGTCTTTTTAGCCTGTAACAGACTGTTCGGATAAGTACTGTTAGCGAGCACCTATTAAAGCCAGCAAGACGCACGAAGCTGTAGTGTGGTCAACACCACGCCCAGCCGCCTTTGTCTCCCCAGGGGCTGATGTTTAAACGCTTCACCCGTCAACCTGTGGTGGGTGGGTGGGGGGGGGCTATGACTGGGTTCACGTATCGCCCGCCACGGATGTTAGCCACGGTTCACAATCGCACCCCACGGTGGCTTTGTCGTGGGGTGCCTCTGTGAGCAGCTGCGGCATTGCTCCTCTCTGCACTGAGCTATGCACTCGCCAGGACATTCACACACAAGTGTTACACGTAGGCAGCCCCACAATAAAAACGCGTACAAACCCATAAGTACTCACGCATACGCCCGCAAAGACGAATATTCCCCCGTACAGTCTTAACAGGCTATTGGGGCAATTACTGTTGGCGAGCACCGATGAAGGCTGGGGTGGGGGTGGGTGACCAACACCACGTCTGGCTGCCGTTGTCCCCCCTACCTAGGCGAGAGCCATGACCGGCTCAAATATTCGCCGACTTTATTGGCACACACCGCCCAAAATACACAGACTGACGCTCCGCACAATCCAAACCCACCCCCCTCCCACACACCACCCACACTACCCCACCCCCTACCACCCACACTACCCCACCCCCTACCACCCACACTACCCCACCCCCTACCACCCACACACACTACCCCACCCCCTACCACCCACACACACTACCCCACCCCTACCAGCCACCACCCACACTACCCCACCCCCTACCACCCACACACACTACCCCACCCCCTACCACCCACCACCCACACTACCCCACCCCCTACCACCCACCCACACTACCCCACCCCCTACCACCCACCCACACTACCCCACCCCCTCCCACACACCACCCACACTACCCCCCCCCTATCACCCACACACACTACCCCACCCCCTACCACCCACCCACACTACCCCACCCCCTACCACCCACCACCCACACTACCCCCTACCACCCACCCACACTACCCCACCCCCTACCACCCACCACCCACACTACCCCACCCCCTACCACCCACACACACTACCCCACCCCCTACCACCCACCACCCACCACACACACTACCCCACCCCCTACCACCCATACACACTACCCCACCCCCTACCACCCACCCACACTACCCCACCCCCTACCACCCACACTACCCCACCCCCTACCACCCACCCACATTACCCCACCCCCTACCACCCACCCCCCCCACCACCCACACACACTACCCCACCCCCTCCCACACACCACCCACACTACCCCACCCCCTACCACCCACCCACACTACCCCACCCCCTACCACCCACCACCCACCACACACACTACCCCACCCCCTACCACCCATACACACTACCCCACCCCCTACCACCCACCCACACTACCCCACCCCCTACCACCCACACTACCCCACCCCCTACCACCCACCCACACTACCCCACCCCCTACCACCCACACACACTACCCCACCCCCTACCACCCCCCCCCCACCACCCACACACACTACCCCACCCCCTCCCACACACCACCCACACTACCCCACCCCCTACCACCCATACACACTACCCCACCCCCTACCACCCACACACACTACCCCACCCACACTACCCCCCCTACCACCCACACTACCCCCCCCGTCACACGCCGTGAATCACCACACAGCCGTGGGAGCGCATGGGTCCCGGCAATGCCCCGGCCAGCGCCCAGACGCCGGAGCGGGGGTCGTACGCCTCCACGCTCTGCAAGTAGGCCCCCCGCTCGGCCGAGTAGCCCCCCGTGATGAGCAGGCGTCCGCCCAGCGCCGCGCAGCCCCCCTCGAGCCGCCGCTCCACGGTGACCCCCCCGGGGCGCCACTCTCCGCGCTCGGGGTCGTACACGTCCACGTGGGCGCTGTGGCCCCCCAGCACGTAGATCAGGCCCCCCAGCACCGCCGAGCAGAGGCCGTACTCTGGGAGGGGGGGGGGGGTTGAGTCGGGTGGTATTCGGGGGGTGAGGGTGAGATGCATAGCAGGTGAGTGGAGTGGGAGTTTGCTGTTGGGAGAGCGATTGCCTCCCAGCTGCCCGGTAGCGTCCTTCGCGAACCTCCTCCACAGAGGCCGACCGTGACACCGCCGGTGCCGGTCACCTGGAAGTTCGCTTAGCTCCACGTCCTCCTGGTGCCGCATCAACTCCATCTTTATCCGGCCAAACAGAAGCTGATTGGGCACGCGGTCCCCGGGAATGCCGGGCTACGTGACCCTGCCAACGCAGCCTCGCCTGCCAGAGTAGCTCACCGATGGGAATGTGTCCAGATCGTTCAAGGATCTGTGAGCGCATCGCACAATCGAGCCTGGTTAAACCCGGAGTGGACTTTAGCCAGGCCAGCCTGAATGTTTCAAACTAGCACAGGCGTTCCTGTAAATGGGTCGACGTTTCGTGGGCATTGAGAAGTGAGTGCATAACTCGTAGCGGAGAAGACCCAGCCACAGAGCTTTGTTTGGAACGGCAGGCCAAGCAGCTTCCGCACGCCGTTGCGCAGATGATGTAACTAACTGTATGTATACACACACAGAGACACGTGTACTGAATACACACGCTCGCACGTATGCAAAAACACACCAACACATGCAAACATTCGATCTGCAAGTCTGAAACCTGAATCTTTGCATTTGTGCAGAGAGTGCGAGAAAACCAAAGATAGCTAGCCTGGCGCTGCGATGCGGTGGGAACTCCATGGACACCGAATTCTCATTGATGAACAAACCACCAGAGGTCTACAAGGGTTAGAGTTAGGGTTCAAGTCAGGGTGAGAGTGAGTGTTGCGTCATGATCGAGGTTAGGAAACACGACGTGTAATCTAAAGTCACCCTGTGCGTGGTGGATACGAGAACTTCCTACGAGTGCCCGCGTGAGCTCACACAGCGGGGAGGGGGGGCAATCGCACTCATAAACCGGTTCATCTCTTCACATCGATTCTCATGCCGATGATCCGCGAACAAAATGCATGACCGCGTTTCTGATGCGCGCTTTAGGCTGACGAATGGAATTGAACGAGGCAAAAGAGAAAAACTAAATAATCATCTCGCTCGCTCGCTCGCTCTCCAGCGAGGGAGAGAACAGCGCAGAGGCGCGCGAGGGGGAACCAGAGGCGAGTGACATGAAGGGCAGCAGCAGGAGCAGCAGCCAGGCGATGAGCTGGCGCTACCAAACAATTGTCCAAGCTATACAGTCCTCTACATGCAGTCTGTTCTCCAATATCGCGACAATTGCTTTCCTGAAGAAGACCGCGTTTATTGGAAAAATCGCGTTATAATAAATAATATACGGTAAAGCACAGTCCGCGATAACACGCGGGATGCGTAACGCAGGGTGAACAAAGACTGAGGCGCGTGGGTAGATCTAGAAGGATCCAGCAGCATCCCACTGCCGTTGTGTGATGCTACGCCGAGGCAGCCGTACAGCCGCTTATTCCGACTCGGGTGACGTATCTTCTTGGTTCTTTCGGTAAAGTCACGTAGAATGGAAGTAATAAAATAATAAAAATAAAACATAATAAAATAATTCTCACGACGTTTCGGCCACAATGCAAGCAGCCGTCCTCAGGTGAAGAACAGGTCTGTTCACTCGATCGCGTTATATCCAAATCGCGTGATGAAAACACGCTTTTATACGAGAACAGACCGTCTTAACGCGTTATTTGTATCGGCCAATGGGACAGTACACATGAAACAGACGATACAGAGGGCAAAGCGCAGACAAGTCGGACAGAAGAACACAAGTCGACCGACCACACAGATGAGATAAACCGCGGCGATGAGAAAGACCATACGGACGATAATACAGGCAGCACAAATGCGACAGTTCAATACAGAAAAGACAAATGTGACCAGCAGGATCGATGTGAAACAATACTGTGCGCACGCACTGCACAAGCAAAGACATACCCACACCTGCTTTTAGATAAATGTGTGTATGTAGGTGCTGACTGGACACAGAATCAATGATGGAATAAAACCATGACCCCCCCCCAAATTGTGAAAATTAATCTAACTAATACAAGCAAGTCGGACACTGGATGTCGAAACCGACCGAGAGTTTTCATGTAATTCTAGATTCGAAGTTGTCGTGACTGCAAGGATCCATAATCTTTGGTTCTTTCGGTAAAGTCACGTAGGTGAAAATAAAAATAAAATAAAAAAAAATACCTATATAATCACTTGTCACATACAACTCTCTCTGCCCACTACAGTACAACAATTGCTGTTGGTTCCCACCTGATGACGGAAGCTTGTGTTGCCTCTGAAACGTCGTGATTTAGTTATTTTTTATTTTATTTTCACCTACGTGACTTTACCGCAAGAACCAAAGATTATAGTCGTCGTGTACAGCACTGGAACAACGCTGCTAAAAGTGTTCACGCTCAGAAAAGCCGTGGGGCTGATGGGCCGAGTAGAATACTGTACGCAGTACAGCCGTACCCCCTATTTACGTCTCCCCATTTCACGTCGTTCCGCGTGCACATCGCCGCTTTGTCAACGACACCACTAACCCGATTTGCGTCGCCCTCAACCCCGCTACTTACGTCGCTGTCAGCATCGCCCGCCCTCTCTCGTTATCCGTCGCCTCCTCGTCAGCCCTTCGCCTCCACCACCCTCCCCTGTAAATCGCTTTGGATTTACGTCGTTTCGATATACGTCGTCGCAACTTTGAGAAACGTATCCCCCCCCCCCCCCCGACGTTAACCGGGGTATTGCCGTATTTGTGTTCATTTACCTTTGCAGAGAGACGCATATGTTGAATGAGACGTCAGTCACATGATCTATTCGTAACTGCTGGCGGGCTGAGGTGAGGTGGTGGGCATGGGGTTGGTGAATCTTTACGTGCCCTCTGCTCACTCCCCGCTCCTCACCACGAGCCCGCCACCCTCTGTGGGAGCCGGTGAGGGGCGAGTGGCTTGGAGCGCACACGCACACGCACGCACGTGCACGCGCACGCACGTGCACACGCACACGCGCACGCACGCGCACGCACGCGAGCACATACATCGTGTTCCCTCAGAACGCGACACCTTATGGAAAATTCATCAAGAGCGCAGCTCAGTGTTGAGAACCTGACACCCACTTGAGGGGCACGGACCGTTTGCTTAGGGTGTCCGTGGTGTGTCTGCGCGTGCCGTTATTGTATCTGTGTGCGCTATTATTGTTTGCGTGTGTGTGTGTCTCCATGATATACGAGTAGCGTTGCCTGTTTGGTCATCATTATTAAATGATAGGTCATTAGCAGCCCTTTGTCAATTCACTGCCGATAAAGGCTGCCACGTGCTGCGTGCAGGTCACGAGGGGGTTTGTTTCACCGTGAACTTAACCACGTGGGTCAGCGCGGCTCTTCACCGTGCCGCACCGACCATCATCGGTTCGGATTTCACTCGCCACTGACGTTAGCCGTGGCTGGAAACTGAACTCGGATCGCTAGGTTCAGTACAGCAAGTGCAATAAAATAAACTATAAAAAAAAATTCACCAGGGAATTGACAGAACAGGGGAGAGAAGGGCCATCTGGATGAATGCCTGGCAGCGAGAAGAGAAGCAAAGCGAGGTGGTAGCAATGGAAAAAACAAACAGCATTTGCACAACTCTACCAGAAGCTTGACAGCAGAGAAGGCGTGAAGATGGTATCTCGTTTGTCAAGAGCCAGAAAGACCAGGGACATCGACCATGTGCATGTCGCGAAGAACAGTGACGGACGAACAATCTTGGATGATATAAATGTTAGAGAGAGATGGAAAGAGTACTTTGAGAAGTTGCTGAATGTGGAAAACTCAAGACGCCGAATGGTTGAGGAACATCAAGGAATTGAAGTAGTTGCAGATACTATAACCAGAGAAGAGGTGGTGGAAGCTCTGGGGAGCATGACACATTAAAAGGCAGTGGGGCCAGATGAGATCCCAATTGATGTGTTTAAATTAATGGGAGAAAATGGGTGTTTAAATATTGATGGGGCTATTTGGGAAAATCTGGATGCAGAAAAAAATGTCGCGTGCGTGGAGAGAGAGTACATTGGTTCCCAGCGTTAAAGGGAAAGACGATGTACAAGAGTGTGGGAACTACAGATGCATAGCATTGAGTCCCATCATGAAACTCTGGGGAAGGATCATAGAAAGGAGACCGAGGAAGCTGGTGGATATTGGCAAGAGTCAGTTTGGATTCGGACAGGGAAGGTCAACATTGGATGCGATCTTTGCACTGAGAGTATTGATGGAGAAGTTCAGAGAGAAGAAACGGGGCCTGCGTGTGGTGTTTATGATCTAGAGAGAGCGTACGACAAGGTGCCTAGTGAGCTCATCTGGTGGTGTATGAGAAGAAGTTTTACTGGTAGGAACCTCCTGGTTACACCAGCCCACAGGGGATTATTGTGTCCGTCCGTCCGGGAGGGGCTGGGTGGGGAGGGGCGGGGCGAGGGGTGGGAGGGGCGGGGCGAGGGGTGGGAGGGGTGCCCTTATAAAACTCAACGTTTAACCTACTCACACCGGCTTGTGCCTGCCCTCACAGTCGGGCATATTAGTGGAATACACCACGCCGCCATTGACCCTGGCCATTGACCGAGCAACCCAACGTTCCTACCAGCTCCCTCCGCAGGAATGTGTTCCTGAGGTATATGTCCGGCTGATCCAGGATATGTATGAAGGAGGGAACATGCATGTGCGAAGCAGCTGTGGGGTCTGATAACTTTGAAGTCAAAGCGGGAGTGAAGCAAGGTTCCGCCCTGAGCCCCTTCCTGTTCATCCTGGTGCTGGACACACTGACGAGATGTATTCAGAGGGAGCCCCCCCCCCCATTGTATGCTGTTTGCAGACGATATTGTGCTGTGTGGTGAAAGCAGAGGGGTAGTGGAAGATGATTTGAAGATCTGGGTGCAAAAGATTGAAGGGAATGAGTTGAGGATCAGTCGAACAAAGACTGAAGGTGGTGAGGCTGGTGCTGTTGTATGGGGCCGAGTGCTGGGGCACAATAAAGAGGGAGGGCCAATCTATGGCAGTCACAGAGATGAGCATGTCGCGGTGGATGTTGGGTTTAACAAGGACGGACAGGGTGAGAAATGAAGAAGTGAGAGGAAGACTCAAAGCGGTAGAAATCACAGAGACGATAAGAGAGAAAAGGCTGGTGCGGTTCGGTCATGCGGAGAGACAACTGGTAAATGATGTGGGTCAGAAGGTGCAAGTGATGCAAGTGGAAGGAAATAGATCAAGAGGAAGGCAGAGGAAGAGGCGGGGGGCGATGCGGTGCGATCGGACACGGTGGCCCGAGGAGCGTAAAGAGAAATGGCGCAGGACAGGGCAGCGTGGAGAAGGTTGGCAAGGACAGTGGACCCCTGACGAGTGGGACACACGCGTGGAAGAAGAAGAGGGAAGGCCCACTCAGCGACGTAGCTCTTTTTCAGAAGCGACCTCGACCATAAATGATAGCTCAACGAAGTGGCTTATTACGTGCACATTTTTCGTAGCTAAATACTTTAAACGCCCGTTGATTCTAAATGTAGAGGGGAAAACGGGTGGAACCGGTGAAAAATCCACGCAACCACGGGGAGTGAGACATGCAAACTTCAAATATACAGGTGTCGGAACGAACCCACGACCTCCTGCATACCAGGCGAGGTAGTTAACATCTCGTCACCATGGTGCCCCACTGCGACACTGCTCCACTCCTCATAATCGTTATTATGATCATGATCATCATCATTTAAATTGCCGCCCCAATACTAGGTTGAACAGCAAGACACATCGTGTTTGTCCACGATGATGACGATCATGGATTGACGGGTGATGGTGATGATCATGACCACGATGAGGATGTTGATTGAGGATGCCACTTTTGCCGATGGTGATGGTCATGATAATGGGCCAGCAGATGTGATAATCCTGCGATGATGTTCATGACAATGTTAAATAAGTTGACCAACTACCATGATGGTTATGATATTGATGATAATAATAAATTAACCACTGTTTGCGATGATAATGATGGATCAATGATCGTGATTGGGATGATGAGGATGATACTGATTGATTGATCATGACGATGGGTTGAGCAATGATCACGATGATCATGATCATGATAATCAGGATGGATTGACTGATGGTGATGATGCTGCTGGAGGTACCGGGATGAGGGCAGAGAGTGAGCGAGCTCCACTGGTTCCGCTCCGCGTGGTGGGCCTGCACGTGTCCCAGTGAAGACCCCCCGGGGCAGCCTGAGTGCCCCCCAATCACGTAGATGCAGTCCCTGAACGAGCACGCAGTCGCGTTACCCACACCTGGGAGAATAAACACAACAACAATAACAAAGATCTCACGTTCAGCCCTTACCAAACAGTTGGGGCAAGTGCTGTTAGCGAGCACCTATGAAAGCCGGCAGGGCACACGAGGGGGTGTGTAGCCAGCACCACGCCCGGCCCCTTTGTCTCCAATGTTTACACATTGCACCGGGTTACTCATTTGAGGCTGAGTCAACCTAGGGGAAGCCCAGGATCCGTTCAGATAATATAATCGTGACTGTACACCCAAGACCACAACGCTAACACGTATAACACATGCAAACACAACACTTACATAGCACACGACCAATGCATACGCCTAACACTGAACAAACTTGATTACATTTTCGTGAAAGAGACATTTTTGGCTCAATGGGCTTCACTCGGGAAATAAACGTCTGATTCTTCTCATGTGACACCACGGGCAGTGCCGTGGCTAGCGGTAGCGCGTTAGCCGCTTGTTGCAGAGATTGGCGGTTCTAATCCGGAAGGCCGCCCTGGATATTACTGCGGGTGTAATGAGAATAATGTCAAGCCAAACTGTCTTTTTTTACCAGGTAAAGCCCACTGAGCTATATAGCTCATTTTCAGAAGCGACTTGGCGACAAATTATGTCTCAATAAAGTGGCTTATCGTGTGGAAATATACAGCAGCCAAATATACTCTAAACGCATGTTGATTCTAAATGTGGAAGAAAAAAACCGGGGAAATCCACGCGAACACGGGGAGAGAGACCATCGAATCTCTAAATACACAGGCGTCAGGGTCAGAATCGAAGAGATGAACTCCTGTCTAACAAGCGAGGTAGTTAACATCTCGCCACCGTGGCGCCCCACGCGTCGTTTGCTGCACAGTGGTCGACACAACGGTCATTGCGTTGTCGCCATTATGATCCAAATTGGAAACACTGAATTGGAAAACAGTGAAATCTTAGCAACATCCTCCTAAAAAATAGTTTTCATACTCAGCAAGAATGTGTCCTGGGTCAACAAGCGTCAACGTGTATGTATGTACAGCGTGTTGAACTTCTTTTACACCGTACATAGCCAACCATGCTAATCGGAGGTGCGGGGGAAGGACAACAAACTAGACACAAAAATTAGTTCGGAAGAAATGAGTTTTCAATCTCGACTTAAAAGTGCATAGCTGCAGTGGCTTCGTATTAAACAACAGTAAAAACGTTTTCCAGAGCCGTTATCTGACACAAGGGTGAAACTATGGCCTTACGACACCACGTCAAGATTCATTAGGAACCGCGTTCTGCAAATGAAGTGATCATTCTTTTGAGACAGCAGCCCCCGTCCACGGGCAAAGTCGAGTTTTTCCACCGCTAAATTCAGACAAGCTGAGCACCGCGCCACGCTGGGGTGGAGCGAGGAGAGATTCTGTGACGTTTGCACGTCTCATATTTACATGGAGACGGTGGAAAAATCCTCGACCCGATGCGGCCTCCCAACATCAACAATCTCCCACTGACATCATCGGCCGTCAAACAACACCATTAACCCCCCCCCCCTCCACCATCAACAACGGCATTGTTAGAATAATCAGCGGGCTGTCAATATCGTCAGTCTTATCAACGTCACAACAACAACCCATTCACATCAGCGCCACTGTGATCAAAGTCAAAGGCCATTGCCATCATCATCATCATCTTCTTCGTCATGATCGTCATCACGTAAACAATATGCTCAACCTCACTCATAGCGAAAAAAACATCACATGCACACACGCACCATCAACAAATACATTAGCACGGTTAGCTACGTACGGTGCGAAAGAAGTTCAACAACCTGTACATACATGCACACATCACCACTGTTATCGTCCCCAATAATTATTGATGACAATCAGCGGCCTATAACCACACACACACCATGTAACCCCGCACCCACCCCCACCCACCCCTCCCCTAGCGAGCACGAGCTCTCACCGTGCTCCATGCTCGCAATGGGTGTCCACTCGCGCTTCAGGGGGTCGTAGCGCTCCGCGTCCCTGGCGGGGGCCCCGTCCCTGAACCCCCCCATGGCGAACACGCATCCGAGCGCGCTGGCCGCGCAGTGGCAGTAGCGCGGCAGCCCCATGGGGGACCCGGGGGTCCAGCGGTCTCGCTCACAGCTGTAGACCCAGAGCGAGGCGAGCGCCTCCTCCACGCGCTCGCCGCGGTACCCCCCGCTCACGAACACGCGCGCACCCAGCGCTGCCACGGCGTAGCTCTCGAGCGCGCGCTCCGGCAGCGCGGCCCCTGCGCTCCACGCGTCCTGCCCGGGCCGCCACGCGTGCACCTCGGCCAGGGGCCGCCAGTGGTAGCCGCCCACCACGTAGAGCTCAGCGGAGCAGGCGCGCTCCACGCGAGGGCACGGTCCCAGCACGGCCGCGCGCAGCGCCGAGCGCAGCGCCTCGGTCGTGGACGCAGCGCCCGCGGCCGCTGTCGCCAGCGCCTCCTCCAGCGCGGTGTCGAGGAGCCGCAGGTTCACGCCGATCTCCAGCAGCTCCGGCAGCAGCGCGGCGCGGCTGCCCGGGTCGTGCGCCACCCACGCGGCCAGGGCGCCCAGCAGCGCCTCCTCGCTCGCCACCTCCAGGTCCCGGCGCGAGAGGAGCGCGCGCAGGCGCCGCGCCTCCAACTCGGGGAACTCGTCGCCGGCGCAAACCTCCTGGAAGGCGGAGGCGGAGAGGCGGCGCGACTCGCGCTCCAGGCGGCGGCACGCGTGCGTCTCGGCGAAGGCGAGCAGCCCCAGGCAGTTGGAGGGGTCGAGGCGGCGCACGAGGAAGCGCTCGCACGCCGCCTTGACGGCGCCGAACTGCAGCAGGTCGGCGGCCGCCAGGAGGGACTGCACGTTGCGCTCCGTGATGGAGACGCGCGACGTGTACGCGAAGCGCAGGAGCGTCTCCATGACATCGGGCTCCACGGCGGGCAGCACGACGCGCGAGAAGCGTCGCTCGCGCATGTCGGCCGTGAACATTGCGTGGAAGTAGGCGCTGCAGGCGGACAGCACGGCACGGTGGCAGCGGAACGAGCGGCGCGTGGCCGTCATCGGGGACGGGGGTGACGGAGGAGATGGATGGTGAGGTGGTGATGGAAGACGAGGAGGAGATTGTTGCTGCCCGTGGCACTCCAGCGTGATGTCCGAGAAGAGGCCGTGCTGGTAGAAGGAGTGCAGAGCGCGCAGCAGCTCGCGCGGGTGCTGCGCGCACGTGTACGCGTACGCGTACCCGCCTCGCTCTGGCTCAGGGCCGCCCCGGGGCACGGGGTCGCCGGGGCCGCGGCTCGGCATCGCGGGGTCGAGGCGGCGCGGCGGCGTCGTGGGGACCTGCGGTGAACGGGGAGGGGGAGGGGGGCAGAGGCAGTCAGAGACACGTTCGCGCACCGGCAATCAGGAGCCAGGCAGGCAGTACAGCACTCGTTCTAGATTTGAAGCTTTCGTGACTGCAAGGATTCATACTCTCAGTTTTTTCGGTAAAGTCACGTAGGTAAAAAAAAAATATTTTATTTTTATTAATTTTAATTTCAATTTTTTACCTACGTGACTTTACCGAAAAAACTAAGAGTATAGTACAGCACTCGGTCAGTCGGCCGAGACGACGCAGGTGCTCAGCGATCAAGCAGTCGGGAAGAAGGCAGCTGTGCGGTCAGAAACCAGGGCAGTTGGGAACCCAGGCCACTGTGGCACCCACCCGGGCAGCGAAGCGCCTCCGTGTCGACAGCCGGTCAGTCAGCAGAGAGCACTCCGCCCGCGGGACGGCACCCAGCCCGCTCCCTCTCGCCCACTCGGGCAGGGAGAGCGCACGCACGGGCGCGCGTGTGCGCGTCCACGCGGCGAGAGGAGGGGAGGGAAGGAGGGAGGAGGAGGGTTTAGGGAGGGAGGGAGGAGATTGGTCGCCGTAAGCGCGACTCGAAACTGAACACAATGGACTCATCCTCGTCACATGTTTGCACGTGTCTGTTTGTTCCTCTTGTTTGCTCCGTCATCCGCGCTGCTCCGTGCACGGCAGTGAGAGCTTGCGCGCGTGCGGCTGTTTGTGTCTGTGGAGATCCTACGAAGGACTTACCTGTGCAAATGCGTGTGGCTGTGTAAATATGTCGATTTTTTTGTGTTTGTGTGGAGGGCCAAATATTGGAACGAGGCGTGATGCCTGCTTATTTATGAAGGCCGGGACGACGCACGAGGGGGGGTGATATGGCAAGAATTTCGTCCGACCGCCTTAGTATCCCCAGTGGCGATGTTTACATAACGACTCATTCACGTCGAGTTGACATCGAAGAGGCCCATAACCGGTTGAGATAATCGCCACTGACGTTAACTGTGTCCGAGAATCGGTGCACGAATGACTCTTGCCCGAACAGCCTGTGTGGTCTTTACGGGGGATCTTTGTCTTTGTGTGTGTGTCTCGTGGGGAGCGGTGGTGTAGCGGTTAGCGCTACGCTGCGCTACGAACCCGGCGACCCGGGTTCAATTCCCGCTCACGGCCAACACCAGTGACGATTATCTGAACCGGTCCTGGGCCTCCCCTAGGTTGACTCAGCCTCAACTGAGTACCTGGTGCGGTGTGTAAACATCGCCACTGGGGAGACAAAGGCGGCCGGGCGTGGTGTTGGCCACGTACCCCCTCGTATGCCGTGCCGGCCTTTATAGGTGCTCGCTAACAACACTTGCCCCTAGAGTCTGTTAAGGCTATACGAGGGATCTTTATCTTTGTCTGAGGAGCGATAGCGTGCGGGGTTTCGCACTGCTCCGATTCCCGGACACAATCAACATCAGTGGTGATGATCTCAACCAGTCCCGGGTCACCCATATATCGACTCAGTCTCGTATGAGTAGGCATACCTGTTGTGAAACACAACATCAGTACTAGGGGTTGACGGAGGAGGCCGGGCATGGAACGGGACGCATCCATCGCAAGAGTCTGCACGGCTATCGGGGGCCTTTGTGTGCGTCTGGGTTTCGCTCAAAAGCGCAGAACCAAATGCAAAGCGACGGGCTTCTTCGTTCAGTCGTTGGTGACCAGGCTCCCGAGATGAACTCGCCACACTTGATCACGATTTTCACGATCGTCGTCATCCATTGTCTATCCACTCCTCAATGCAATCACCATCAATCACGGTCCGGTGCTGATTCCACCCCGTCTCACGCCTGCACACCAATCGATATCGCAGCTTCATCTTCGCGGCTGTCATTGTCGTGGACGCGTTCCCCATCCTTTGGCCGCCACTTCGTCACCAGTCTCGTCCGGACGACACTTGAGAACATGGGTACAAAGACCAGGATCTCTGCGGTTACAGCTCGGCGCTGTGAACTCTGAAAAGGAGTCCAAAAATGCTCTTGTTTATTCGAGTGTTCCTGTAACCAGGGGACACGTGGACACGTGTAAATAAAAACAAAAAATTCTCCACGCGACTTTCTCGCTTGCTCGCTTGCTCAATACCACGGTGGCTCAAACAAGATGGAGCCACCGCAACGGGGAGGGTTTCCACAGATTCTGTGAGAGCTTTTAACAGACTACGAGACAAGAAGGCTCACATGATCGAGTCTTTCACCTTTCTGAAGGCACCTACCTCAGCATGTTCTTGCTGTGGGTGTTCCACCTGATGATGATCGCTTGTGTTGCGATCGAAACGTCGTGAGTTGTTTTATTTTATTTTTCTACCTACGTGACTTTACCGAAAGAGCCAAAGGGTATGGATTCCTGCAGTCCCGAAAGCTTCAAATCAAGACAAAATTTTAACTTATACATTCTAAGAGCTGGATTTATCGCGTGCAGGAAACACTCATTACATTTTTCGATTTAAAGCTTTCGTGACTGCAGGGATTCATCTTCTTGGTTCTTTCGGTAAAGTCACGTAGAAGGGAAAAAAATACAATTCTCACGACGTTTCGGCCACAACGCAAGCAGCCGTCCTCAGGTGAAAAACGGGGCTGTCGGAAAGACAGCGTCTCATTTAATGTGACGGGTGTTTTTTTTGTCTGCTCCATCAGCTCGCGACACTTGAGAACCCTGTTTCATCGCAGATGGCTCGAGCTCAGTTCGAACCCAGGAACTCATCGGTGCGCATTTGGTGTCTCTGACACGGCCAATGTCAACAATGAGAGACAGACCCAGCGCTTGAACCCAGAATCTTAGCGATGCTGGATCAGTCTTTCTAACACATCCATTATGAACCCCATGGGAGAGAGAGAGAGAGAACCAGATTCAGGGCTAAACCCCAAAAACTAAGCAGCGCCGGCTGAGTGCTCTCACGCGTCTGTTATGGATCTTTTTATCCACTCGCCAACATCAACATCTGGCGCATTAACGCACAAATATTTCGCGTTTGCACTCCGTGTGAACATAGCGTCGTTGTTACCGTGAACCCACATGCATTTTAGCACAAGTCACACTATGTTGACTAATGGCTCACGCGTATTTTAACGCAAGTTATTGGCTGTCTTACAGCCGTGGTTCGACACAGGGGGAGGGGACGTGATGGGCGACGCGATGTGTTTTCAATCAGTCTTAGCGGGGATTCATGTATCACTATATATTCCGAGTAGCTGGTAGACTGCAGTATGGACGTGATTAGTAGCCAAGGCATAGCGCGAGGAATACTGGATGCGGTGTGCTGGGGGCGGAATTTCTCATTGACTGGGTCGCCAACCGGCCATCTCTGGCTAAAGTTCAGCGCTGCGTCTTGGAGCGTAATCAATGCGGGTCGTCACGTGGTCAGCACCACTCGCGCGCCTGTGATCCAGCACTTTGGGGTTAGTGGATCACGCAACGATTCGCAAAACTCCCGTGCACGCAGGCGCTGCATCTGAACCGGCGTGGGGATGTGGGTTTGTGAATCCGTCCGTAGAGGGGAGCTTCACGTGCCACCCACTGTATTCCGACTCCTCCGCGCAAGAAAGATATTCACTCAAAAGAGAATTGATCATTTTGAAAAAGATCTGTACGATGATTTTGATGCTAATGCTAAAAGATCGGGCAATGATAGTGAGGACGCTTCCTGTGCCAAAGATGACGCTGCTAGTGATTGTCCAGTAATGATTAATGTGCTAATGAAGTGGAAGGTCGAGTGAAAATTATGGCGATGATGGATTGGTGGATAATGATGATGATAATGATATGGATTATGATCATTATAAACTGAACGACAACCGTAGTGGTGGTGGTGATGATGATGAATGTACACACAGAGTAAATAGGTAATGGATAAAATATGTTGAGACGACCAGCGTAACCTCAAGCATGCTTAGTTACACGTGGATAAATAGGTGCTTTGTGCACAGGTGCGAGTGTCAAATTCGGCGCCAGCTATTTAGAAACTCAATCCAACCACACACACCCCCAGCACCCAGAGCACCACCCACAATCGCCACCACAACACACGAACCACAACACACGAACCACAACAAACCAACCTCCACCGCACCCCAACCACACACATTCTCCCACAAACAACCACACATCGCAATCACCACCACGACACAGAACCACAACAAACCAATCACTACAACCCAACCACCACCGCACCCCAACCACACACACTCGCCCACCACAAACCACACAGCACGATCTCCACAACACTCCAACCACAACAAACCAACGACAATTCACAGCACAACCACCACCATAAACCAACCACACGCCCCCCCCCCTCCGCCACCACCCACACCACAACCCCCACTACCACCACAAATCCACCACCACAGTTCGCAAGCTTCTTCTTCATCGTTCGTATGATGATGGTCGACGCAGAGGCACAACCACAATGTCACGTTCAGGTGGTCGAAGCCAGACAACCGCGTCAGGAGCAGCGGAGAGCATCATCGCTTCGATGTCTCCAGTCACAAGACACCAACCACGCACCACAATTCAACCACACACTCTTCTGAACTACCCATGGCCAACCTCCTTACTCCTAGCCCTCGTCCCCCGCTCCTCTGCAATCGAAGTGGACAACCTCCACCTGCGCGCCCTCTGTTCCACCGCAGTTCAGCCATCACCTCTTCCTCCTCCTCCTCCCCCTCGTCCTCTTCCTCCTGTTCATTTAGCGTCACCTCTTCATCCACCTCTTCCGAAGAACTCATGGCGCCGTCCCTGTTGCGTATCTCTCCGCCTGCGAGGAGCGTATCGAGAGTTCCCTGATGAGGTGAGCTCAGCCTCTCCTTCCTCGCATGCTTGTTCGACTCTTTTCTCACTCGCACCCGGCTCTCCAAACTCTCTCCCCTCGCTCTCCAAACTCTCTCCCCTGGCTCTCTCCAGACTCTCCGCTGTCTCTCCCCTCGATCCCCTCGCTCTCTCCAGACTCTCCCCTGTCTCTCCCCTCGCTCTCCAATCTCTCTCCCCTGGCTCTCTCTCTCGACTCTCCCCCGCGCTGTCGCCACTCGCCCCTGCCACCCCGCCCGACGCGGCACGCGCCGCGCGTCGCTTCCACATTAGGAGCGGTGGGGAGATGGGAGGAGAGAGCGGTGGGGAGAGTGGTGGGGAGAGGAGAGAGCTGCGGGGAGAGGGTAGGAGAGGACTGGAGGGAGAGTGGCGGGGAGATGGGAGGAGAGAGCGGTGGGGAGATGGGAGGAGAGAGCGGTGGGGAGAGCGGTGGGGAGATGGGAGGAGAGAGCGGTGGGGAGATGGGGGGAGAGAGCGGTGGGGAGAGTGGTGGGGAGATGGGAGGAGAGAGCGGTGGGGAGAGCGGTGGGGAGAGGGTGAGAGAGAGGACTGGATGGAGAGTGGCGGGGGGAGCGGAGTGCGGTGGAGAAAGGGGGGTGCAGAGCGCGTAGGGGAGAAGGGAGAGAACCCTTATAGGGAGCGGAGACCACGCTATTTTAAACCCGGGGCCCGATCTGTTGATCACTTCTCACCAGACCGGTGGTCAGTTCACTCGTTCGCTCACTCTTTCATTCATTCACGGACTCACTCGCTCATTCATTAAAAGTCACTCAACGGTAGTACTCACTCATGCAGTGCAGTACTCATATATCTGGCAAGCGAGGCTGTGTCGGCTGGGCCACGTAGACCCGCATGCCCAGCCACCGCATGCCCAATCAGCTTCTGTTCGGCCGGATAGATGGGGCTAAACGGGCGCAATAGGGGCTAGAGAAGAGACGGAGCTAATGCGGTGCAGAATGCTGTGGAGCTGATTGAACTTGCCGGTGACTGGTACCAGCGGTGTCAAGCTCGTCCCGTGTGGAGGAGCAACAACGGAGGGCAGGAGAACGACGCTCACGGCAACAAGCGGAGCGCCAGGCGGCTAATGCGCACAGTTTGCACCGTGGCCAACGCAGTTGGTGCATCTGCCAGACATCTCAGTCAGTCAACCCATAGCACCTGAGTCTGTTTCGTGCCCTCCTGTCAATGTGGGCCTACGACACTTCACGTGGCCGCAAAGTGCACCTCGCATGCCACAAGCGCCGTGGTGAACGGCGGTTATGTGAATTAAACTGTGGCGAGGCTTCACTGGAGTGGGCCTTCGAGACATAACTCTAACAAGTATATCCTCAGCCACATCGAGACGTATAGCTGGATGTGGTGTCCAGGGTTTTGTCAGATGAAAGGGTAAACAACTGTACGTATGTTTTTTTCGCGAGACAATTTTATACGTGTGGCAGACCGGTAATCGATTTAATTTTTCAACGTGAGAAACACGATTTTAACCCTAATCCAGACAGAGCCGGCTTAAATTAAGCCCATACATTTCCACGCGTATTTTGGGTACATGTGTGCGTTTGGGTACACGTGTACACATATATGTGCACACACATATATGTGTACACGTGTGCATGTGTCTGGGTACACGTGTGTGTCTGGGTGCACGTGTGTGGGTACACGCGTGTGTCTGGGTGCACGTGTGTGTCTGGGTGCACGTGTGTCTGGGTACACGTGTGTGTCTGGGTGCACGTGTGTGTCTGGGTGCACGTGTGTGGGTACACGCGTGTGTCTGGGTGCACGTGTGTGTCTGGGTGCACGTGTGTCTTGGTACACGTGTGTGTCTGGGTACACGCGTGTGTCAGGGTGCACGTGTGTCTGGGTACAAGTGTGTGGGTACACGCGTGTGTCAGGGTGCACGTGTGTCTGGGTACAAGTGTGTGGGTACAAGTGTGTGTCTGGGTGCACGTGTGTGGGTACACGCGTGTGTCTGGGTGCACGTGTGTGTCTGGGTACACGTGTGTGTCTGGGTACACGTGTGTCAGGGTACACGTGTGTGCACGTGTGTGTCTGGGTGCACGTGTGTGTCTGGGTGCACGTGTGTGTCTGGGTACACGTGTGTGTGGGTACACGTGTGTGTCTGGATACACGTGTGTGTCTGGGTACACGTGTGTGTGGGTACACGTGTGTGGGTACACGTGAGTGTCTGGGTGCACGTGTGTGTCTGGGTGCACGTGTGTGTCTGGGTGCACGTGAGTGTGTCTGGGTGCACGTGTGTGTCTGGGTACACGTGTGTGTCTGGGTACACGTGTGTGGGTGTGATCGTGTCCGTCTCTCATGGAACCGCTTCTGGAAACGTCTTTGCCACGGTGCACTGCAGTGACGTCAGAGCAGTGACACGTTTAAATTATGGATGGAATTGGCTTCACATCCAAATGTCGCAGGACACTTCATCGAAAACAAAGGTGTCTTGAGATTCAGTGAGACTTTCCTGGGCACACACAGTTATGTCGGTGTAAGGTCACTATAGTTATGTAATGACTCGCTCAAGGATAACTATTAAGTCTTGCTAATGATTAAAAGTGCAATATTCATATCTGTCAACGGTTTACCCATATTCTCGTACAGAGAAATTTAGTTTTCAGGTCGATACGGCGTACAGCCCTTTCAATACGAGCAGAAAAATATGTCTATTTGTTTGTGATTCTCCCTTGTGATGGGGCGTTGTAGGATGCACGTTGAGATTTATAAATGCACGGGGTGACCGATACGGCGTGAATTGGTCTGTAATAAGGCAGGCACTGATAAGGGGTTGACCGGTATGAATATGTATTATGGGTGCCTCCAACGAATTACCACGAAACAAATATAAATTAATAAGACCAAAGTAAAATAACCATAGCCCTGTGTATACGAGGTTGTAGGGAGCTCTAAAGACACACAGAGAGACGCGGAGACAGCTCCAGAGATAGAAAACACGAGTCTCAAATGAGACAGCGGCACAAACAGAGAGAACGAGAAAGGGAGAGATTAGCACGGTTGGCTACGTACGGGAGAAATAAGTTGTATATACATACAAGAGTTAAACACAGTGAATGACACACACGGAGAGATGCGGGGATACAGATACACGTACATAGACGATACACACAACCTTATGCATGCGTCGTAGTTACACAGGGCATCATAACATCACGTTTTCATCTCTCCCGCCTGTGCCTCCCCATCACTCCTCTTCATCGTAATCTCTCGCTCTATCCCACCACGCTCTCCTTGTCCCCCTTTATCCACCGCGCCTACTACCTCCCCCTATCGCTATCTCTCCATCTCCCTCCCATAGATATATAACTGCCCAATCCGTGCTGTTCATACTTTGATACGAGCATTGCCTTTGTACTGCTGCCTGTTTGCGTTCTCTGGTCTCACGTTGGTGTGACAAGGCAATGTAGACGGCTGTCTCTGGTGTAGGCCAATCCGTTTAAAAGACAATGTCATATATGATAATCATAACATGGTTGTTTGCATGTTTTGCCACAAGTATGTGTGGTTAATGGCAGACTCGATGCCTTTCAAGAGGTGCCCAGTTTTTTGTTTGAACATCTCAACTCCTTTTTCATTTCCAGAAGCGGTAAAGCCTATTCTTATTGTTTTCATTGTCTTGATGCTGGCAAAAATGTCCCATAGATATCAGCACCCCCCCCCCCAACTCGGACCCCACTGCCCCCCCCCCCATCGCCACCGCATCCTCTCTCTCGTCTTCTGCTCCAGTAAGCGCAGCTGTGACCCGGGCTCTGCCACGTGACCAGAGCCCCCCACGTCGCTCCCTGCGGACCCTCACGGGACACACACAAACCCCTCGGTGCACTGCCACATCCCACCCCGCCGCTCATCGCGTCCACCCTATCACTCGCTCCACCCAACCCGCAGTGGAGCACCGCACTCTCCCATCCACCCCGTCCCTCCTCGCTTACCCACGAGACAAAAGGCCACGCGTATCGCCTTGGGCACGCGCTCTCTCTGTCGGGGCAAGTACTCTAAACGAGCCCCTATATTTGCTGGCACGCGCACACGAGGGGGCCGGTGGCCCCGCAGCGTCGATGTTTACGCACTGCACCGGGTACTCATTTGAGGCTGAGTCGACCGAGGTGAGGCCCAGGACGAGTTCAGATATTCGTCACTGGTGTTGGCTGTGAGCGGGGATGGATATCCGTCGGCCGGGTTCGCAGCGCAGCGAGCTAACCACTTTACCACCGCTGCCCGCTGACACACACACACGCAGAATCCAGCGAACACTCACATCCATCACATCCCATGCTCAACCTAATCTCCACTCAAGCGCACACCACAATTCCAATCCATCCCGTACCGCATACCCTCGCTCACCCCCACACCCTCCACCCCTCGTCGCTTTCATTCCACCGCACGATCCCGCAAGGTCCTTGACCAGCAGCGGGGTGGATAAAGCCGCGGTACACTTCGTGTGGACCACATCCCTCTCACTCGTCACCTGCTCCCCACACACCCTCACAGCCCTCTCCTAGCCCCTACACCCCCCCATATCCCCACGGGCCACTCTCCTTACCCCCACTACCCTCCCACCCCCCACACCCCAGCTTTCATCCACGCGGCTTAGTCCTGTAAATCCAACCATGGAAATTAAATGTTGGCTCCACATTAACATGCACGCGTAATCTACACGAGTCACTTGCACACGCCATGTGCGTACAGTCTGTCTGTCCGTCTGCGTACGCGCATCTGCGAGGGATTTGGCTCTCGAACGGTGGGGTTTTAGGTGGAAACAAATTTGCCAGGCCGCACGCCCTAAGCCACGCGGTGGGCATAGGGCATAGGCTATTCCGTTTTCCCATCCGTAAACTTTAAAGTAGTTTAATTAACAAATGAGTGCGATTTTTCTATATTGAATTATTTCCCCACGCCGCT